GTTAATTAAAATTGGGGCACTTTCCAAAGTCATTTATGGGCTCCTTCTGTAAGCATTTGGGACTCCCTCATAAAACCAGGTGACCAGAGGTAGACACTTAACCAAAGTTGTGTTATGGGCTTCTTTAGGCAACGTGGACCCTCTCCCGCATTCCAGGCCCTGGGATGAAAGCACAGTTTCAAGGCTTTCTTTCCCAGATAGCGGGAATGCTTCATAGAATTTCAAGGACTTCCCTTGTTTCTTGGTAACATAGTTTTTTTTTTTGTGGTGTTGGAACAACCTGGCAATATTATCAGACCAGGCTCAGGACTACTGAGTTGGTGTGTGACACATGTTTCCTCCCTCCTTCCTGCCTTGGTTAACTATTTATTCTACCTAAGAGGTAAAAGGTGTTTCCTGGCGATCAGGATACTAGACACTGGCCAGTAACAGCAGTGCAGTGTCAGAGTTCTTCCTATGCTGTCTCCTGCCTCAGTACCATTCTTGCATCCTTGGAATGAATCCCACTTGATCGTGTTGTATGAACTTTTTAATGTACTGCTGGATCCGGTTTGCCAATATTTTGTTGAGGATTTTAGCACTATGTTCATCAGCAATACTAGCCTGTAGTTTTTTTATTGTGTCTTTATTTGGTTTTTGAATTAAGATAATACTGGCCTCATACCAAAAGTTTGGGTGTTTTCCCCCTACTTGGATTTTTTGAAATAGAGAATTGAGGATAGCTGTTCTCTAAATGTTTGGTAAAATTCTCTTATGAATCTGTCTGGCTCAGGGCTTTTGTGTGCTGGGAGTTTTTTAATTTCTGGTTCAATTTCACTAGCTGGTATCAGTCTATTCGGGCTTTCTGCTGCTTCTTTACTAAGTTTTGGAGGATTATATGTTTCTAGAAATTTGTCCATTTTGCCCAGGTTGTCCAATGTTTTGTAATATAGTTGTTCTTAGTAATTTCTTACAATCCTTTGTATTTCTGTGGTATAGGTTGTAATTTCTCTTTTATCATTTCTGATTTTATTTATTTGGATCATCTCTTTTTTTCTTAGTTAAAGAAGAGCCTGGTTAAAGGCTTGTTGACTTTGTTTATCTTTTCAAGAACGAGCTGTTGGATTTATCGATCCTTTGGCATATTCTTTTAGTCTCTATGTCATTTAGTTCTGCTCTTATCTTGATATTTCCTTCCTTCTACTTGCTCTGGGCTTTGTTGTTGTTTCTCTAGTTTTGTAGATGTTGGGTTAGGTTGTTTATTTGAAATATTTCTAGGTAGGCCTGTATTGCTACGAACTTCCTTCTCAGGACCCACCTTTACTGTGTCCTGTATTGCTACGAACTTCCTTCTTAGGACCCACCTTTACTGTGTCCTGTATTGCTACGAACTTCCTTCTCAGGACCCACCTTTACTGTGTCCCATAGGTTTTGATAAAGCACAGCACCCATTTATGATAAAAATGCTCAGCAAAGTGGGAATAGAGGGAGCATACCTCAACATAATAAAGGCCATATATGAGAAACCTTCAGCCAGCATCATATTCAACAGGCAAAAACTAAAAGCTTTTCCCCTAAGATCAGGCACAAGACAAGGGTTTCCACTTTTACTCTTCTATTCAACATAATATTGGAAGTTCTAGCCACAGTGATCAGACAAGAAAAAGAAGTAAGAGACATCCAAGTTGGGATAAAGCCATCCCAATGGGTAAAGGGGTAAATAAAGCCATCATTGTTTGCAGATAAAATGATAGTACACATAGAAAACCCCATAGACTCCACCAAAAAAACTGCTTGACCTAAGAAAGGAATTCAGCAAAGTGACAGGATACAAAGTCAACATTCAGGAATCGAAGACAGTTTTGTACACCAACAACAAAGCACCTAAAATATCAGAAACAAATATTAGGGGAAAATTCCCACTAGATATAGCAATAGGAAAAATAAAATGTTTAGGAATAAACCTAACTAAGGAGGTAAAAGACCTGTACTCAGAAAACTACACAACACTGAAGAAGGAAATTAAGGAAGGCACAAACAAATGGAAACATATACCATGTTCATGGATCAGAAGAATTAACATCAAAATGTCCATACTACCCAAAGCAATTTACAGATTCAATGCAATATCTATTAAAGTACCAATGGAATATTTCACAGATATAGAACAAATACTTCAAAAATTTGTATGGAACCATAAACGATCCTGTATAGCTGCTGCAATTTTGAGAAAGAAGAGCAAAGTAGGAGGGATCACAATACCTGATACCAAACTATATTACAAGGCCACTGTAGTCAAAATAGTCTGACACTGGCATAAAAGCAGACACGTAGACCTATGGAACAGAATAGGGAGCCCAGAAATAAACCCAGGTTAATATGATGAATTAATATTTGACAAAGGGGAAAGGAGCATAAAATGGAGTAAAAATAGCCTTTTCGATAAATGGTGTTGGGAGATCTGGACAAGTACATGCAAAAAAATTAATGGAACTAGACTAACTTACACCAAAATAGAATCAAGAAGGATAAAAGACTTAAATGTCTTTTTATCATGATAAAAGTCATGGTATCATAAAAGTCCTAGAGGAAAACATAGGAACATGTTAGATATCCCCACACACAGCAATATTTTCACTGATATGTCTCCTAGAGCACAGGTGGCAAACACAAGGCCCGTGGGCCAAATCCAACCCTCCACCTTGTTTTATCTGCCCTGGCACCTTGTTTCTACCTGGCAGCAGCACCCAGCTCTGACCTAACAGTTACAGAGTAGTTACATTTATACAGTCCTAAAACTACCTTCGGCCCTTTGAAGGCAGCCTCAACTGTGAGGCTGATGTGGCCCCTGGTAAAAATAAGTTTGACATCTCTGCTGTAGAGCAAGGGACATAAAGGAAAGAATAAACAAATGGGACTTCATCAAGTTAAAAAGTTTCTGCATGGCTAAAGCAAACATTAACAAAATGGAAAGAGAACCAACCATGTGGGAAAAAATATTTGCCAATGTTACATCAGACAAAGGTTTGATCTCCAAAATATATATGTAAAGAACTCACATGACTCCACACCAAAAAGACAAATGACCCAGTTATAAAATGGGCAAAGGACCGAATGGACACTTCTACAAGGAGGACATACAGAGTGCTCATAAACACATGAACAAATGCTCAACATCTCTAACCATCGGAGAGATGCAAATTAAAACCACAATGAGATAGTACTTCGCACTGGTTAGAATGGCCATCATAAATAAATCAACAAATAAGAAATGCTGGTGAGGTTGTGGAGGAAAGGGAGCCCTATTATGTTTGTTGATGGGAATGCAGACTGATTCAGCCACTGTGGAAAACAGTATGGGATTTCCTCAGAAAACTAAAAATGGAACTGCCTTTCAATCCAGTGATCCCATTGCTGGGATTATGTCCTAAGAATCCTGAAACACCAATTGAAAAGAACCTGTGCATCTCTATGTTCATAGCAGCACTATTTATAATAGCTAAGTGCTAGAAATAGCCTAAGTGCCCATTAGTAAATGAGCGGATTGAAAAACTGTGGTACATTTACACAATGGAATTCTATGCAGCAGAAAGGAAGAAGGAACTCCTACCCTTCGAGTCAGCATGGATGGAACTGGAGAGCATTATGCTAACTGAAATAAGCCAGGCAGTGAAAGACAAATGCCATGTGATCTCACCTATAAGTGGAACCTAATAAAAAAAGTAAACAAATGAGCAAAATAGAACCAGAGACTTGGAAATAAAGAACAAAGTGAGAGTGACCAGAGGTGAGGGAGTAGGGGGTTAACAGGGAAGGAGGGTGAAGGGGCAAGCAAAGGAACATGAATAGAGGACTCATGAGCATGGACAGTGGGGAGGGGATTGGTATTGAGTGAAGGGGTAGCGGAGAGCATTGGGGAAAAGGTGTGACAGCTGTAACTGTACAACAATAAAAAAAAGTTGCTGTAAATATCCATGTGCAGCTTTTTCTATAGATAAGTTTTCAGCCTCTTTGGGTAAACACTAAGGAGCATGATTACTTGATTGTATGGTACAACTGTAGTTTTGTAAGAAACTGCTAAACTGTCTTCCAGAGTAACTATACTATTTTGCATACTACCAGCAATGTACTAAGAGTTTCTATTGTTTCACATCCTTGCTATTTGGTGTCGGTAAGTATTCCAGATGTTGGCCATTCTAGTAGATGTGCAATGGTATCTTATTGTTTAATTTGTATTTCCCAGATAATATATGATCTAAAGCATCTTTTTCTTTCTCTCAGTCATTTTGGCTCTGATAATACCCCATTAGGGTAGGAACTAGTTTCTCTAAAAGCCAGGTCTTGTTAAGAAGAACAGAGTCCTCTGTCATATTTTTAAATGATTTGTCTCCCTCTCCTTGCTTGAAAGTTGAGGGATTTTTTCTGCAATATTTACTGTGGGAACCTGGTCGGGTTTCTGGAGCTATCTCAAAATACTGTGGAGGCTTTGCTGTGACTGGGTCTGCCTAGAGTTTTTAACACTCTTGAGTTCTCCACACTGTCTCCAGCAATTCATCAACTACAATTCAGGTTTTCGGCCTTGGTACCGATATCCACAGTAGGTTCCTATCCTGAGCCTCTCCTCTGGTAAACTGTGCCTCCCTATATTCACTGTCTGTCTCTGTAATCTTTGGGGCAGTGCTTTGGTGCTGTGTCCTGCTGCTGCACTTTTACGTATCCAAGAAGAGCTGTTCATTTTTCAGTTCAGCTTTTACTTGTTAGTACTGAATGGTGACTTCCAAGTTCCTTTCATGGGAAACCAGAGACTCCCTAACCCTTCATGGCTTTTTTATGTAGAAATCAACTGTGAATAGGGTTCTGAGTGAATTAATCTTTTTCAAGTCAGACCTAATAGTTGTATATTTTGTTTGATGTGAGCAGACTGAAATAGCAGGAAATGCAATTTTTAAAATTATTTTCAATTTGAAAAATACTTTATAGTTATATCAATTGCTAGTATTTATCTTATCTTTTTCATGCAGATTTGAAACCAAAATAGATTCCTTTCACGTTACTGGCCTACCAGACAATTCAGCAAAACCCCGCCTTTTGTCTTCATTGGATAATGCTACATCACTTTTCCGGATTACATTTGAGACAAATCCATTAGATGAAACTATTGCTCAAAGGTGTATTATAGAAGCTGAACCTTTAGAAGTGATATATGATGCAGTAAGCATTCTTTCAATTTCTAAGTTTTCATACATTTTAGTTTGGTTTGATTTTTGTGCCTAATTTTAATAATGCTTACTTTACCAGAAAACAGTGAATAGTATAGTGGAATTCTTCAGACCTCCAAAACAGGTCAATCTAGCACAGCTCACTTCAGCAACTTTGACAAAACTTGAAGAATTTCGTGATAAGACAGCAACAGGTAAAAATGCTGGTATTAATTTTGGTGAATTAAGTGCAGAATTGTATACTAACCACTCACACATTTAAAGCTGATTTTAATAATGTCTTCTTTTTTTTACTTTATTATTACTACTTTTTATTATTGTTGTTCGGTTATGGTTGTCCCACCTTTTTTCCATTACTGTCCTCTGCCCTACCTCTCCCCAGTCAGTCACTAACCTATTGTCCGCGCCCATGAGTAATGTCTTCTTTAAATTTCTATCTAGACTAGATACAATTTAATTGAAAATAATTTGGTACATAATCATTTCTTACATTCAGGTCAAAGCTATTAACCACCTTCAAGTTAATCACAAAATTTTGTTAGGATTCTTGAAATTCTGTTTATTACAGAAACTGGCCTTTGAATTCTTTTATAAAATCATAGGGCTTCTTGAAATGGTCTTTTTTAGTTTAATCTCTGCCCTTCACCATTTAGCTCTTTTGTGACCTTACTTATGTAACCTCTGAACAGAAAGTTCTTTTAACTGCACATGCTTCTGACACAGTATGAGGTTATACACATTAAATAAACTACATCACTTAAGTTTTTCAGTCTAGCTATTCATAATTTTACATATTAGGTTGTTACTGTCATTTTTAGTTTCTCACAATTCAAGTCAAAACACGTTAGTTCTTTAGTGGGCTTTTTGGTTGTTGTCCTTTGTGAGCTAAGGTACCTTTCTGTTTGAATGTCAGATGCCCTAAACCTTAAAAATTAACATTGTTTATTGATTCATAGTGATTCAGTGGCTGTTTGCAGAATTTCATCTTTGAGGAGTAGTTCCCATCTCATGGGGTCATTATAATTTGATAATTGATAATAATTTTAGATTTGGGACTATAAAATAGATTAATTTGGTATATAAATCACATGACAATAAATGGATTAAATTTATTAGAATAAAACCTTAAGTGAATGGAATACCTAAGGAATAGAGAACACTGATTTATTGTCTCTTCTGGTTTACATATGCTTTTATTGAAGATGATTGAATAATTCAGTCTTCTTCTTGTCTCAGTGATATCACAGGGATCAAGAATCATTGTTCAGTAAGGTATATGTGCCTGTGTTAAGTTCATGATTTGGAAAGAATTACATAGATCCTTATATAGCAGTTATGAATAAATGTTTCATAAAACTTAAGTTTTTTAGATATATTATCTCTTGAGTTTTATCCAAATTGATTTTGGGGTTAAGAACATTTATTTGAGGAATCATTCTAATTTTGCACTCAGTTATTTTTAATTAGGAGTGTACACATTGATAACATTTTTACTTTATATTGAAAATATTTTGCTGTAGGTCATTTTATAATAAATTCTAATTTTACATTCATTTAATAATTTTCTTTCTTGAGTAATTTGTGAAAAATATTGTGATGATTTGTATTTTTTACAGGTCTGCTGTATATTATTGAAACACAGAAAGTTCTTGATCTCAGAATTAATTTGAAAGCTTCATATGTTATTATCCCACAAGGTGGAATTTTTAGCCCAACGTCAAATCTGCTTCTTTTGGACCTTGGTCATTTAAAGGTATATAGTAATAATATTTATTCTGAAATATGGAACGTAGGGTATTTCTTTGTTTAAAATGTATTTTGTATTTTAGACTGATTTGGCATATTGCTTTTTAGATTTATGGTACTTGGTAGGATTTGAGAAATCTTGTCTGGTGAATAAAGTGAGGGTTCATTTAATTAGGTAGTTTTTCTGCATTTCTAAAAGCAAAATGAGCAGTTGAACTCTGCAAGTCAGGGGTGAACCTAAGAATTACTTTTATGTGCATCATTTGAGAGTAGTGCTTAAGGAGTTTATTTTCTTTTCAGTTGAAGTTTATTAGTTGACTAATTAACATATATAGATTGTTGGGAGTTCTGGGAGTAATCAAATATATCTCTATTCTTCTGAAATTTTTTGTGTACATAACTTTAGATATTGACATTTTAATATTTCTGTTAAATAATCCTACATTGAGAGATGGTCATATTGCATTTACCTAAGTCATTTAACTTTCTATCCAACTATGTATATTTTTCTTTCTTAGTTTTAAGTAGAGGATAATTTTTTTGTTTCCAGATCTGCACTGTTCATATGATAACTGCTGACTACATGTGGTTGATTAAGTTGATTAACATAGCTCAGTCAGTTAGAGCATTATCTAGATACAAGGTTGTGGCTTTGATCCCATCAGGTCACACAGAGGAAGCAGCCAATGAATGCAAAAATAGGTGGAAGTACAAATCAGTATTTCTCTGGGTATATCTCAAAATCAATAAAAATTTTAAAATAAAATAAGATAAAAATTCAGCTCCTTAAGCACATTAGCCACATTCAAGTGTTTAATAGTCACAAGTGGCTAGTGGTTACTATATTAGAGCGCAGATGGAGAATAATTTTATCATTGTAGAAAGTTCTGTTGGATAGCACTGCTCTATCTCACTAAATGTAGAGGAATAGCTGTAACTGTTTAAAGATCCAAGAGGGATGGGTAATACTAGAATGCCCTTTCTTGCTGCCTAACATATGTATGCCTTTCCTTGATATCGACATTCTCCTTTTTCTATGTTTCACTCTTCAGTTGCTAATTATGTAGGCAACTGGTGGAGTCAGAGTTACAGTATTTATACAGCTAATTATTCATATGTAGATTTGGTTATACAGTTGGATCAAGGAAGCCTGGTATAATGGGAAGAGCATGAGGTCAAGAGTAAGGGTATCAATGTAGTTTTGTGAGCTTAGGCAATTTGCTTAAACTTTTACTTAAAATTCATTACCTTTTAAAAAGAGGTAATCGATTTTGACTGTATACACAAGAACTATTTGAAACAGAGGGGAAATGTTAAAATATATACATATACATACATACATATACATATATATATATATATATATATATACATATATATATATATGATTTAAGTAAGATCATTATATACTGTTGTGGAGTGATTTCCAGGATGTTTATGTGAAAAATGGAGTATGCATAGTATATCAATAAAGAGGAGATACAAATATAACTTGTTTGGGGTAACATAAATGACAGAATTGGGACTAAAATTCAGTCCTCCTAATATTTAATCCTGGACTTTTATCTATTTTATTTTTATTGTATTTTTTTCTTTACCACTTAGTCTCCTTATACCCTCCTCATCCCCACAGTCACCACACTGTTGTCTGTGTCATGAGTCCTTTTCCTTTTTGCTCAGTTCCTCCTCCACCCCCTAACCTCCCACCACTTAGCTGTCATCCCACACTCTGAGTCTGTCTCTATTTTGCTGTTAGTACAGTTTGTTCATTAGATTCCATATATGAATGAAATCATATGGTATAACCCTGGGCTCTTAGTTCTTATAAAATTACTTATGTACCTGTCATCATGCCAAAGAAATGTTTTATAAGCTTTATTTGTCTCTTGTTTTTATTAAAAAGGCTTCTTACCAGATTTTAAAATAATTCAGATATATTCATTATTCTCTAGGCCTGGCTTGGTTTCCTTCTTTTAATGTAAATAATTAGGAAATATAACTTAATATCTAATCTTATTATACATGTTATGGATAAAAACATTTCTAATAGCCTTATGTCAGCTTGAGTTTATTCTTTCCTATTAACTCTTTTATCATATTCTGAAAGATAAAAATCTTATCTTTCACTTTGAAGTGTTTTTGCTAGGTCTAAACTCTTGAAATTAATTTCAAGGTAACAAGTAAAAGTCGTTCAGAATTACCAGATATGAAACAAGGTGGGGCCAAACTTGAAGAGCTAATGGACAGAGCTTACGATTCCTTCGATATTCAGCTTACAAGCATACAGCTGCTTTACAGCAGAGTTGGTAAGTGTACAGTCCATTATATATTGTTCAGTTTACTGAAGTGATTAATTACATTTTTAGACAGTTTCTCTGAAGACCTTCATTCTAAATAAGTTAGGATTTTCACATTTTTTAAATTAGAAGTGTATGGTAGGCAGGAGCAGTACCTCAACTAAGAGTGATTTTACCTCCCAAGAGACCCTGTCAATGTCTGGAGACATTTTTGGTTGTCACACATGGATAGTGGGTGCACTACCAGTATCTAGTGGGTAGAGCTTAGTGATGCTAATGAACATACAATGTACAGGAATGTCAGCCAAGACATATTTGGCAAAAATGTCAGTAGTGTTAAGATTGGCAAACCCTGTTTTAGACCACTGTTTTCCAGCAGTTGGATAAGGTTGGAAAACACTGACACATTTTTAAAAATATTTATGTGAGACAGTAGGATAACCAGAAGAGACTGCTGAAGGGTGGAGGCAGCCAGCCCAGGGGTTTTGACAGCCCCTGCTGTAAATATCCGCTCAAATACTAGGAGAGTCACTCTTTTAGGCATAACTTTACCCCATTCAGTTTGCTGTACTAATTAGGAGTCTTTGATCCAATTCTAGCTGACAGAGCCAGCAATTTCTTTGTCAGTAGCTACTAAAGGATAGAGAGCCCTGAGTATTTGAGCCCTCTTTCCACTGCGTCATGCTGCTTTCTGGAGTGTTAGTGAACATTCAGGTAATTCAACAGAGGGACTGCTGACTGTGTTAGAGATCTCGATGTATTTATATGGTCAGATTCTAATAAACTGAGCTAACTAATGAGATGAGAAACAATGGAGTATCCAAAGTAATGGTTGTTAAAAATATCAGTTTACTTAGGACTGGAACATTTTGATTATTTGTCTTTATATTTGCTTTAGGGTAATGAGATTGGTGGTTGTTTCTACAATATTCTAGGTGGTGTAGAAGGAACCCAGAAGTATAGTGGGTAGCACATGTAAATTGTTTGTAGAAAATTCATAAATATTTTCAGGGAATAAATTACTATATTTTGGTATGTTTGATACATTTTGATCATTAGTTTTTGAAGCCCATTAACTGTACTTAATATTTAAGATATTGAGATGCTTTGTGAAAAAAATTAGATATATCATTATTGTCTGAAAAGTACTGGAATTCCCTGGAATATTTTTGATAGACATTAACTATTAAATAATTAAATAATTTTGAGCAAGGTTTTATGACATTGACTTACATTATATAATTGCTATAGATTCTCTTGGTAAATTCTAAAATACAGGTTTTTATTTATTTTTTTTTATTTTTATTTATTTATTTATTTATTTATTTATTTATTTTTATTTAGTTACTTTTCAAGTACATTTTTTTTTTTAAATCTATTTCTCCCATCCCACCCCACCCCCCGCGGTCTCCCCCTCCCTCCCATCCCACCCCCCAGTCCTCATCTCTGTGTCTTTCATACTTGTTCCTCAAAATCCCTCCCCCTTTTTTCCCCTTAAGTTCCCTTCCCTCTCCCCTCTGGTGCTGCCCACTTGTTCTCTATTTCAGCGTCTTTGTTTTTCTTCTGTTTGCTTGTTTGTTTTATTCTTTAGCTTCCTGTCAAAGGTGAGATCATATGGTATTTGTCCTTCAATGCCTGGCCTATTTCACTCAGCAGGTTTTTAAATACCATATCTTTTTAAGTATATTTTATTGATCATATTATTACAGTTGTCTGAATTTTTCCCACTTTGCTGCCCTAGGCCTGGTATCCCCTGTCCTTCCAACAATCCCCCTCTTAGTTCATGTCCATGGGTAGTGCATGTAAGTTCTTTGGCTTCTCCATTTCCTATACTGTTTTTAACATCTTCCAGTCTATTTTGTACCTACTTATTATGCTTCTTAATCTCTGTACATTTCCCCCACTCTTCCCCCCCCCCCCCAGCTGATAAGCCTCCAAATGATTCTGTTGATGTTCTGGTTGTTTGCTTTGTTTGTTTTTTTAGTTCAGTTGTTGATGTTTGATGTGGACTCTGGCCAGCAGTGTCCATGGTGTTGTGCATGAGATGAGCAAAATCACATGGACTGCCGAAGTCCTGTGGAGAAAAAGGGACAGCATGTCTGCTCTTTGAAGGGGAGAGCGCCTCGACCTTTGCCTTGACAGGCTTTTATTGGCTTTCTAGTAGCATACATCATAGCTCACATTCGTAATGCTCAGGTTTGCTTTAGGGAATTACTTTTTACAGATAACAAAGGAAAGAATGTTACTGATTACTTCTTACAGATTAACAAGAAAAAAATGTTGCAAATGCAACATTAGGGAACAATAAAAGTAATTGGTCTAGTTACATTCCATCCTTCAGGGAATTAGCACAGACTTCAGGAAGTTACTTTAAAGATATGCAGTAAGCATTTTCTGCCTCAGCTCAGGGTGAGGGAGTTTTAGCAAGAGCAAGCCTCAAAGCAGCCTAGGTATAATGCAGGCCTGATTTCCCACAGGAAAACCAATCTGTGGGTTTGGCATCTTGTGTGCTGACACGTGCCTATGGGCTTTCCAACAGAGCTGGGCTACATTTGCCATTCCACGCAGATAGGTTCCCTATAGATATTTGTGGGGATTTGTTGCCTTTTTAATGTTCACAGTTTTGATCTTCTTTTTCTTAGATAAGTCCCTTTAACATTTTATGTAATAATGGCTTGGTGATGATGAACTCCTTTAGCTTTACTTTGTCTGGGAAGCACTTTATCTGTCCTTCCACTGTAAATGATAGCTTTGCTGGATAGAGTAATCTAGATTGTAAATCCTTGCTTTTCAGCACTTTGAATACTTCTTGACCACAAAGTTTCTTTGAGAAATAAGGTGACAATCTAATGAGAATTCCTTTGTAGGCAACTCTCTGCTTTTCTCTTGCTGCTTTTAAGATTCTCTCTTTATCTTTAAAACCTTTAACATTTTTATTATCATGTGTCTTAGTGTGATGCTATTTGGACCCAAGTTGTTTGGGATTCTCTGTGCTTCTTGGCCTTGCATTTTATTTCCTTCACCAAATTGGGAAAGTTTTCTTTCATTATTTTTTCAAATGAGTTTTCAGTTTCTTGCTCTTCCTATTCTCCTGGCATCCTTATGATTTGGATATTGGCACATTTGGAGATGTCCCAGAGTCGTCTTATACTGTCTTGCTTTTTGAATTCTTGTTTCTTTCTGTTCTGGTTGAGTGTTTATTTCTTCCTTATATTCCAAGTAGTTGATTTGAATTCTGGCCTCCTTCCCTTCACTGTTGGTTCCCTATAGATTTTTCATTTCCAAATAAAGAAAAATTGTAATTTTCTTTAGTATTTTCTTAGTATAAAAATTGTAATTCAACCTGTTTTACTACCTGTGTCTAGAAACCTAATCTGTTGTTGACTTGGTTTTTGTTGACTAAAACATTTTATCTGACTCATGGAATTATTAGGTTTAAATGAGGTAATGTATATAATATATTTTAGTGCATACCCTTGGGTGTTTTTTTCAGTGTATGTGCCTATGAGTATATGGAATATGCTTCTGTGGTGTTTATGAGTGAGAGTATTTGTGAATGCATTCTTTACATGAGTTGTATAGTTTTAGATCGTGACTTTTCTTTCACTTACCAGTAATATTTTGGGCTCTTGAGTTCATGGTTTTTATTGGCTATCTAATGTTCTAAGCCTGTGTTGTCAGTTATTTAGCCATTTTCTTATTCAACATTAAGGCTTGAAATACTTAGCAGACCTGGATGTAAATTTCAACTTTATTACTCTCTAAACTACTACCACTACTTTATCACTCACTACCACCAAAGCCTTTTGGTAGTAGTAAGCAAGTTATACATTTCTTTGTGTCTCAGTTTTCTAAAATGGGATGATTATAAATCATTTTGAGAATTATATGAAAGTTTAAACATTGCCTGAGAAGAGTGTCAGTTATAAATCTTAAGTAAATGGCAGCTTTTATTAGTTAATATGGAAGAACTGTGCTCTCCCCTACCTTATTCATTATTGCCTTGGAGCCATGTTGTTTTTGTGGGTAAGGTATCTGGTTGAAGTGATTACCAGTGAAAGTACAGCAGATTTGATTAAAATTATATTGTTCTTAATAAGCATTTTCCCTATTAAAACATAAAGAGTCTTATGAAGCAGCAAAAGGAAAATATGAAAGGGAAAAGAATTTACCTGCCAAGTATGTGTACCTGGGTGTGGTGGACTCTGCCCAGCAGAGTCCACCTATTGTGGCTGACGACGAGAATAAATGCACAGGTGACAACAATCCTGTGGAGAAAAAGGGGACGTCATAACTGCTCTCTCAAAGGAAGAGTGCCTGTGGATGCCTCGGCCACTCCCTCAAGAGGGGAGTGCCACGACCCTTGACCAGACAGGCTTTTATTGTTTTCCTTGGGTCTTATATCAGAGAAAGATTTGTTATCTATTACATAGAATATTATTGTGTACATTTTAGCTATAATCAAGGAATTGAAAATAACATATAGAGGGGAATGGCGATGAGCTGATTAGCTCTGTCTTTGGGAAAGTTTATGTAGGCTTTGGATATTACCTTGAAGATAGACAGTACACATTTGTTGTTTTAGACCAGGGTAATAGAGTTTTAGGAAGAGCAAGCCATAACAATCTGCATGCATTTCTAGGCCTGATTCCCACAGGAAAAGTCGATTTGAAGGTCTGGCTCTTGCCCACCACTTTAGCTGAGTCGAATTTGCCAGACCAAAACAAACTGGTCCCCTACACCTGGGCATGTGGTATTATGATTATCTAGATGCGTATCATGCAGTTTGTGACTATGAAGTATTAAACATAATTTTACATTTGGTATCTTTTATATTATACATATGTTAAACATACTGTTTTTGTAATTAGGTGATAATTGGAAAGAAGCACGAAAACTCAGTGAATCTACACAACATATTTTGGTACCTCTGCACTTCAGCGTGGAATTCTCGAAGGCCATGGTTTTCATGGATATAAGGATGCCTAAGTATGTATCATCTGTTTCATGAGACAGTAGGTTTTCTCAGTAATTCTGTAACTAAGGAAATACCGTATTTATCGATTCATTGTGTGTGTGTGATTAAAATAAATATAACCTAACACCATTTTTAGCTGAATAATTCAGTAACATTAAGTACATTCATATTGTGCAATCATCACCACTATCTATCTCTGAAACTTTGTCATTTTCCCAAACTGAAACTCTATACCCATTAAACATTAATGTCCTTTCCTTTCTCTTTTCCCCCACCCTAGCTTATGACAGTCATGTCTGTGTTATATCTCTGTGAATTTGATTACTCTAGGTACAGTTGACCCTTGAATGACATGGATTTCAACTGTTTGGGTCCAATTATATGCAGTTAAAAAAAATAAATATACAGTTGTTCTTCCGTATAGCTGGGTTCACATCTGTTAGTTCAACAATACATAATGAATGGGCTGTGTTTCCATATACTTTATTTGGAAAAGTAAGCCACACTCTGGATTAACCCATGACCATAGTTTACCAGCCTCTGGTTAAGTGCATGACAGCCAAATGTGATTACTAAAAGGGAAATGACACCAGGAAAGCCATTTGAATTAGTGTTCTGTGATACTAAAATGGCTGTAATTTAGGATTAGGGAAGTGTACTGGAAATAACCACAGGTAGAAACTATAATGACTTAAAAAGATGAAATCTGAGAAGCTTTGAAAGAAATTTTGTAACTCGTGAGTAGTATAAATATGATAGCATATAAAATCCTAGAACTCTGCAAATATCAGGTAGGTTTTTTTTTTAAGTTTGAATTTAGAAAGTTGAAGGCAAATAAAGGAAATTCTCTATTATTTAGGAGGTAGTGTGTCGGTACCCATCATCTTCAGGTTACTTAGGCAAATTTAAAGAAATTGAAAAGTTTAGGTACATTAATGAGACTGCTCCATAATATATTCCTAAGTTAAACTGGTATGTGTGGGATTAATTACAAATAGTTAGTCTGTTTGTAGTAAAAGAAAGCTCATAATTTTCTCTGTGGAATTCAGTCATATTTTGAGAATTATAACCTTAATAGCAAATGTGTATGAATTGAAGAGTAAGTTTTAGGAAAAGTGTGCAGTTTAAAACAAAAGTGCAATGAATGAATATTTACTCTCTCTTTGGCGTCAGTCTCTTTTATTATTATTATTGTTAAAGATTTTTTGAGCAGTTTTAGGGTCACAGAAAAATAGATAGGAAGATAGATTTCACATGTACCCCCTGTATGTATTCACCTATACATAGCATCCGCCATTAACAAGATCCCCACCAGAGTAGTACATTTACAACAATTACAACAATTACATTTGTTGTAACTGATGGACCTACATTAAACATCATATTCACCCTAAGTCCATAGTTTACATTGCAATTCACTCTTGGTGTTGTATGTTCTGTGGTTCTGGACTAAAGCATAATGACATGTATTCATTTTTATGGTGTCATATAGAGTGTATCACATAGAGTATTTTTACTGCCCTAAAAATCTTCTGTGGTCCACTTATTTATTCCTCTACCATCCTGAAGCCCTGGCAAAAACTGACCTTTTTACTGTTTGGGTAGTTTTGCTTTATTCAGAATTTCATGTAATTGGCATCACATAATATGTAGCCTTTTCTGATTGGCATCTTTCACTTAATAATATGCATTTAAAGTTCTTCCATGTCTTTTCATGACTTCCTAGCTTCTTTCTTTTTCGTGCTAAATAATATTCCATTGTCTGATATACCACAGTTTATCCATTCACCTGCTGACAGATATCTTGTTTGCTTCAACTTTTGTTTATAAAGTTGGAATATAAAGTTTATGTGGGTGAGTTTTAGTCATACAAAACTATGAGTAAAGATGCTATAAACATTTGTGTGCAAGTTTTTATGGGAACATAAGTTTCAAATCATTTGGGTAAATGCCAAAGAGCTCAGTTTCTAGATTGTATAGTTAAACTATGCTTTACTTTTGTGAGAAACCACCAAACTTCCGAAGTGTCTTTACCCTTTAGCATTTCCAATAGTAATGAATGAGTGTCCCTGCTGTTAACACACCATTGTCATTATTTGGTATTGCCAATATTCCAGATTTTGGTCATTTTAGTAAGTGTGTTTTGGTATCTCGTTGCTGTTTTAGTTTGTATTTCTCTCATGATATATCCTGAATTTCATACATTCACTTGTCTGTATATCTTTTGATGAGGTATCTGTTGAGATTTTTATCCCATTTCTCCAATTGGATTGTTGGTCTTACTGAGTTTTAAGAATCCTCTGTATATTCTTGGATAACAGTTCTTTTTGAGATGTATCTTTTTCAAATATTTTCCCTTCATGTGTGGCATGTCTTATAATTCTCTTAATATTGTCTTTTGTAGATCTGAAGTTTTAATTTTATAAGGTCCATCTTATTAATTACTGTTTTTCATGAATTGTGCTTTTGTATATGAAAAAAGTCATGGCCAATACCTAAGGTCATCTGGGTTTTCTTTTTTTTTTTTTTTTTTTAAATTAAATTTATTTATTTTTTGAATTGATTATGCTGTTACAGTTGTTCTATTCCCCCCTCCATTCCCCTCCACCCTGCCCCCCAACCCCACCATTACCCCCCTTTAGTTTATGTCCATGTGTCTCAAGTCCTTTAGGTTCTAAATTTCCCAAACTATTCTCCCCCCCCCCATCTATTTTCTATCTACTGTCTATGCTACCTGTTTTCTGTACCTTCTCCCCCCATCTCCTCCTCCCATTCCCCTGTTGCTAACCCTCCTTGAGATCTTCATTTCTATGTTTCCACTCCTGCTCTAGCTGTCCTTTGGTTTGCTTTCGTTTTAGGTGTGGTTGTTAATAACTGTGGATTTGTTGTCCTTTCACTGTTCATGTTTCTTTATCTTCTTTTTCTTAGATAAGTCCCTTTAACATTTCATATAATAAGGGCTTGGTGATGATGAACTCCTTGAGTTTGGTCTTATCTGAGAAGCACCTTATCTGTCCTTCCATTCTAAATGAAAGTTTTGCTGGGTAGAGCAATCTTGGTTGTAGGTCCTTAGAATTCATGACTTGGAATATTTCTTTCCAGCCCCTTCTTGCCTGTAAGGTCTCTTTTGAGAAATCTGCTGACAGCCTGATGGGGACTCCTTTGTAGGTGATTGTCCCCTTAGCTCTTGCTGCTTCCAGGATTCTCTCCTTCGTTTTAATTTTGGCTAATGTAATTATGATATGCCTTGGTGTGTTCCTTCTTGAGTCCAACTTTTTTGGTACTCTCTGGGCTTCTTGGATTTCTTGGAAGTCTGTTTCCTTTGCCAGATTGGGGAAATTTTCTTTTATTATTTGTTCAAATAGTTTTTCCACTGGTGGTTGTGTCTTTCCCCCCTCTGGTACCCCTATAATTCGGATATTGGAGCGTTTATAGATGTCCTGGAAGTTCCTAAGCTTCTCCTCATTTTTCTGAATTCTTATTTCTTCATTCCTTTCTGATTGATCATTTTTTTCTTCCTTCTGGTTTACTCCATTGAGTTGAGTCCCAGTTTTTTTTTCATCTCTATGGGTTTCCTGTGGAATTCCATTCATTTCCCTTAATTTAGCCTTCATATGTTTCTCTAATTTATGGCTATAGTCCACCAGATCTGTGAGGAAGCTGACGACAAGTGTCTTAAACTGTGCGTCTGAGAGATTTGCTATTTCTTCGTCACTTAGATTTATCTCCGGGACTTTGAGGTCCCCCTGCGACATTTTTTGGTCTGTTCTGGCCCTTTAAGTGAGAGAAGCGGCGCCTTGGAGTCCCAGGTCGCTGGGTTGTGACGCTGTATGTGGGGGGCGTGGTCAGAGGGGGGGGAAATGGCGCCGCCGCCGGTCCCCCGCTCACTCCCTCACCCGCGCGTAACCGGGCACCCACAGTCAACTCGCTGCCACCGCCTCCCCACTGACTCCTCCGTAGTCACTCACCCGGTGGGCTGCTCACTAGGTCCAATCCTGGGTTTGGAACCCGTGCGACTGGATTCCGCGCCCGCGCCCGCGCCCGGGTCGTTCAAGTTCTCCTTTGTAACTCCTCAACCCGCCGCCGCCGGTTTTGCCTCTTACCGGCCGGGCCGGAGAATTCGCTGTTTGCGGACTTCCGAAAAGTCGCGCGTCTGGGTTCCGCGCCCGCGCCTGCGCCCGGGTCGAACGAGTTCTCCTTTGTAACTCCTCAACCCGCCGCCGCCGGTTTTGCCTCTTACCGGCCGGGCCGGAGAGTTCGCTGTTTGCGGACTTCCGAAAAGTCGCGCGTCTGGGTTCCGCGCCCGCGCCCCGGGTCGAACGAGTTCTCCTTTGTAACTCCTCAGCCCGCCGCCGCCGGTTTTGCCTCTTACCGGCCGGGCCGGAGAATTTGTTGTTAGCGGACTTCCGAAAAGTTCAGTTTTCCGTGTTCTGGTTGTGTTTTCTGATGCTAATATTTAGTTGTCCTTAAACTTGGTTGTGAGAGGAGGCAGGCACATCCACCTTAATCCTCCATCTTGGCGGAAGTCTCTGGGTTTTCTTGAACTTATCTTTTTGGAGTTCTATAGTGTTTGGATTTTGCACTTAGATCTGTGATCCATTTTAAACTTTTGTGAAGGTTAAGTTTGTTGTCTAGTTACATTTTTCTTGCATGTAGATGTCCATTTATTCCAGACACATTTGTTGAAGAGATTGTCTTTGCTTCCTTTTACTGCCTTTGTTCAAGTTTAGTTGACTATATTTATGGAGTTCTTTTCTTGGGCTGTCTATTCTGGCTAGATGATCTGTTTATTCTTTCATCAACATCAGTGTCTTACTGTAGCTTTATAGTAAGTATTTCTAAAAAGATTTTAAATTTATTTTTATGTTTAGAGAGAGAGAAAGGAAGGATAAAGAGGGAGAGAAACATTGATGTGTTAAAGAAACATTGGTCAGTTGCTTCTTGCACACCCCCAGCTGGGGACATGAGCCTGCAACCCAGTCATGTGCTCTAACCAAAATTCAGCTTGTGACCTTTACTTCTGCAGGCTGACACGCAACCCATGGAGCCACACCAGTCAGGGCTACAGTAAGTCTTGAAGTCAGGGAGTGTCAGTCCTCCAACCTTGTTCTTCTCCTTTAATACTGTGTTGGCGATTCCAGCCTTTTGTGTCTTTGTATAAATTTTAGAATTATTTTGTTAATATCTATTAAATAAATTGTTGGGATTTTATTTGTCATTGCATTGAATCTGTAGGTCAGTTTGGGAAGAACTGACATTTGATAATATTGAGTGTTCCTGCTCATGAAAATGGAAGATCTCTATTTATATAGTTTTTTTTCATTTCATTCTTCAGAGTTCTGCAGTTTTTCTCATGTAGATCTTGTAGATTTTTAGTTTTATACCTGAGTATTTCTTCTAGTAAAAATAATATTGTTTTTAATTTCTAGTTCCACTTTTCTATTGTTGGTGTATAGGAAAGTGACTATTATATATTAACTTTGTATCCTGCAGTTAACAATAATGGTTTATAAGTTCCAGGAGGTGGTTTTTTGTTCTTGTTGTTTCTCTTTGGGTTTTCTACACACAGGATTATTTCATCAGTGAACTGATGAAATAATGTTCAGTTCAAAACTGAAAAAAGACAGTTTTGTGTTTTCTTTTCCAATCTGTATGACTTTTATTGACTTTTATTTTCCTTCCTTGCCTTAATGCATTGGGTAGGACTGTCAACATGATCTTGGAAAGGAGTAGTGAGAGGAATGTCTGCTTTGTACCTAATCATACTTGGAAAACTTTGAGTATTTTTACCACTAAGTATAATGTTAGTTATAGGTTTTTCAAGTTGACAAGCTATCCTTTATTCTAGTTTACTGAGAAGTGTTTTTTTTATTATGAATGTATGTTGGATTTTGTCACATGCATCTATTTATGCGATCACGTGTTTTTTCCCTGTTTAGTCAGATCAGATTTTTAAACATGGTTTTAGATGTATGATCTCTTGTACAAGTTATTTGAATTTGCTAAAGTCTTAATTTCTTGGTAGAAACTATGTACATATGGGAATTTATAAGAAACAGAGAACAGAAATAAGTTTTCTACCTTCTAGGTGGTGAGAACTATTTAGCATAATGCATATCAGGTGCTTTTCTTATTGCCTCTCATGTAATTAAGACTTGACAAATAATAATTGTCAACTGTCCTTGGCAAATAATAGTGGGATAATAAACATTAAAAAATAAGCCTCTGAAAAATAATGAGATTATTTTACCTAATGACTGGTCAATAAATTCAAATGTAAATTTGAGTGAAGAACATGGGATAATTTGCCCATGGTCTGTGGGTGATTTTTAGTACTAAAATCACATTTGATTACTTTGGGATAATTTAAGGGGAACAGTCATCTTTTTAACTAATGCACTTAAATTGTAATAAAAATTGAGTTATGATTCCTGTCTTTTTGATACAGATTCAAGATTTTTGGAAAGTTACCACTGATTTCCTTAAGAATTTCAGATAAAAAACTTCAAGGGATTTTGGAATTGATTGAAAGCATTCCAAAACCCACACCTGCAACTGAAGTGCATGACCCTGTCAAACCATTTCAGGTAATATTATTTACAAAATGAATAAAAACACACAAAAAATTCACAACTATCATTTTAACAACCACAGAAATTTTAAATAAAAAGAACAGTTCATTCTGAACAGACCTTTAAAAATTACATTTTAAAAGAGCAAATGATGAAGTAATAAAAGGTGCCTGAAGTGTAAAATGGTAAGTCTATCTTTCTTTACTTCTCCAGCCTTCAGTGCTTGGCCTCAGTGGTAACACTTCAACCACTGCATCTCTAGTTTTCTGAAAATGTTTGTGGCATATGCTAGTACACATATGTAAACATATGTGTATGTACATGTGTATTTGTTCTTGTGTTCTTAAAATTTGTGTGAGATTATACTTAGTGTTCTGAACCTGTATTCTTTACCATTATTATCTATGTTAAACACCTTGGAGATATTTTCATTTTAGTCCAGATCTACCTTGTTTTTTACTGTGATATACAGGGTGGGGAAAAAGTAGGTTTGCATTTGTGAGTGTGCTAAACACAGAGTTCATTCTTGTATTATTATTTATTAATTAATATTTTCCATATGAACAACTATAAACCTACGTTTGCCCCACCCTGTAGTTTTGAATTATGTGAGTATACCATCCGTTATCTAACATAATCCCCTTTGGGTGGACATTCATATTGTTATGAGTGTTTTTAGTTGTGAAAATATGGCTTTGAACTTCCTTTTATATACATTTAGGCATATTTTTATCCATTAAATAAATTCCTAGGAGAATTGTTGAGTAAAATACCATGTGAATTTTATAATTTAATGAACTTTGCTGAATTTCTTTTCTAAATTGAGTCATAATTTATAGTCTCACCAATGAAGGTCTGTTTCTTTGTTCTCATGAATCATATTAACACATGTTAAAATTTATTCTGCTAAATGAAGGAATGTTACCTTGTGGTTTTAATAGGCATTTCTTTATGAATAAGATGGAACTTATTTTTGTAAGTTAGAGAATTTGCATTGCTGTTTTTGAAAATAGCTGTTTATATCTTTTGTTGGGTTATTGTTTTCCACTTAAGGAAATATTTGAAGTTTTTAATTTACAATCAGTTTTTAAAAATTTGTTATTTGTTTTTATTCTGATACATTTATTTTTGCCAAGCCAAACTTTCTATGTAGTTAAAGTTATTAAATTTCCCCTTTGTGATGTGTGGGTTTTGTGTTATGTCTGTTACCTCTTATGAAATGAATTTCAAAAAGGAAATATCAGCCCTAGCTGGTGTAGCTCAGTGGATTGAGCACAGGCCTGCGAACCAGACAATCGAGGTTCGATTCCCAGTCAGGGCATATACCTGGGTTGCAGGCCGGTTCCCTGCAGGCCAGTTCCCAGCAGGGGATGCATGAAAGGCAACCATACATTGATGTTTCTCTCCCTCTCTCCTTCCCTCCCCCTCTAAAGATAAATAAATAAAAATCTTTAAAAAAAAAGGAAATATCCATTCCTATTTTTCTTTTTTTTTTAAATTCTGATTTTTTAAAACTTTTTTTGAAATAATTTCAGACTTACAGCAATGTTGTAAAAATAGTGCAAAGAAGTTTTTTTCCTCAGAGCATTTGAGAATGTTTCTGATTTGTTGTACCATCACCCTGAACACTTTAGTGTTCTGCAATATTTTTTCATAGTCTGTTGCTGAGCTTTTTATGTTTTAAGTCTCTTTTTAAAAGATGTTTTAGATTTTGATGAAATTTAATTTTTACAATATTGTTTTAATGGATAAAACATTTTATCTCATCTGAACTCTTTGCCTAACACATGGGCAAAAGATTTTCTCTTATATTTTATTCTAGAAATCTTTTATTATTAGATTTTATGTTTAGCACTATGAGCCATTACTTGTTAATCTTTTTATACATTGAGTGTGATGAGTCATTCTATTTTTACATTTATATTTCTAGTTATTTCAGTTTCATTTGTTAAAAAAACTTTCTCCTGTGAGTTGAATCTGTTTCCGGCTATGTTCTTCTACAATGATTTCTGTATCCTTTTCTTTGATCTGTGTCTGTCCTTTCACTGATACCATACTGTTTTATTTACTGTATAGTTACTTACACGGTAAGCCTCTTTTTTAATTAAAAAAACTTTTTTATTCTCACCTGAGGACATGCTTAGAGGGGGAAGGAAAGGAGAAAGAGTGAGAGAAACATCACTTGGTTACCTTTCATATGTGCACCAATCCCTGACCAGGGGACTGAACCTGCATCCCGGGCATAGGCCATGGATGGGAATTAAACCCTTGACTTTTTGGTTTGTTTGATGATGCCCAGCCAAATGAGCCATACCAGCCAGGGTTTAATTTTTAATTTTTTATTAAAAAAATTTTTTTTAATATTAAATTTTATTTAGTTACTTTTCAAGTACATTTTTTTTTAATCTATTTCTCCCATACCACCCCACCCCCCCGCCCGGTCTCCCCCCTCCCTCCCATTCCCCCCTCCCCAGTCCTCATCTCTGTGTCTTTCATACTTGTTCCTCAAAATCCCTCCCCCTTTTTCCCCTTAAGTTCCCTTCTACAGTTATCTCCATTTTCCCTCTACAATTCCCCCTGACCCCAGCCATCCCCCCTCCCACCCTTGATCCTACCCCACTTTGACTTTGTCCATAGGTCCTTAATATATGTTCCCTGACAACCCTTCCCTTTCTTTTCCCCATTATCTCCTTCCACCTCCCCTCTGGTTACTGTCAGTTTGTTCTTAATTTCAGTGTCTCTGATTATATTTTGCTTGCTTGTTTGTTTTGTCTCCAGGAAGACAAACAATCCAATTAAAATTTTTGATTTTTTAAAAACTATATCCTGTGCAGATTGTTACGGAGAATTTCTGTGACAGCCTTCTGAGTCTGGTTCTTCCATCAGGTTTGTGCTGTGCTGACTGCATACCTCTGAGTCCTTTTTGGCTTGATGTTTAGTGTCTTTTACACTTCTATTACTTTTTTCTTAAGCTGTTAAAGCTTTAAGAAAAACCATCTGTGTAACTATTAGGTTCTATCTTAGTTAAGAGTGATGGCTAAGATGAATTCCCTCCCCACCCCACTCCCAGACTTAATTGCAGTATAACCAGGGTGGGCAAAAGTAGGTTTACAGTTGTAAGTAAAGGAATGGATTATTCTTGTTTTATTATTTATTAATTATATTATTTATTTGTATTACAACTGTAAAATTACTTGGCTCACCCTCTATATTAAGAGAGTCTTGAACACATGATCTACACTAGATCATGTTCCTTTTAAAAATTCAATGCTTACGTAAAAATAAGCAGAAAATTACCACTAAAATCTTTTTTAAAGTGGATTTCTATTTTGTGTCAGGCCACACATTTGGAAAAGGACTCTATTTAAGGCTCTCTATTATTTACATTTAGCACCTAGCACACTTCTTTATTTTTGCATATTTTTATCTTTAATCTTTATTACAATCTAGCAAGTTGCGTGTTATGGTCATTATTTTGCTTAATGGATGCTGTTTTCGAGAGGTTAAATATTTTGCCTAAGATCATGTAGCTTGTAGCTTGCTGAGCCAAAGTTTGAATTCAGGTTTCTTTTTATTTCTTCTTTTAAAACAAATCTCCAGCTGAGATTCTTTCTGCTGTTAGCACATAATTTTCTATACATATATGTGTGTGTGTGTGTGTGTGTGTGTGTGTATGATTTCCTAATCTGCAGGCGTTCTGTTTGTACTTTTTCCAGGTTTCCCAAGGAAGTTCAGTATGAAACAGTAGATCTTTACTAAGAGTTTTGATTTAAGCTGAAGTAGTTTTACATGTCAAATAAAATATTTTATAAACAAAGAATCACCTCTTCAGGAATGATTGTTTGGCATGTCTTAGAAACAGACTTTTAGTCACAAGTCTTAAATGTTTTAACATTTAAATATATCTTGGAGTTGGGTGTTCCTTTTCACTTTCTACAGTGATTTTTTAAAAGCTTTATCAAGGGATAATTGATTAATAAAGTTCTCAAATATTTAACATGTACATCGAGGTGATTTGATATACATTGTGAAAGTTTTTCCCATATCTAGTTAATTAACACGTCCATTACTGGTCATATTTATCTTTTTTTGCTGGGGGAGAAGAATTTAAGTTCTTCTCTCTGAGTGTATTTCAATTATACAATCTAGTGTTATCAACTATAGTCATCATATTTTAAATTAGATTCATCATATAACTAAAGATTTGTACCTTTAGTAAACTTTTCCTTTTTCTTCAACCCCCAGCCCCTGGCATCTACTTTTATACTCTGTTTCTTTGAGTTTGACTTTTTTTCTTATTTTAAATTCCACATATAAGTGACATTATGCAGTATTTGTCTGTTATATTTAGGTGATATATAGTGTTCAAGTCATTTTCTTACTGATGTTTTGTCTAGATGTTCTGTCCTTTATTGAAAGGTAATATTGAAATATCAAACTATTTGTAGACTTCTTATTTCTCCTCTTTTGTTAATGTTTTCTTTACATATTTTGGGACTTTATTGTTTGTAGTGTATATTTATAATTTTTAGTATCTTCCTAGTAAATTATTTTCTTTATTATATATAATGACTTTTTTGGTTTGTTACAGCTTCTCATGTAAAGTCTTTTGTTTGAAATCAGTATAACCACCTATGCTTTGACTGCTATTAGAATATCCTTTTTCATCCTTCATTTTCTATTTATTTGTGTATTTGGGTCTAAAATGAATCTGTTGTACACAACATGTAGTTGAATCATACGTACTTATATGTCTTTATCCATTCTGCAAGTCAGTGCCTTTTGATTAGATGGTTCAATCTGTTCATATTTAAAATACTTAAAAGGAAAGACTTCCTCCTGTTATTTTGCTTTTTTTCTTCTATATATCTTACACTCATTTTCTCTGTTATTCCCTCTTCTTGAAATTAGTGGGTTTTTGCAGTGAACTGTTTGAATCCCTTCTAATTTACTTTGTGTATACTTTTAGATATTTTCTTTATGGTTGGTATGTCAATTTAATTTTATTTAACATTCTTAGTTTATAATATTGTGTTTTGAGTTGATACTAACTTAACCTCAGTAGCATGCAAAAACTCTTTACTAATGCAGCTCTGGTCTCCCATTATTAAGGTGTCACAGATTGCACCTTCATGCACTGGGTGCTCAGAATCCATTACAAGTTTTTAATATATTTTCTTGTAAGTGTGTAGATAATAAAAATTATAGTTCTGAACTATAAATACAATAATACATTGTTATGTATATGTCCGTGTGTTTATCTTTACCAGAAATTCTATTTCTAGCTATGGCTTTGTGTTCCTGTCTATTGTTTTTTACTTCAGCCTAAAGGACTCTCTTTGGCATTTTTTGTTGGTCAAGTCTAATGGTAACACACTTCTTTGGATGTTTGTCTGGCAGTGTCTTAATTTCAGTTTTTTAAAGACAGTTTTGTCATACATAAAATTCTTGGTTCACCTTTATATTCTTTTAGCCCTTTCAATGTCATTCCATTACTTTTTGTCTTTCTAATGAGAAATCGATTATTAATTTAATGAGAATACCTAGTATGTGGTGAGAAGCTTCTTCTCTCTTTGAGTGTCTTTTAACTGATCATGTTTTTGTATTGATTTATTTGAGTGTATGTTACATTGATTTAGTGAACTTGTTGGTCTTTTAAGATTCATATGTTTTATCAGATTTGGGGACATACTTCTTTTTGTAAAACCTATCTTACTGTTATTTTCACTTGTAATCTTGTTCTTTTCTTTTAGCTCTTTTTTTTAGGTTCTTTCTAGCTCTCTGAGTGTATTTAAGACAGTTTAAAGTGGTTTTCTTTGCCGTCAAGGCCGATATTTGTGCTTTCTCTTGAACCGTTTCTGTTATGTTTTTTCTCTGTGTATGGGCCACACTTCCTTGTTTCTTTGCATGCATTATTATTCTGTTGTAACTGAAGAATTATGAGAAAAGAAAACTACAGACCAATGTGTTCATTAACATAGATGTAAAAGTCCTTAACAACTAGTACAACCAAATAGTATGATATTTTAAAATATAATACACTGTGACTAAAATCATTTACTCTAAGAATGCAAAAATGGTTCACCAGTCAGTGTTATTGACCACATTCATGGAGTAAAGGAGAAAAGTATATGATCATCTCAATAGAAGAGGAAAAAGCATTGACAAGATCCAACAACCATTCATGGTAAAAACTGTTAACAAACTTAGAATGAAAAGTAGCTTCCTCAACTGGTAAAGGATGTACAGGAAAAAACCTGTGGCTGATATATTCTTAATTTGAAAAAGACCGAATACTTTCCTTGTAAGATCAAGAGTAGTGTAAGAATGGCTGTTCTCACCAGTTCTGTTTAGACTTTCACTAAAGGTTCTAGTCTTTGCAACAGTAAAGAAGAATGAAGATGGGATGGAAATAAGAATGTAACATTATCTTTAATTACAGTTACATGATCATTGATGCAGAAAGTTCTAAAGAATGTAGAGAAATATGAGTAGTAATAGTAAGCAAGTTTCACAAGGTTGCAGGAAACAGCAATATAATTGTTTCTAAAAATGAAATTAAGAAAAATGTTATTAATAGTATTAAAAAGGGTTAAATATATAGGAAAATTAGCAAAAGAAATACAAATACTATATACTAATAACTACACAACATATCTGAAAAAAGACCTAAGTAAGTGGAATGATATACATAATCAAGGTTGGAGAGCTGAATTATTAAGATGGCAGTTCTCACCAAATTCTGTAGGTTTCTTACTATCAAAATACCAAAAAATTTTTCTTCTAGAAACTAACAAGCTTATTATAAAATACACTGGTAATGCAAAGGATACATATTACGCAAAACAATTTTGGATAAGAATAAGGTTGTAGCTTATCTGATACTTTATTTCAAGGTTTATTTTATAGCTACTTTATTCCAGAAAGTGCTGTAGAGGCATATGAATAGATGTTATAATAAGTCAGTAAAGTAGAATAGAGTCTGGAAATAAATCTACAATGTAATACATGGTTAATACATATTTGATTTCTTACAAAGATGTCAGTTTAACTAAGTGAGGGAAGAATAGTTCTTACAACAAATGGCTCTGAAGACCTATATTATTATGTGGAAAAAATAGGTAAAAAATAAATGATTATCAACCCTTACCTTAAAACATGAATGGAATTTAACTGGAAATGGAACATAGACCTACATGTAAATGCCCAAGGGTATAAAGTTTCTTTAACAAAAAACATAAGTAAAAATGTTTGAGTCCTTGTGGTAAGTAAAGATATCTTGGGTTTTAAAAAGTGAAAATATAGAAGAAAAATAAGTTTTATTTAATGAAAATTAAAATTTTCTGATTTTTAAAGACACTTAAAAATGAAAAAGGCAAACTATCAATTGGGAAAAGTACTTGAAAGGCGTGTAACTTAAAAAAGATTTGTCCAACATACTTGAATATAAAAGCCAGCAGCCAGATAGGAAATGACTTAGGTGTGTGACTTTATTTATTACTCAGCAGGAAAATGCGAAAGCAAACTACTATTTTATGTCATTAGATATAAAATATTACATTAAAATTAAAATTAGAGCAGCATTTTAGGTCATTACGTTTTGGGAGCATGTGCTGAGGAGCACAAGGGAGGCTTCTGAGTTCTCTTGCTAAGTCTAGATTTTGTGTGCATGAGTGCATTTACATTTTGAAAAGTTATTGAGCTATGTACTTACACTTATGTGCTCCTATGTAGTAGGTTATTTTTTAATAAAAATGTATCCTCAAAATGAATAGGATTCTGAGTAGGACAAACACAAATAACCTGTGAAACTTTAATGTGATGTGTAACTATTATGCATTTGTGAAATTGTAATTAAAACTAGGGTGAAACTGGCAGTGATATTGGCAAGGTTTAAAATGTCTGAAAACTTTAAGCTTTCTTGAGGATATGGAGCCATACAAACTCTAATCTGCTGACATTAGTGTATTGTATTGCAACCACTTGTGAATACAGTTTTGTAGCACTTCTAGAAAGGTGAACATACGCGTTTCCACTCTTTGATACATACACCACAGAAAGTCTTGCATATGAGCACCTGGGTCAGGTTCAAGGATGCTTATAATGCCACTGTGAGTAAAAGCAAAAACCTGTGAACAGTACAAATATTTATCAACAGCGAAAGGGACAACGAAGGAGTGTTTTGTTCAATGTCACCAAAAATTTTTCTTCTGGAAACTAAGTTTATTATAAAATACACTGGTAATGCAAAGGATACATATTAGGCAAAACAATTTTGGATAAGAATAAGGTTGTAGGTTACCTGATACTTTCTTGAGGATATGGAGCCATACAAACTCTAATCTGCTGACATTAGTGTATTGTGTTGCAACCACTTGTGAATACAGTTTTGTAGCATTTAGAAAGGTGAACATACGTGTATGTAGATTTAATGAAAATTTTAATTTTCATTAAATTACTCATTTGGAGAATGAGTAAACTGTCAATGCAGATAAAATTGAAGGTGGTTTTGTAGAATAATATTACCCAAAGATACATCCAATGTTTTCTTTTTCTACCGTATAGAAAGATGCAGAGGTAAATGCATTCTTTAGAGACTCATTCATAGGTTTAGAAAAGCAAACTAAATACAAGCCAGATCATGATCATTGGTAGGGAAAGCAATCAAAGGGGTAGCACAGAGGGTGTTTCTAGGTAGATAGGGTATGGCTTGTTTCTTTGCCTGGGTGAAAGGTTCAGGAGTGTTTTTTATTTTGATTTTCAAACTGCATTACATGTGTTTATGCTATATTTCCTGGAACAATAGTAAATTTACTGAAATATCTTATAAAAATTAAAAATAAAATTGCAAATTCTTCAAGTATATAGGCTTTAAATCTTGAGACTTCTTGTTCTTCATGGATGTCACGAAGGTTCTTCCTTATTTTGCAAGGTATTGAGTTTAGATATATCTAAGGTCATTTTCTACTCAAAGTCTGTCAACAGGAAAATTATTAAAATAGCTGTAATGTTTATATTTAGCCGTGAAACTGTAATAATCACTTCTTGAAATATATATCTTATAATTGTCTAATTCAGACTAGATTTTTTCCCTTTTGGGGGAGGTGTCCAAATTGTCTTAGAACCTTGAATAAAATCTTTGTGCTAATTAACAGTAAATTACTTTTCTTTCAGATACAAAGGTCTACTTCTTTGGGAGCATCACAGATATCACAGAAAGTGATTCCTCTATTGGAACTGAAACGTGTGGAAGATGGTAAAATGAAACCACTTTAGAAAACTTTCCTTGTTATAAATATCTTATAGAAATAATTCTCATGTTGAAACCATATAAAAATTTTAGGGAATAGCAGATACTTGTATGTTTTCCAGAAATTTTACTAAAATCCTTTTAGATCACTTTAATTTAGGTGTCCCTTAAAGTTACTTTTTGCAGTGGCATTTTTGATACATAAAAGTTAAACTTAATTACAAGGACATCTAGTAATTTAATTATCTTAATCCTGCTGTGAGCTAAGAGATCCCATTAAACTTTATAGATATCTAATTCTTGTGATATGTAGGTATTGGAGAATTTTGTTATTACAAGTTTATTTTTACTTTATATGTTTTCCTTTTTTGTTATTACTCCTTTTTATTATTAAAGGAGTAAAACCAAGCCTTAATATGTATTTATACAAGAAAACTGGTAAATATTTTGACATCAAATAGATGCTTTTTCCTGGCCACACTGGAAAGAAAAATAAATACAAATTTCAGTTTTTAAGACTTCTAAAACTGCTCAATATTAAATCACAGAAATTGCCATGTTGGCTTTCAGTTTTCTAGAGAATGTTTTCCTTTGTGTGTGGTAACCAGGGTAGGGATGGAGGGAAGGGAGAAGGTATTGTTTGTGAGGTCATCTACCTTAAATTCAATCTTAGGTTATTAGAAATATACTTCAGCTTGTCTTAGTTTCCTTTAAACCTTCCTTTAATGGTTTTAAGTTTTTGACTTTTTTAAAGTAGCAAATTCTAGAAATTTATCATCACATATGTATTTATGTATGTATGTACCTGAAGTAGTACTCCATCTCAATTTCTCCATTCAAACTTTAGGACCTGCCTTCTGCTTTTAACGTTGCAGAGTTTTTAACTAGGTCCTTTTTGCTCTCTAGGTGTGAGCATATTAGTGTGTTCCTTTGATTATTCATGATGTGGTAATCATTGGTATTGTCATTTGCTATAAAATTTTCTTTAACCATTTTTAGATAGACCAATGACTTTACCAGTTCATTAAGATAAAGAATGCATTTTGTAAATTTCAGTACTTTTTTTGTCATCAAGAATGTTATTCAGTTGTGATCTCTAAACTTTAAGGTTTATTTTCTCATCTTTACATTATAAATTTTTGAAAGAGACCCTTTTGGTGTTTTATTGATAATATTTACTTTAGAAAAATCATAAATATGTTATTAAATAAATCATTTTCGTTATTGATTTAAACAATGTTCTGTGATATTTAGATTCAGAGGAGGAATTTTATGATGCACCATGTAGTCCCTTGGAAGAACCTTTTCAGCCAACAAATAAAAGTTGTCAACCAAAAGAGCTTCAGAAGTTGGATTGTTCAAAAAATATAATTCAGTATAAAATAAGATTTGAAGTACCAGAGGTATGTACCATTGTAAAATTGACATGGTTTATTTAGATTGTTTATTATTTTTACTATTCACAGCGTATTTATATAGTGTCATTACTAAGGCATACTGTTGCTTTCATCCTATTTAAGCTGAACCCAGATGTTATTGTGTCGTTCCCCCTCCTTTGTGTGCAATGTATGTTTGTGTGCTTATAAAATCTTTTCTACATTTTAAGTACAGATCAGTTATATTATATGTATACTTCATGTATACATATATAACTGTCATTCACATAAGTAGGTCTTTGATTTAGATAATATTAGTTTCTTTTTTCTCTCTTCTCCAGGTATCAGTTCAGTTTTATCACCTTGTTGAAGATCGTGAAGTACCTGTAGTAGAAATTCTTGTCTTAGGATTGGGCACAGAAGTAGAGCTTAGAACATTTGATTTGAAAGCCACTGCCTTTTTGAAAGAATTCTGTCTAAAGTGCCCGGAATACTTGGGTAAGAATCTGTGTTTTAAAATGAATAATTTTATCATTGAACTGACTACTGGAGAGTTTTTAATTCTCTAGGCATTAAATAAATACATTTGCTAAAACATGCTCAGAAACATATTATTAATTAGTTTTTAACTTTTATCTTATACTTGGGAATCTAGGTAGACCAGAGAGAAAATGAAGATAATTGCTTTTATTATGGAAAATGAACGTCATGGTTTAATTATAAATCTGTTTAACTGAATTCTACAACACTAAATTTGTTTCTTGACAGTAGTTCCATACTCAACACTTGTTCTGTAGCCTTTGAGAACTTGAGTGTGGTGGATTGTGTTATCCTCTCTTGCTTAGGAAACCATCATACATACCAGGTACAGAGTTTTGGTTTATTGTGCTTTTTAAGTCAAGAAACGATTTGTTCTGGTAATTGGAAAAATAGGCAAACCAACTTGTTGGGAACCGCTCTGTCTGGTTTTAGGAGCTGTAACCCCTGCATGGCTAAGGCTGAGTGAGCGACCTTCGGACCATAAGCCACTAAGGAGATAAGGCTTATTTCCCTAGCAGGAGTGTCCCTTCTGCTACTTTTACTTCATCCATAGCTGGCCCCCAGTGCTTGGTTGGTTAGCCAATGACGTGTAAGATTCCCCAAGGTGGGAACGACCTAGGACAGGCATGATCATGTGGAAGCCCCAGGGAAGGACCTTGAGGGGGAAGGCTATGGAGAAAGGGGGTGATGGACCCTCGCCCCTCGGCTTTGACAAAGCCTGACTCCGCAAGAAGTCTCAAAATTCCTTGGCTATCTGCCTCCTCTGCCTGACTTAAGCCTGAAACAATGATAGAGGGCAGTGCAGTCCTGTGCTGGAAAGGATGGGTTTCCTGGGTGATCGGGCCTAAGAAAGGATATGTAAAATTCTTCAAAGCCTGCTTTGCTAAGAATGCTCTTAGTTAAATGATAAAGGTCCGAGCAGGAAATTAGTTTGTTTCCCAAAGTTTTGTAGCCTCTTTGCTGATAGACCCTGACTCAGAAGAAGCCCTAGTAGTTCTTTGTATGCTGTCATTTGATCCTTACTGCCTGCAATGATTCATAAATTGTACCTGTCCTCCTGCACAAATTAAACCCAATAAAATCCTGTCTAGGCAAGGGTAAGCGTGCTCTCCCCTTGAAGGAACAGCTGTGTGATTGGTCCCTTTTCCTCCACAGGACTCAGTAGTCTGTGTGAATTTGTCTCATGTCTTATCCATGATGCCGCGGGCACTGCAAGTCGGTGCTTGCGTCACCAACTTGACATTGTTTTCCAGTAATCCAGAAGCATTATACCAGTTGTTAATTTTTATGTTTATTCCCTTCCTCAAGAGCAAAGGATAAAAACCTTGTACAACGAATACAGGATATACAATTATCATTGTATCTATTTCTGTAGTATTTTTGCTTCTGTTTTCTTAGAGGGAATTGGAAGAAGTGAATAGTAGTTACTTACACAGAGCATATCAGTAAATAGTTGTTCAATGAATGAATAAATGTGAGGAATATGGGGACCTTCTCAAGGGTTGAAATGTGGAGCACCTGTAGTAGAAGTCTGGCTAAAGTACAAATGAGCTTCTCAAGGTGGAGGATTCTGTAGAATATGTTGCATCTTTTCCTCAAGAATAGTAAAATTGGTTTAGTCTTTTCTTCCAGTATCTAGATGCTAATTTCATAAGTAATTTGGTAATGATAATGTTAAAGGCTTCATATAAAATATTCCTCTACAGCAATTATTCATTTATTTTTCTAAGTTTTGAACAAAAGCAATAATACAGCTAGTAATTCTGATTGTATGGTAATAGGGTTCATTTTAATCTATATTAATATACAAGAAAACTTTGTTTCTTATCACATACTTAATTTCTTCTCAAAAACTAGGTTTTCAGGGAGTCTGACAATTTTTTTTAAAGTTACTTCTGTGACTCAGGGCTAGAATTATCTTCATGTCTTTTCATTGTTCTTTTTATTTTTTTCTTTTCATATATATTTAAATTGCTTTTCAAGTTTTTGCTTTAACTGATTTCTATTTTTTTATTATTCGTACATTTTATCTAGGTTTGATAAGGTAAGAGGTTTTAGCATTAGAATAAAAGAAGGGAAGGGAATTGTAGGTAGAAATTACATTTTTAGAGTTTAAAGGATGATGGACCTGACCTGGGTAAGATAGAATCCAAAGATTCTGTCTGAGTAAAAAGAATCCCCTGTATCCAGAACTGGTATAAGGGGATTCTTCTTTTCCAATTTTATATTTAGTAATATTGTTTGCATTTTAGTTTCACTTATTTTTACTGTGAAAGAATAATTTTAAAAATTATTTTTAGATAAAAACAAAAAGCCAGTTTATCTGATTACAACATTGGATAACACAATGGAAGACCTTTTAACACTGGAATATGTGAAGGTAAGTAGTACCATTTGTATCTGCTTATTACTGTAAATATATGCCTGAAATATTAAGGTTTGTAAGTTTAGTAATATTTAATTTGGTTCTGATTCTATTGAGATATCTATAGCTCCAAAACTTTAAGATTTGGGGGATTTTTTTGTTATATTTCACATAGCAAAATTAGAAGCCTGTGTTCTAAGTAGAAATGACCTGCAGTTTTTTCCCTACCATCAAGGTATTAGAAACACATTAATCATGATCCTGTTTATTGTGATTTGTAATGCAAGACGAAGCTTTCACTTTATTTCTTATAATTGTCTGAAGTTACCTAATTCTTCTGGTGTCAGTGATTCTGAGTGTCATCTTTTTCCTATCGATTTTTAATACCCATTTTATCACTTATTATGTTTTTATATATACTATGATATACTTATGATTTATTCCATGCTTCATTGACCTGTTCTCTTGTAAGTGCCACATTATTTCAATAATTACTTTATTGTAAGAATAATGCTGAAGGACCATTTTATCACTTTTAAGACCATTTTTACTATTATGTAGGTACTTTGGGGGCTTTTGTTTATTTATTAAATACCTTGGATATTACAAAAGCATTCTAGATATGAAGATAACATGGATTATTTAGATACTTGGTGGAAAACTCTGTCATAAGTTTTGTTTTCACATACAGGAGTTAGGAAGGACTTTGCAGAGTTGTTGATGACTCACTGTTCTCCATATTTGACAATATTTAATTGTCCACTGTTGATAATTTATTGAATACTTGCTATGTACCAAATTTGTTTTGTGGAAGCAGTTTTTCATTTAGGTAATTATATGTATAAGTAACTGGACATTTTCTATATGTGTTTATTGGGACTGTTATATAACTGTATTTACATATTTAACTGTTTATTGAAAGATTTTTCTAACAGATTTTTTTTTCTTTTTGGATAGGCTGAAAATAATGTACCGAACTTGAAAAGTTTCTATAATAATGTTGCACAACTGATTAAGGTATTAGTGAATAATTATTTGGTTTTTAATTAGATACTATATTTCTAAGTAAATAGGATATTATGAAAATTACTTTATAACCAGAACTCTAAGCTCTCTGAAGATAAAAATAAAATATTATAAATTGGATTCTTTGTAACACAAAGCCTAATGCCTTATACAGTGGAGGTAAACAAATATTTATTAACCTGGCACTAAAATCAACTTTGTTTTTTAGGTGAATTTTTCCTCTTTGGATATTCATTTGCATACTGAAGCACTTCTGAATACAATAAATTATTTTAATAATATTCTTCCACAATTGGAGGAAAAATCAGCCTCAGTGTATGTTGCAGACACTGAAGACAAAGGAGGGGTCATTAAAAAGATATGTATGTTTCTTTAAAATTCAACTTTAAATTTTTTACAAGGAGATTAAAAATTTTTAACTTTGGCTTTATCAATTTATAATGTTGCCTTCAGGATTTCATTGCCTAGCTTAAAAACTAGAATGATTCATTATATTCCAGGTTAATTTTAGAAAATAATAGTAAATTACTATTACTATTAGCAGTAGGTTACTGCTAAAGAAAATGTATCTTTAATTTATCATATCATTCTTTTAAGTTGAAGATAATATTATAGAATTATTTCATTTAGATTAAAATTTATGTATTCAATATCATTACTTTAGAAAAATAGAACCAATAAACTTTTAATAATATCAGTATATTTTTTTAATTAGAGTACTTTTTAAGCTGTTAAAAGTTGCTTTTAACATGTAATGTTCAGTAATTATCATCTAGTAATTATTGACTCTCAAAAGATTTATTATTTTACTTCTAGTAATGTCTCAGTTTCAAATGTTAGTCTAATCTAGCAACCATTTTTTGTTTTTGTCTTTTTACTCTTTTTTTGCTTGTTTTCCTTATACTTGTTTTTTAGAATTCCTAATTATTAGGGAATATCTTGCTTGTTTTCAGCTGAATTCCACATCAGGTTTTTCTCTAGTATTAATGGGTTAGCTAAAAAGTTCATTTGTTTTTTTCCATAAGATGGCCCTAGCAGTGCTCAGTTGTCTTGAACTTAATTTGAAACAATTTTGTTAGATTGTGTTGTAACAGCTGTCATTTCAGCATGCATGTAAAAAAACTTACCAAAATTGGTGGTTTTGGGGTAGCCATTTTAATATTGAAGATGGAAGAAAACACAACATTTTCAGCATATTACGCTTTGTTGTTTTAGAAAGGTAAAAATGCCACTGAAGTGCAAAAATAAAATGTGCGCAGTGTGTGGAGAAGGTGCTGTGACTGATCCAAGGTGTCAAAAGATTTCTCATTGGACAGTGCTTCATGGTCTGGTAGGCTAGTTGAAGTTAGTAACGATGAAAAGGAGACATTAATTGAGAGCAGTCACTGTTCTACCGCACAGGAGATAGCTGACACAAAGTTACTGGTGAAAATGAAAAATGTGTCTTTCATTTTATGGAAAAAAACATACAGATTTTTTGACCAACCCAATAACATTATTTTTTGTTACATTTTATTTACTTAATAATTGTAGTGAGGTAGCTACAAGTTTTTTCTTATGTTTTATAATATAATTTTCTTGCAGCATCAAAACGATCCAGGAATGAAGATATTATTACCCTGCAGATTTTAGCAGAACTGTCATGTTTGCAGATCTTTATTCAAGATCAGAAACGTAATATTTCTGAAATTAAGATTGAAGGTAATAAAATTTCAGAAAAAAAAATTCGGAACTATTACATGAACAAAAAGGCATTTAACCATTTTTTCCCTCTTAGGGCTTGATTCTGAGATAATTATGAGGCCTTCAGTAACTGAAATAAATGCAAAGCTAAGGAATATAATTGTTTTGGATTCCGATATAACAGCTTTATACAAAAAGGTATGAATTTATTTATTGTTTAATAATACATTTTTAAATGTAATTGTCCTTTAAGATTAGTTATAGCCTTAATTATACAGTTGTCAGACTTTAGCTGTGCGACTCATGTCTTTTGGTTTTGGAGTTAGTAGGAATTAGGTTTGTATCTTACTAGCTCTGCTCTTTAATAGTTGTGTGATCTAATATTGGATTCTGTTTCTTTATGTGGATAAAATGAGGATTAAATATCTTGTAAATGAGATGAAGTATAACTAATCACTCCAGGGAACATAGATGCAGGAGTATGTGATGACTGAGGAAGGATAGAAGACTAGTAAATGCCTTTTTCACTTTTTCCCCCTTTTTTATTTTCAAATACTGTAAATCTTGCAATGTATTTTTTTCAAGTCACAAAAATAATTTAATTAAATTAAACTTTTGAGGGAAAGAAGTAATTTTTCCACCTTACAAATTGAGGTGACAAAAAGTTTTGTGCAGAAGAAACAGTTCTTAAAACATTTTCCTGGAGTGGAATATTTTAAAAAATAAAATTTCATTTTTCTTCTTTTTAAAATTTTTCTTTATTTTATTTTTTTTACCATCACTATTTAGTCCCCTTATACTTGCTTCCCCCCAGCAACCTCCACACTATTCTCCACGTCCATGAGTCCTTGTTCCTTTTTGCTCAATCTCTACCTCCTAACCTCCCCACACCAGCTGCCATCCTGCTCTCCATCTGTCTTTTCCCATTTTCCTTGTCAGTTCAGTTTGTTCAGAAGATTCCATGTATGAGTGAATTCATAATATTTGTCTCACTCTGACTGGCTTATTTCATTTAGCATAATGTTTTATTTTTATTTTTAATATATATTTTATTGATTATGCCATTACAGTTCTATTCCCTCCCTTCATTCCCCTCCACCCTGCACACCCCTTCCCCACCATTCCCCCCTTTAGTTCATGTCCATGTGTCTCAAGTTCTTTAGAATCTATATTTCCCATATTATTCTTGCCCTCCCCCCCATCTATTTTGTGCCTACTGTCTATGCTACTTATTTTCTGTACCTTCTTCCTCTTTCTCCTCCCCAACTCCCCTGATGCTACTCCTCCATGTGATCTTCATTTCTATGGTTCTGCTTCTGATCTAGGTGTCTGCTTAGTTTGCTTTTGTTTTAGGTGTGGTTGTTAATAACTGAGTTTGCTGTCCTTTCACTGTTCATCTTATTTTATCTACTTTTTCTTAGATAAGTCCCTTTAACATTTCATATAATAAGGGCTTGGTGATGATGAACTCCTTGAATTTGATCTTATTTGAGAAGCACTTTATCTGTCCTTCCATTCTAAATGAAAACTTTGCTGGAAAGAGCAATCTTGGTTGTAGGTCTTTGGATTTCATGACTCAAAATACTTCTTTCCAGCCCCTTCTTGTCTGTAAGGTCTCTTTTGAGAAATCAGCTGACAGTCTGATGGGAACTCCTTTGTAGGTGACTGTCTCCTTATCTCTTGCTGCTTCTAGGATTCTCTCCTTCATCTTAATCTTGGCTAATATAATTTTGATGTGCCTTGGTGTGTTCCTTCTTGGGTCCAACTTCTTTGGGAGTCTCTGAGCTTCCTGGATTTCCTGAAAGTCTATTTCCTTTGCCAGACTGGGGAAGTTCTCTTTTATTATTTGTTCAAATAAGATTTCCACCTGCTCTTTTTCTTCCCCTTCTGGTACCCCTATAATTCGGATGTTGGAACGTTTAAAGATATCCTGGAGGTTCTGTAGCCTCTCCTCATTTTTTTGAATTCTGTTTTCTTTATTCTTTTCTGTTTGGTCATTTTTTTCTTCCTTCTGGTCCACTCCCTTGATTTGAGTCCCAGTTTCCTTTCTATCACTATTGCTTTCCTGTGCATTTCCCTTCATTTCAATTAGTTTAGCCTTCATATGTTCCTCTAATTTGGGGCTAAAATCAACCAGTTCTGTGAGCATCCTGATCACCAGTGTTTTGAACTGTGCATCTGATAGGTTGGCAATTTCTTCATTGCTTAGATTTATCAGCTCTGGGGCTCTGAGTTCTTCTTGAGCCATGTTTTAATCTATTTGTGCTTGTTACATATGAGGAGAGGAGCCTTAGGTGTTCACCAGGGCAGGGCTACCCAGGTCGCTGGTTTGTGGTGCTCTATGTGGAGGCGGAGTCAGAGAGGGACAATAGCGGTCCCCTCTGCTGCTTCCCTCCCACTGGTGCCTGCGCGATCTGTCTCACTGCTAGCTCCTTCACCTGGTTTATCTGTGCATGAATGTGTGACCGAGATGAGCCTGCCGCCTTGTGCCCTCAGTGGGTCCACCCATTGCTACTCCACACCTGGGATCCGTCCTCGGCTGACTGCATGCCTGGGTGGCACACCTGTGTCGGTCTGGTGGATCTTTCCTGCCCGACCCTGCTCAGCTGCTGGCTCTGCCCCTCTTACCAGTCTGGCTGAGTGGTTGGTTGTTGTCGGACTTCAGTATAGTGCAATTTTCTGTAGTTTGGCAGTGTTTTTTGTTGCTAAAACTTTGTTGTTTTTTAACTTGGTTGTGGGAGAAGGTACAATGTTTCCACTTACGCCTCCATCTTGGCAGAAGTCCTCATTTAGCATATTGTTTTAGATTTCAACAGCAGAGGGTCTAAAGTCAGATTAAACAAATAAGTTTATTTTTATCAGTGCTTACTGTTGTAGCTGTTACAATGTTAAGAGAGTCCTTTGAAGTTGAATGGCCAGTGTTTGAAAGATAGGTGTTTTGTTACTGGATATAAGACCATAAGGGGGCCTGGTGTGGGGCTGCAACCCCTCCTCCTTAAGGGAACTTTTGCAGACGAAATATCCCTCCTAGTTTTTATCCATTAAATGTGGTTGTGGGACCAGCTCATCTGCATCTCTGGTCCCTCCTACCAGTCTTTAGGTGGCTTCTTGAAATCCTTAGTTGTAGGACTTCCATTTTACTAGATTTCAGGTGGTTCTGAATGATGATTGTTCTGCAGTGTAGTTGTAATTTAATGTGGTTGTGGGAGTAGGTACATTCTGCGTTTACCTATGCTGCCGTCTGGACTGGAAGTCAGCTCCACCATTTTAAACTGGTATTGCAAAATTTGTGGTTTAATCTATTGATAGTAATTATTGGTTTGCAATTGAGATGATTTCAGAAACTAGTAAGGAACAGAAATATAGTGCTAGGAGACTTGTTTGAAGAATATGGAGAATCTATTCACGTACTTCAAATCAACAGAAGTACATTTCATTAAATCATGGAGGTACATAGTTTTTCAAAGTTTTGATAGTGACCAGAAATATATTTGTGTGCCAATTCTTAGTACGTAAGTGAACACACTAAATGAGAATGTATATTCTGATAACTTTTCTTTTGTTCTACCCATTTACAAAAATGTTGGGCCAGACCTATTAAATTGATTTCATTGTACACAAGGGGAGCTGCCACCACCAATTTGAAAACCAGCAATATGGTTCCAATAAAGGAGTTAGAATTGTTGCTTTATTTGTACTTGCTTGAATACTTGCAAGATTTTAAGACAAATCATTTAAAAGATGAATTTTGGCATTTGAATTTTCTCTCATTAAGGCTGTTTATATCACTGGAAAAGAAGTTTTCAGCTTCAAAATGATTTCTTATGTGGATGCAACTGCTGGTTCTGCATACACAGATATGAGTGTGGTCGACATTCAAGTTAATTTAACCGTTGGTTGCATTGAGGTGGTTTTGGTCACAAAATTTTTATATTCTATATTGGTAAGTATGTTAATCATTTTTTAAATTTTTCCTGGTAGTTGGAAATGGGTTGTGCATCAAACACAGATGAAGAATAAGAATTTCATGCTTTTTCCCCTGATTCTTCATAATTGTTTGGGTACCATTTGCTATGACTGAAATGTATAATACTTTATTTGTGTAGCATTACTTTCACATGGGAGTATCCAGTTAATTGAATATGTATTTCATATATTAACATAGTAAATATATGTATATTACATCACATATATTATATATTCATATAAGAAGTATAAATGACACATGAACAATGACAAGGAGGGCTGGAAATGGGAGGGAGCTGGGGAGGGCTGTGGGGGTGGGTTGGGGTGGGGGTAAAGGGCAGAAAACTGTACTTGAAAACAATAAAAATAAATGAATTGACTTTTTATTTATATATCATTGATTTACACTTTTGTTTTACCTGAGTTCCAACTCTGATTAAAGATGCTAAATATATAATTGAAGTTTGTTTTTTCTATGAGGTTATTTAAAAATTATATTTTCTATGACATTGTAATTCTGTGACTTGGGCTTTAAAGGCTTTAGATTTAGTATCTGTATGATACACCTTAAGATGTTTGAGTGTTAGTACTGCTTTTCATAGTGTTTTTTTCTGTGGCTTTCCCAATCTGCTATTTGATATTTTTTCCTATGTGTCATACATGTTTCATTGCCTTCACTATTCATTCTTTTAAAATGCTCCTAGTTTCATTATAAAAAGTAGATGATTGGTTGATTCTAAGTAAATATTAATTGCTTTTAAAAATCTTTTAAATTGAAACCGTCATGTAATTTTTATATACCCATACAAATTTTTTTACACCAAAAAGATGAACAAAATAGCTCAAAAGGAGACAACCGGAAGTTTAAAGAATGGTTTGGTAATTCACGATAAGAATGGTATGTGGCAGAGTCTAGGGTAAAGGAAGTCAGGTAGTAGGGAACTAACCAATTATGAAAAATTTAAAAAGTAGAATTAATAGTAACCATTGACTTGGGTGGATGTCAGGGTTAAAGGAGAGAGGTTAAAGTTGACTCCAGGTGGTAGGTAAGCAATTTGTATTATGAACTTGATTTCTTTTTAGAAACTCAAAAGCGTTATGTTACTGAATCTGTGCAACAGTTCCTTATACTAAAAAATTACTTGCAATGTTTTTCTAAATATGAAAATTAAGTATAATTTTAGGTATATTTTGGGTGATTGAAGTATTTTTCCAGAATTCAGAAATTAGAAAAGTTTTAGCATTCTTAAGGAAATGTGTTTGTTATTATTTTATCTTATAAACACGAATAACCTCTCTGTCCATTGAGGTTGTACAATATAGTTGCTTGACAATTAGATAAAGTAAGATAATGAAGGAACTAGATATCAGTGAAATATTACAATATCCACGTTACTTTGTTCCAGGTACTAGATTTTTATTGTTTTACTATAACTTTATCTATTTTTATTTCTCAGTTTTTATTACAGAAAATTGAGAATTAATATAGACAGCCAGACTTTGAAAATAATGCTTGGTTGTACCAAGAAAAATATCTTCTTATGGAGGTAGAATTATAAACCTCCATATACATTTAATAAGCTTATTCATTAATGGTAACCTTGCAAATATACTTCTGTTATTTTTACAGGCATTTATAGATAATTTTCAAGCAGTTAAAGAAGCTTTGGCTGAGGCAACTGTTCAGGCAGCAGGAATGGCTGCTACTGGTGTAAAAGAATTGGCACAAAGAAGTTCTAGGTTGGCATTAGATGTTAACATCAAAGCCCCGGTTGTGCTCATCCCACAGTCCCCAGTTTCTGAAAATGTTTTTGTTGCTGATTTTGGACTAATTACAATGACCAATACATTTCATGTGATAAAGAGCCAGAGCAACCCCCCACCCATTATTGATCTGATTACAATAAAACTGAGTGAAATGCGGCTATATAGGTAAGCTTTTTGTAAGTATATTTGTGTAGAATGCAGTTTTTTTCTAACTTTTTACATTAAAGGCTTGGGTATCCTGAGTCTTCTATTTACAGTTTGATTTTATTTTATTATAACTATATTTAATTTTGTGATGCTCTGTCCTCCAACTATTTTTTGGTGAAACCAGTCACAGTCTTCTAGTTTTTAAAAACTTAAGAAAGTATATGAAAACTAGTTCTTAGATAATTAAGAACACCATAAAATTATCTAAGGAAAAATATTTAAACTTATTTGCAGTTATTTATTAATTATAAGGTTATGGGAGAATTGGAGAAATTCCTAATATAAAACATTTATTCACTTCACAATTTGGGGGGCGTCTGTTGGTGAGTAATTGCTTGAGTCAGGAGGATAAATCCAATTTATGTTTTTCTATCTTAGATGAAAGGAGAAAATTGGCAAAAAAAAAACCCAAAAAGAATCCTCAAAAGAGACTAAAAAGGAGTACATAGAGATATAGGAGGGAAACCAGGAATATTGAGGCACTGCTGAGGGTTCTGTTGATGTTAGTATCCTTGAATTAATAGTGTATAATTTTTTAATGCAATCTTGATATTTGGTATTTGGAGTTCAACAGTCCATTGGATTCAGGCAAGACAGAATTTTAACAAGCAGGTATGACTGAAGTTAGTGGATCAGGATTTTAAGTTTTGAGTCATGTTACTGGATAATGGAGAGGGAAGGTATTAAAGACAAGATGGTACTGATAGAGTAAAAGAATGTAGAAAAGGTTTTATAAACTGGAGATCTCAAAAAATAGTACCGATTAAACTTCTGGCCAAAATGGAGGTGTAGGTAGACACATTGTGCCTCCTCGTACAACCAAAAGAAGGACAACAACAATTTAAAAACAGAAAACAACCAGAACTGACAAAATTAAATTGTATGGAAGTCCAACAACCCAGGAGTTAAAGAAGAAACATTCGTCCGGACCAGTAGGAGGGGCGGAGATGGGTGGCGGAGAGGACTCGGCCAAGGTGGTGGCTGGAGGACCCAGCTCCAGATTGTGAAGTGGGCAGTCCCACATTCATGTGAAGATAAACCAGGAGGAACAATTGGAGACCACGCAACCTAGAGCTCCAGCATGGGGAATAAAGCCTCAAACCACCTAAATACCTGTGGGGGTTGAGGCGGCAGCAGAAAAAACTTCCAGCCTCACAGAAGAATTTGTTGGAGAGACCCACAGGGTCCTAGCATGTGCACAAGACTAACCATTGGGGAATCTATACCAGAAGGCCCCAATTTGCTTGTGGGAAGTGGTGGAAGTGACTGAAAGCCAGAAGAGAGCAGAGCAAGCACCATTGTTCCCTCTCGGACCCCTTCCCCACATACAGCATCTCAGTGAAGCAACATGGGTTGCCCTGCCCTGGTGAATACCTAAGGCTGCACCTTTCACTACATAACAGGCACATCAAGACAAAAAAAAAATGGACAACTAAGCAACAAAGAGATAGCTAGCCTATCAGAGGCACAGTTCAAAACACTAGTAATCAGTATGCTCACAGAATTGGTTGAATATGGTTGCAAATTAGATGAAAAATGGAGGCTACACTAAGTGAAATAAAGGAAAATCTACAGGGAACCAATAGTGATGGGAAAGAAACTGGGACTCAAATCAATGGTTTGGAACAGAAGGAAGAAAGAAACATCCAAACAGAAAAGAATGAAGAAACAAGAATTCAAAAAAATGAGGAGAGGCTTAAGAACTTCCAGGACATCTTTAAACATTACAACATCCAAATTATAGGGGTACCAGAAGGAGAAGAGGAAGAGCAACAAGTCGAAGTTATTTGAACAAATAATAAAGGAGAACTTCCCCAATCTAGCAAAGGAAATAGACTTCTAGGAAGTCCAGGAAGCTCAGAGAGTCCCAAAGAAGTTGGACCCAAGGAGGAACACACCAAGGCACATCATAATTACATTACCCAAGATTAAAAATAAGGAGAGAATCTTAGAAGCAGCAAGAGAAAAAAAGAGTTACCTATAAAGGAGTTCTAAGACTGTCAGCTGATTTCTCCAAAGGGAACTTACAGGCAAGAAGGGGCTGCAAAGAAGTATTCCAAATCATGAAAGGCAAGGACCTACATCCAAGATTGCTCTATCCAGCAAAGCCTTCATTTAGAATGGAAGGTCAGATAAAGGAGTTCATCATCACCAAGCCCTTATATTAAATGTTAAAGTGATTTATCTAAGAAAGAGAAATCAAAAATATGAACAGTAAAATGATAGCAAACTCACAATCATTAACAACCACACCTAAAACAAAAGCAAACAACTAGAACAGGAGCAGAACCACAGAAATGGAGATCACATGGAGGGTTATCAACAGGGGAGTGAGAGGGGGCGGGGGGAAAGGTACAGGGAATAAGTAGCATAGATGGTATAGAAAATAGACAGGGGGAGGTTAAGAATAGTATAGGAAATGTAGAGGCCAAAGAATTTATATGTATGACCCATGGACATGAGCTAAAGTGGCGGAATGTGGGTGGGAGGATGGTGTACAGGGTGGAGGGGAGTGAAGGGGGGGGATGGACAACTGTAATACCATAATCAAAATATATAAAATATAGTACTGATTAATTGTTGATAGGTATGGCATTGCTGATAGATTGTAGGAAGAATAGACATGGTTAACCTGGATGATATTCTTCAAGGTATAGCATGATATTTCAGGGTCATAGTTGCAAATTAAGAAAATGATTTTTTTGGCATTTCTTTGTTTTACTTTATTTTTATTGTTTAAGCTGTTACTGTTGCTCCAGCTTTCTCTCCCTTTTCTCCACCTCCACCCAGTCCCTCCCTTTCCTCTCCCCAAACCATTTCCCACAGTGCTATGTCCATTGGTTGTGCATAAATGTTTTTCTGTTAATCCCTTCCCCGTCTTTCATCCCATGCCTTCTGCCTCTTTTCCAGCATCTGTCAGTCTGTTTTATGTGTCCAAACTTCTGTCACCATGTTCTTCATTAGTTTATTATGTTCATTAGATTCCACATATAAGTGAGATCATGTGGTACTTTTCTTTCATTGTCTGGCTTAATTCACTTAGCATAATTTTCTCCAAGTCCATCCATGCTGTTGCAAAATGTGTTTCTTTTCTATCTCTTAACCCCAAGTGAGATAGGTGTTGGAGAAAAGTCTGCCTCTGTTTAATAGAATGCCATGGAAAGTTAAGTTTCATTAAAATAAGAGCTTAATGATGTGTCTAGTGAAGATGTTGGAAAACATAGAATGATTTGTTCAGCTAAGACTAGGGATTTCAGAAATTACAGGGATTATTAGGTGAGAGACTTCTATTTTAGTAACAGCCCATAGATAGAGAGTAGTGACTTTCAGTTTTAGATGGCTCATTAACTTGGAGTTTAAACTACATAAAAGTCTGAATTTATTAAAATTTAATATTTATATACCTGTATTTAATCACATATTGCTAGATTTTAGGAAATGGTAGATGTCAATTATTAGTTGTGAGTCTATATTACAAACAGATTGTTTTTAAGATTTCACTAAATATATATAGAACACTATATAGTAATTCTGTATCCAAAGATTAATTTTTTACTGAAGCACAAAAAATGGTATTAAGATGAATATTAAAGATTGCTGACAATATGACCATTCAAAAGATAGGTAGTATTAATAACTTGGTATGTTTCTTCTAGTTAATTATATATGGACATATATTTAAGTTAGGTAAGAATTATTTTGTGTATTGTGGATTCTAATTTTTTCCCTTAACAATATGCCATATTTTGATATTATTTTAAATATATAATTTCTAAATATATTGTTATGTTCCATGGTGTTTTTAAAAATCCATTTGCCTATTGTTAGAAATTTGATTTCATTTTTTGTTATAAATAACTCTATAATGATGCTTGGTATCTTTGTTTATCAGTACTTATGATTTCCTGTTTATTTCTTAAGGATAATTTATTTCCTTCACATGAAGTCTTATAAATAGAATTACTATTATAGAATAAAATCAGTTTTTCTTGAAATGATTGAAAATTTATTGATACTTGAAATTTTATTTTATTGTTTTTGCTATACGGTTGTCCCATTTCTCCACTCGGCCCTCCCCCACTCAGGCAATCCCCACGCTGTTGTCCATGTCTGTGGGTCATGCATGTGTATGTTGTCCATGTCTGTGGGTCATGCATGTGTATGTTGTTCGGCTACTGTATTCTCTGGCTGTACTTTATGTTCCCATCACTGTTCTCTAACTACCTATTTGAACTTCTTAATTCCTTCACCTTTCTTGCCCACCTCTGACTCCCCTCCCATCTAGCAACCATCAAACTGTTCTATATCTTGATTTCTTTTTCTATTCTGCTTGTTTATATTGTTTTTTAGATTCAGTTGTTGGTAGATATGTATTTATTGCCATTCTATTCATAGTTTTGATCTTTTTTCTACATTCATCTTATTTTACATTTTAAAAATATTTTATTTTTTTATTTTTAGAGAGAGAGGAAGTGGGTGAGAAAGAGAGGGAGAGAAACATCAGTGGGTGGTTGCCTCTCATACACGCCCAGCTGGGAACCTGGTCTACAACCCAGGCATGTGCCTTGATTGGGAATCGAACCAGTGACCCTTTGGTTCCCAGGCTAGCACTCAATCTACTGAGCCATTCCAGCCAGGGCTGATGTTCTTGTTCTTAAAGAAGACCCTTTAACATTTCATATAATACTAGTTTGGTGGTAATGAACTCATTTAACTTATTATTGTCCAGGAAACTCTTTATCTGTCCTTGGATTCTAAATAGTAGCTTTTCTGAGTAGAGTAAACTTGCTTGTAGGTCCTTGGTTTTCATCACTTTGAATATGAGGAAGCACAGCTTCCCCTGTTACCCAAGCTGGGTTCTCATGGTTCACACACATGTGGGCTGTGTATACACTCCGTTGTACTTGAGCCTTGATTGCTTCTGGCATATCCTAGATCACATAGAGCCACTGCCTGTGTTCTGTCAGGAGTCACACAGCATAAGCTACGAAGTGACTTGCAGGTGGTTGCAAATTTTGGTTGGCTTGGAGGTGCCCAGGTGAGGCCAAGCTGTACACCAAGGCCAACTGTTGCTGGTGCCAGGCCTGGGGCAACTTATCAAGAGGTACTGGCCTACTGAAGCCTGATGCCACTTGTTTGAGATAATTTAGAAAAATCTGAAGCATGGACCAAGACAAGCCTTTTATATGGAAAAGTCACTGGAAACGGCTTCCTTAGGCCTAAAGTATGGGTATGGCAGGGCCTCAGGGAGTCACCAGGGTGGGTCTAGCAGTGTGAGCCAGGTTAGTGGAGACTCTGATGAGGCATCTGCCTGCTGGCTCTGTGTGGGAAGGGCTCAGAAAAGGAGCAGTGGCCTCCGCAGGACTTCTGTCTGGGGAAAAGCTGTTTCCAAGCTTTCACCTTGATGCCGGACAATTCAGTTCTTCCCTGTATGTCTCTAAAGCCTTTCAATCTGCTGCCCTGGTGCTGGAGCTCAGAGGGAGTGAGTCCAAGTAAGTCTCTGCATGGGCCCTTTAAGAGGAACTGCCTGAGACTGCAGCAGTTTCTGTCTTCCACAGCTTCAGTCCCCACTGGTTTTTACAGCCAGAGTTATGGAAATTTAATCTTCCTTGCACTGGAACCTTGGGCTGGGAGACTTGGTGGGGTCCTTCATTCCTGAGATCTCTCTCCTGCTTTTTATCTGCCACATGTGGGTGTGGGACCAGCCACTTCTGCCAGTGTTGATGTGGTTTCTTCTTTAATTCCGTAGTTGTAGGACTTGCATTCAGCTCAATTTCTGATGGTTCTGAACAATGGTTGTAATGTAATTTAGTTGTAATTTTGGTGTTATGGGAGGAGGCAAGTTGTGTTTACTTAGGCTGCCATCTTGACTGGAAGTCCAAAAATTCAGTTTAGTTATAGCTTCATAGAAAGCACATAAAGAAAAAGAAATACTTCATATTTTCTACTAGTATTTAATCATTTTTTTGCAAAACTGAATTGTAATAAAAATAAAAATATATTTTTAATACCTATGTAAAGCAGGTTATAAAACTTAACTAATGGCCAGGAAGAAATGTAGAGAGAATACTTTTCTAGTAGGGTTCTTTTTTTATTTTTATTCTATTACAGTTGTCCCAATTTTTCCTTTAGCACCCCCTGCACCCAGTCCACCCCTCTTGCCCACAGACAATCTCCTCTCTGTCATCCATGTCCATGAGTCATTCATGCATATTCTTTGACTAATCCCTCCTCCCCCCCAATGTCATCAGTTTCTTATAAATTAATTTATATGCTTAATTCAATGTAAATAAAAATTACAGCACACTTTATTTTTAAAACCTTTCAAAATTGTTAAGTTTTCTGGAAATATAAAAAGGGAACAGAATCTATTAATGTTATTTTAGAAAGAAATTTTGATGGGATATGGGAGAATTATAACAATACTAGAGATACTGCTAAAATATATTGTTATATCAAATGCTACCAAAATGTGCCATAAAGCTAAAATAATTCAAATAGCGAAGAATAGGAAGCTCCGCAATTGACCGTGTATGTAGTGTGTTTCCTCATTATGTGTGTGTGTATAAATATATAGTCAGTTCTCATTATTCACAGATTTTGTGTTTGCGAACTATCCTACTTGCTATAACTTATTTGTAACCCCGAAATAAATACACTGCGGGTATATGTAGGTATGTGCGAAGCTGTGAGAAATTTGGGTCCCCCAAAGCCTACACTTTAGGCTGAGGTGTCAAACTAGGTGACACTCTGCATCCTTATTTCAGCTTTTGTATTGTAAACAAGTGTCTTTTTGCATGCTATGTTTTTTGCATTTGGGGACATTTTGTTGGCCATTTTGCTGTTCAAAATGGGTGCCAAGCATGGTGCCAGTAATAACCATAAATGATCAAAAGTGGATGAATTGTATGAATCTGAATTGTCTCAATAACACTATTTAAAAAGCTAAAGGCTTAGGGAAGGTTAGGGGTGAAGGGATTAAGCAAAAAGAAAAAAGGCGTCATGGACATGAAAACAGTGTAGTGATTGATGAGGGGAGAGGGATATAAGGGGACTATAGTGGAAAAAATACAGTAAAGATTAAACAAAATACAAAAAATAAAGCAAAAAAATTAAAGGCAAATAACATGTAAGTATCAGTAGTAGGGTAAAACACATTCCTAATTTAAGCATTGAAGAAAGAAGAAAAGGGATAAGGAAGGGAAAAATATTGATTGGTTTTTAACTCTATAAGAATGTAAGTTTCTGAGAATTATCAAAACAAAATTAAAAGGAAGTAGAATGTGGGGTAATTAGCATCTTTATCAAAAGATAAAAATCTTGAAATATTTTAAACTAGTAAGAAAAGGATATTTTGAAAAATTGGTAAAGAACTTTACTAGATTCTTTAAAGGAGCAACAATTACCAATAAGCAACTAATAGAAGTGTTTAATCTCATTAATAATCAAAGGAATGAAAATTAATACAGTAAAATAATGTTTACCCTTAATTGTGAGAAATTTAATAATTAGTATTTCTTAATTGGGGTACAGGGACATGGAGCTCTCCTATGTTGTAGTTTACATATTGATCCAGTTTTTTTAATGAAACTTGGCAAATAATTTTATAGTACATGGTATATTGCAGTCATATGAGCCAAGTATTTGCAATAAAACAAAGAACAAGATAAACAGGCTGTGCCCTCATGAGGCTTTCATTCTAATTGAAGCTACAGATAAAAAAATAAGCTATTAAAATACAGTTCAGGAAATAGAATGACAGAGAAAGTTTGAGTTATTTGTGCGAGCACACAGGAAAGGCATCTGCCTCAAATAATGGGTAGTACTGAGAAGGAAAAGTTTCCCAGAATAATTCATCTCTTGACATAGCAATTAATGACTCTTGCATTTGTCCAGAGGAAGAAACTTAATCAAACATATTTATAAAGATAATGATTCAAGTATTTATTACAGCGAAGAATTAGAAACAACATAAGTTGTATGTGTTTGGCACTTTTATGCAAATTGCAAACTTCTGCTTTGAAAATCCATAGAACACTTCAGCTAAGGGAAAGTCGCCCAGGTTCCTGGTGTGCTGGAGGAACACATTTCATTTGATATGGAAAGCCTAATGGTTTTATTTTTTGTCTTCACACATACACAAAACAAATGATTTCTACTATTAGTATATAAAATGATAAATTTAATTGTTAATATATGAATATATATGAAACTATTCAAAGGAATTTTATTTCTTTTTATAGGTCTCAATTTATTAATGATACATACCAGGAAGTGTTGGACCTACTGCTGCCATTAAACCTTGAGGTGATTGTTAAGCGAAATTTATCCTGGGAGTGGTACCAAGAAGTTCCTTGTTTTAATATAAATGCTCAACTAAAGCCCATGGAGGTAATTTTTTGGATACTTACTGATTCCTGTTGGTTAAAAAATACTTCTTGGGAACATAAGACATTTTGGGTGTAGAAGTTATATATTTATTAATCACCTTTGTCAGAATTGAAATAGTAGCTATATCAAGCTAGAATTCATTGAATATTTTCTTCTCATTCATTCAACAAATACTTGAACATCTACTGTTTTAGGCCCTATGCCAGATATTGGTGATACAGTGCAAAGGAGCTATGACTTTTTCTGTGGCTTTGTGGATTTACCAGTCTGATGCAGGAGTTGGTGGTGGTTTTAAATACCACCAACCCCTAGCTGGAGGTGTGATAGATAGTAAAAAAGCAAATATATACATTATTAAAATGGTTTTAAATTGTGGCAAATTCCCTGAAGGAAACAAATATTAGACAGGGTGCCATAAGTACTCAGTTGGATATATTAATATAGAACTTAATGGAGAAGTCTAGGCTAAGAATGATAATTTGGAAATCACCAGCTATGGGAATATATGAAATAATCTACAGAAGGTTCAAGAAGAATGGAGACGTTGAAGATGAAAATTGTAAATGCGTCAGGGCCTTAGGCATAACTTTACCTTCCTATTGGTTGATACTGCTTCACAGATACCTAATGTAACTATCTGCAAGTTCATACTTTTCCCTCTTGACCTGATAGAAGGCCAAAACTGTATCTCATGCTTTGCTGAAGTGACGGCAACTTATGTTGTGTCTGAAGGTTTCTCTTTCTAGCCCCGTCCCCGGTTTTCTTTTCTGTTCCTTCCTGTTAAAAATGTATTCAAAAAGAGACAACAGTTGTTTTATAAAGTCTCAAGATTTTTAAGTTAAAAGAGTATTTAGAATTTAAAACATCTCAACAGAAATAAAATTTTAAATTCTTAGTGTATAAAATTGGATGGACTTACTAACTTATAGATAGAAAGTACCCTCTTATGATAAATAATTGAAGTCTCTTTATATTGGTAAGACAAAAGATAGAAACTTAGAAAACATAAGTAGCCTGTCTAGAAAGTCCTCCTCCCACTAGGCACAGTCATTAGGCGGATTTATGCGGGGGTGGCAGAACACCATTTTTCTTCACTATCCCCCATGGAGAATCCATGCCAAATGTGCAGATGATATGCAAATGCTCAGCTGCCCTTCAGGGCAGATGAAATTGGGTCTTCCCTCACCCTGATGTCACCTAAACAGTTAGCAGTTGAGCCCACCCCTTGGTCCACATATTTGACCACTCCTGGACATTATGCTCTGCATCAGAGAGAAGCTGGAATCAGCTAGTCTAATGCATCCAAACTGAGTACTGCAGCTTGTGATTGCTGACTTGGCAGGTGTTCGGTGATAGCACACACAGCCTGTCCTGACATACACGAGCTACCGAGCAGCAGTCTGGGGTCATACCATTTTTCCAGCTTCCGGCTCTTGACAAGATTGAAGAGTGGTAATTAACATCAAGATTTGGCAGGCATTCAATATACGTGTACTCTTTGAAATACATTGGCTTAGAAGTTATAATATTTGATTTCAGTTTATAAATTTGTATGAACATATTGTTTTTGAATGCCAGCTGCACAATAATCACAAAATAAATGTCATGAATAAATAATCTTTAAAAAACTAAAATTTAAAATAAATAATTTTAAAACAATATAAGTAACATGAATAAAGTACACATGAACTTGATATTATAAAGCTACATTAGTATAGAGGCATATCTTGTTTTTTTGTGCTTCGTTTTTTTTTGCACTTCACATATATTGCATTTTTTTATAAATTGAATGGGAAACCTAATTTGAGCAGCTAATCTGTTTGCAACATTTTCCCAGCAATGTTTACTCACTTCATGTGTCACATTTTAGTAATTCTTGCAGTATTTCAAATTTTTCCATTGTTATTGTATTCATCATGGTGACCTGTGGTCAGTGATCTTTGATGTTACTTTGTAATGTTGGGGGTACCATGAGCTACCCCCACATAAGAAGGCATACTTAATAGATTAATGTATGTGTTTCAGCTCCTCTACCAACTGGTTCCTGGTATAGCTGGTTCCCTTGTTCTTCCCTCTCTTTGAGTCTTCCTATTTCCTAAAACACAATAATATAGAAGTTAGGCTAATTAGTAACACTACAGTGGCCTCTAAGTGTTCAAGTAAAAGGAAAAGTTCCACCTCTCTCAATCGAAGTTTCAATCGAAAGTTAGAAATGATTAAGCTTAGTGAGAAAGGCATGTCAAAAGCCAAGATAGGCTGAAAGATAGACCCCTTGCAACAGACAGCCAAGTTGTGAATATAAAGGAATAGTTCTTGAAGGAAATTAAAAGTGTACTCCAGGGCACACACAAATGATCAGAAAGTGAAACAGCCTTATTGCAGATATGGAGAAAGTTTTCATGGTCTGGATAGAAGATTAAACCAGAAAGAACATTCTGTTAGGCTGAAGTCCAATCCAGAGCAAGACCCTAACTCTCTTCAATTCTCTGAAGACTGAGATCGGCAAGGAAACTGCAGAAGAAAAGTTGAAGCTAGCAGAAGTTAAGGTTCCTGAAGTTAAGGAAGGAAGCTGTCTCCATATCATAAAAGTACAAGGTAAAGCAGCAAATGCTGATGTAATAGCAGCAGCAAGTTATCCAGATGATCTAGCTAAGGTTGTCACACTAAACAACAGATTTTCAATATTGAAATGGTCTTGTATTGAAAGAAGATGCCCTGTAGGGCTTTCATAACTAAACATGAGAAGTCAATGCCTGGCTTTAAAGCTTCAAAAGACAGGGTTACTCATTTGTTAGGGGATAATACACTGGTTAGTTTAAGTTGAAGCCAGTGCTCATGTACTATTCTGAAATCCTATGGCCTTTATGAATTATGCTACGTGTCCTCTGCCTGTGCTTTGTAAATGGAACAAGAGAACCTGACAACAGCATGTCTGTTTACAACATGGTTTAATGAATATTTTAAGCCCACTGTTGGGACATACTGCTCAGAAAAAAAAAAGATTTCAAAATGTTATGGCTCATTGACAATGCATGTGGTCACCTAAGGACTATGATAAAGCAATACAAGAAGATTAATGTTATTTTTGTGCCTACTAATACAACATCCATTCTGCAGCCTGTGGATCAAGGAGTAATTTTGACTTTCAAGTCTTCTTATTGAATAAATACATTTTGGTAGGCTATAGCTCCCATAGGTAGCAATTCCTCTGATGGATCGGGGCAGAGTGCATTGAAAACCTCCTGGAAAGGATTTACCATCCTACATGCCATTAAGGACACCCATGATTTGTGGGAAGAGGTCAGATATCACCACCGTTAACAGAAGTTTGGAAGAAGTTGATGCCAACCTTCGTGGATAACTTTCAGGGGTTCAGGACTTCAGTGGAGGAAACAACTGCAGGTGTGATGGAAATAGCTGGAGAACTAGATTTAGAAGTGGAACCTGAAGATACGGTTGAATTGCTGCCCTCTCATGATAAAAGGAGTTGCTTCTTATGGTTGAGCAAAGAAACTGGTTGCTTGAGATGGAAGCTACTCCCAGTGAAAATGCTATAAAGTTATTAGAATGATCACAAAGGACTTATTCTATTTTACATAAACTTAACTGATAAAGTAGTGGCAGGTTTTGAGAAATTTGACTCTAATTTTGAAAGAAGTTTTGTGGATAAAATACTATCAAACAGCACTGTATGACATAAAAAATGTTCATGAAAAAAAGTTAATGAATATGGCAGACGTCACTGTTACCTTACTGACCTCATAAAAAGAGTTTGGGAGTCTTCCCTCTTCTTGGATTTGTTGGAATAGTTTGAAAAGAGTAGAGGTTAGCTCTTCCTTAAATGTTACATAAAATTCTCCTGTGAAACTATGCAGTCCAGGGCTTTTTTGTGTCGGGAGTTTTTTGATTTCTGTTTCAATTTCACTAGTTGTTACTCGTCTATTCAGGCTTTCTTCCTCTTTGATTCAGTTTTGGAAGATTATATGTTTCTAGAAATTTGTTCATTTCACCCGGGTTTTCAAATTTCTTGGCATATAGTTGTTTGTAGTAAGTTCTTACAATCCTTTGCATTGTTACTGTATTTTAAGAAATTTCCACAGCTCCCCAAACCTCAGCAACCACAACCTGATCAGTCAGCAGCCATCAACATCAAGGCAAGACCCTCTAACAGCAAAAAAAATAATGACTCACTGAAGGCTCAGAGGACAGCACTTTTTAGCAATAGAGTATTTTTTAATAAATGTATGCACATTGTTTTATTTTAGACATAATACTGTTTCATATTTAAGAGACTACAGTGTAGTGTAAGCATAATTTTTATATGTACTAGAAAACAAAAACATTTGTGTGAGTCACTTTATTGTGGTTGTCTGGAATCAAACCCACAATGTCTACAAGATAATGCCTGTGTCATCTTTGCAATGCAGCCAAAGGAATCCTGATGAAAACCAAATTGTTAATTTTGTGAAATTAAAATGATCACCTTGAGGTAATTAAATATATTAATTTAAAACTGAGAGGTCTTTTTATCTTTATTTTTCCATAGTGGCTTTTAAATTAGAGTTTTCCAGATAAATAAAACAAATACGATGTATGGGTTTGTGTGTACACATAGCCTGGATGCATAACACTGACTTCTTGAAGACTTGATATAGCCTTTTCCTTACACTGAGATTGAGGTCCAAGAGGGGTCAAATATGCGGTCTGCCTAGATGGGCTACAAGAGCATCTAACTACTGTGTGGGTAATTCTAGTGGGTCTGCTGCAGAAGGCAGCTGGGCATTCTGTAGATGGTCTGCAGCGTGTTTGTGTGCGTGTATAAAACACCTAGGAATATCTAGATACTCTGACCCAGCCAAACTGACATAAAATTAACCATCACATGTTTCAAGACAGAGCCTATGCTGGTGATTTTAGGTTAGATCCCAACACAGGGGATTTTTAGTTATTAAATTTGTTAAGTGGACTAAAGCATGATACTAAACCATTTAAGCCTCAATGTCTTGTAGAATCAGGACTGTATATTCTTTATATCTAAGACTTGGGAGGTTTAAATAAAGAAATTCATGTAAAATACATTGTGAACTAATGTTTTGAATTAGTTTTTAATTCTAACACATTGAATACATTGAATTAGTTTTTAAAACTAATTTTTGTAATATAATTGTATTATTTTCTTTACCCTAATTTATAAATTTAGCTGCTTACGAATGCAAAAAAGTGTAGCTAAATGAATACTTAAACATTTAATTTTATTTTAAGTTTTAAAATTACTAATTAGTACAGTCATAACAAGAATAGTTCCTCATTCATAGCTTCATTGGTATTGACATCGTATTTAGTTCTGTGTTTCACAAGGTGCTGAAGATCTTGCAAGTTTATTTAAAACTAAATATTCAGTTAGTAGAAATATCTCATGTAAAAATGGTTTCGTAGAGTACCGAGATGAAAGAATTATTTTTATTGTGTGGGAATTTTTTAAATATGTGAAATAGTAATATTAAAATAAGCAAATATTGTTTATTTAACAGTTTATTCTTAGTCAAGAAGATATAACAACTATTTTTAAAACATTATATGGTAACATATGGTATGAAGGTGATAATGTCTCACCAGCTGGAGTAAAAGATCAGAACAGTGGTACTAGTGGAGTAAATAACGTATCACATCATTCAGGAGGTATGTTGTTGACCTTCAATTCTTTCTTCCCCCACATCTCCCACTGTTCTTCTTTCCTTCCATTCTCTGTTTCTAGTTTTGGGTAAAATAATATTTATAAATCTTTTTGTATTATCTAATCCCATTCAAGTATCTGTAAATTGTTTATGATTAGTACTATCGATTTTTTCTTTTGATTCAAAATTCTGAGGCTTATTGTGACTAACTTTCTTAGTATTTATTTTTGTTATCCCAGCTTCCTATAGATTTTTTTTTTCAGTATTTTCCCCCTTAACCTCCTCTTCTCCTTCATTCCTAGTGCAGCATCTAACCCAGATGGGGTATTTTTATCGATATTAGGAGTATCAGATAATTAAAGGGGACAAAAGAGGATGAACATTAATTATGGATTTCTACAAATTTTTGGAGGATGGATGAAAGGAAGAAAACAGAGGGAACTATAACTCAGGCTGTGCGTCGAATATTGGCTATAATGTGCTATGTGGAACCTGACTGGGTTCTAGGTTTAACACCAGCGCAGACAGAAATTGGACCAATTAGGGCTGTTGGGATGATTTTGCTTCACAAGAACAAAAGGGTTCTCCTCATTCTGGCATTTTGGGAGATCCCCAAACCTACTTATCTTAAAGTCCAACCTACTAGTTCATAAAATTTACTCTCACAAAGCCCTGAGATTTTTACACAGCTTTTTCAGTCAAAGAGAATCCTAATACACAAACAACTCTACATTTATAACATGTATATGCCCATTACCCAGTTTTAACAATTACTATCATACGGCTGTTTTTATTACTACTATAACTCTATTCTATACCCATTTAATTAATAATTCTATTGAATCTATTTCAAGTCTGTTTTAATGACTGCTATCTTTCCTGACTTTGATTTTATCTAATAATTTTTTCCAGGAACAACTGTAGTGACAGCTGCCGTGGTAGAAGTACATTCCAGTGCCTCTCAAGTGAAGACGACACTGAACATGAGTTTCAGAACTGATTATCTCACCATGGTCCTGTACAGCCCAGGTCCTGAACAGGTAAGTTGAAGGGAAAAAGAAAATGTATTTTCACTTGATGAAAATTACAAAGCGAGTGTTTATTAAGATAACAGTTATTAATATTTCATGTATACCTTAGAGTATCTGTTTCTGTGAGAGAAAATTATTGATCTCTTCATTTTAATAATAAAATAATTTTAACCACTTTTCTTTTAAAATGAGTTATCTTTTTTATAACCAGTGATGTGAAAAATAACTTTAAATTACATTCAGCATATTTTCTGGTTTTTCATGAGTGAGTCCTTTGGAGATAGAGAATGTGGTAGTTCATATTTTTAAAAAATGTTTTGTATTTGTGTTTTGTGTAAAATTTGTATTGATTTTCTCTTTCATAGACTTCCTTTACGGATGTTCGTGATCCTGCACTGAAACTTGCTGAATTTAAGTTGGAGAATATAATAAGCACTTTAAAAATGTATACAGATGACTCAACATTTTCTGCCTTTTCATTAAAAAACTGTATTTTAGATGATAAAAGGCCTCATGTCAAGAAGGCAACTCCTAGGTAATGGAGTTCTTTGAGTTTTTACTTGGGAAATGATCAATATATCTTACAAAACTTATTCTCAAAGTTGTATGTTCATTTTCTGGGTAGATCCTTAACATCTTCAAAGCTTTAATTCAGTTGAATCATGGTTATCAGTCAACATTTAAAACGTCTTGGTTCAGTTATGTGCTCTTCTTGCTGGATGATTCATAGATTGATTAAATAGAAATAAAGTGGCATTATTTTGGTTTTATAAAATTTAACCTATATTATCTTAATTATTATCAATCCATTCAAATTGTAATGGGAAGTACGTGAAAAAATTGAGAGGAAAAACTATGCTGAGATTCCAATAATTCCAAAAATTCCAATAATTTCTTAAAGACACACTCCCTAATTTATGAAACAGTTATGCTCCAGAAGTTTATAAGTCTATTATTTGGAGTACCTGGAGATCCTCCTGTGAGAAACAACTTTAGATGCTGGTTTGCTGTCTTTCTGGTTTTATTGGCATGTTCAGTTATTTATAAAATACTCATAGGAATTATTACTGTGTTTTTCAGAATGATAGGGCTGACAGTTGGATTTGACAAAAAGGACATGATGGATGTAAAGTATAAGAAAGTCAGAGATGGTTGTGTAACTGATTTGGTCCTTCAAGAAATGTATATTTGTGCAAGTGTGGAATTTCTGCTGACAGTTGCAAATGTCTTTCTGGAGGCCTACACCACAGGCACTGCTGTAGAAACCAGTGTTCAGGCATGGACTGCTAAGGAAGAAGGTTAGTTATTAACTAAAATGTTTAATATCTGTGTTATTGAAGTACTACAATAGCACTTACCTTGACTAGCTTTGTAGATCAGTGATTTTCAACTGGTGTGCCATAAGAATTTTTAAAACATGCAGTACCTGACTGTTTAGTCAGCGACACTGAACTCTTTTCTCTTAGATTGTCAAATAAAAAAGTGACAACAGCCAGCACAACATTTGCCATCCAATGTGAGTGAATTAAAGTTATTTCTATTTTTTCCATCAGATCAGCAAAAAATAATATTTTTTTGCTGTGCTGCAGAATTTTAGTAATACATTTATGTGTGCCATGAGATGAAAAAGGTTGAAAATTGCTGTTCTATTTGATGAGGTTAAGTAAATTGGTAAATTAAAATCTTTATTTTTTCAGACAAAACAGGAAAACTTTTCTGTTGGGATGTACAGTTTGTATATTTTTTAAGGTGTGAATATGTATTGGGTTCAAAAATTAATGAGACCATTGTTATAAGAAGTACATGTATTTCTCTGCAGGAAGCAATTTGAAAAAATTTGTTGGAAGAAAACCAGCAGGGGAAAATACCATTATTAAAGATAGTATCTTAACTTAAAATACTCTAATTTATGTTTTATTTATAGTTTTTTACTGTCATTTACATATTTTATTTATTGTGAAATAGTGGAAAGAGTATCAAGCTGGACGTTGGAAACTGGATTAGTTTTCTGCTCTACCATTATATAGTCAAGATTTCTCCCACAGTTTTTAAATACCCTTATATCAGTAGCTTCTTCAAATCTTATACTAAGAGAGTTGCTATTTATTTGGGATCTAAGATTCCTTTATTTTACTTTTTACTTAGAATGAAAGCAACATTTTCCCATAAATAATAAATTTTTGTAAATAATAATATATATAACAAAGATTTAGAAATATTTTAAATTATTCATTTATTTCTATTTCTATTTTAGTACCTATACAGGAACAAGAGAAGTGGGAAATTAATATTATTATTAAAAACCCTGAAATTGTGTTTGTGGCCGATATGACAAGAAATGATGCTCCTGCATTAGTCATTACAACACAATGTGAAATTTGTTGGAAGGGTGACCTTGAGAACAATACAATGACTGCTGCTATTAAAGATCTCCAAATGAGAGCATGCCCATTTCTTCCAGACAAGAGAAAAGACAAAATCACTACAGTGAGTTTATTATTTAATTGTCTGCTTAATTATAAGCCAGTTTGGATTTGGTATCTACCACTTCAGTAATTTTCCCTACAGACTTTCCAACCTTTATTTATAAAGTCTTCTCTTTCTGCTTGGAGAGCCTAGTCTGCATTATTATTACACCCGCTTTGAAACTCTTTTTCATTCTTCCAGTTGTTCCTCATTGTATTATGTCTCTGTGTGAATAAGTCTAAGAAAAGCTGTTTTCATTTTCATACTTCTAAAGACCCTACTTGGACTTTCCATGTCTGCCACGGACCAGCCTCGCCAGGAGAGGGGAGGGGGTGGAAATGAGTCAAGGACGCAGGGAGTCAGGTTGGAGAGGTCTCAGCATCCCGCTGAGCCCCGAACTCCGTTTATTCAAGGCTTTTATTACAATTATGGGGAATAAGCAGGAGGGGCTGCACCCAAGCCAGTTTCTTTGTCCTTTCTGCAAAGCTACTCCACGGAACAACAGGGGCACACAGGGTGCTATCAAAACTTCTCTGTTTATCAAGCACTGGTGCATGACCTACCCTTCTACAGGGAAACAGGCTGTCTAGCTTTCTTGGGAAACCTATTGTCTAGCCACAGCAGGTTCCAGGCAGGGAGCCAAGCAAGGTGGAGAGGAACTGTGCCACGGGCAGCGGCCTTGCCAGCAGGCCCTGGCCCCCCGGCTTTGCCAAGGGGGGCTTACGGCACTTCTCCACGAGCAGTGACTATGCCGGCTATTCCTGACCCCCTGGCTTTGCCATGGGGGGCTAGTGGCGCCCACATCTCCCCCTTTTTGTTTTCTAAGCTGAAAGGTCACCACAGGCAGTGGCTTTGCCAGCTGGTCCTGGCCCCCCCCCCGGCTTTGCCATGGGGGGCTAGTGGCGCCCACACATGTCAATTCCACACTGTTCTTAGGACTTGAAGATTGCCTACCAGTTGTTTGAGACATGTTGCAGTTTTATTATTTTTTTTCATATTTTTCTCCCATCTGGACATTTTGCTCAGATACATAATTTTGCGTTTCTTCATGCAGTATATTTGAACTTTAGCCATTTGCTTCGACATACTTCACATTTGTATTTTACTCTAGCAATCTCCTGGCCTTCTTTATAACATTAAAGCTTACTTCTTCAAAGACATCTTTTCAAGTTAACTATCTGATCCCCCGTACTTTTATAAAACACTTATAAAAATGTTTAGTCTTCTACAGGAATAATAGAAGCATAAATATTCTAAAAATGATCAACATGGAAATGTAAGTTATAATTCTGTAGTTGCAAAGCCAATAGCTCATCACTAACACAAGACAGGATATAGAAAACTGAGAGTATCTGATTCTCTTTTATGTGATGACTTAGAAATTGTATATATGTTCTATATGCATCATAGGGCTTGAACATAGCTGTGTGACCATACTTATCTTCAAAAACAGTTGGAGAATGGTCTTTTTTTTTTGGAGTCACCTCATGTCCAGAGAAATCCTCTATTCAACTGATTTACTAAAGGCTGCTTTAACAGTAGGTTTGGGGAGGGGGAAAGATAGAAAACAGTTGTAATCTGATTGATTGATTGATTGATTGATTGCCACAGGCTGGTTCCTATCTCTGATTTTAACAAGAATTGTCAGAGAAAGAATAGGAGCCACAGTCTTCTCTCTTATTAAGGCTTGTCTTTAGAGCTTGAGTCTCCTCAGTATTTTACTTTCTCTCATAGGACTTTGCAAACAGCAGAAAGAGCTAGTAATACAGTAACATTCTAAATATTCCAAATCTGTATTGCTAAAGCTTTTGGCTGTTTAAAAATTGTATGGTCTTCCTTCCCAGTTATCACCAGTAGCAGTTTTACCAAGTACTTTGATACAACATTGTTAAAGTCATCCATCCACTTTGTGTTTTGAGATATACTTTGTCCATCTAGTTGCTAAATCAACCACAATTTTTTTTTTACTTTGTTGCAGCAGTACCTATTTCTAGGTATTAGAAATAGGATAGTTAGGATATTAATAGAATATAAATAGGATGTATTAGTTAGGATATTAATTAGGCTACTATAACAAGAGGTTTCGCCACCACAAAGAGAGCTAAAGCCTGCTAAAACTATATGTTTTTTTTTTTTTTGGAACATGGTCCAATGTCTCAATATAATGGCTATGGTTTAATATAGGGGAACCAAGCTATTTCTATCTTATTCTGCTGTTCCCAGGATGTAATTTACTCTGCTTGTTCAAATGTAGTTTATAATGAGTCAAGCTTATAGTTTGCTAGAGGTGAGTGGTGGTGATAAGGAGAACAAATGGTCAGATCTTCTTTGTCACCAAGTATTTGACCCCTTTATCCTTTAATACCCTCCACCCCTTTCCTTTTGGTAACCACCATACCGAGTTTTTGTTCGACTTTCTTTTTTGTTCGACTTTCTTTTTTGTTCATTTGTTGCTTTCAGTTTATATAACACATGAGTGAAACCATATGGTTCTTGACTTTTTCTAACTTATTTTGCTTAGCATGAAATGGATCAAAGACTTAGAAGGCCCGAAACAATAAATTATATAGAAGAAAACATAGGTAGTAAACTTTTGGAGCTTAGCCTTAGAGAGGTTTTTATGAATCTGGCTATCTTTATCATTGGTCTATACCTTAATATCCTTGTGGTCTGTTAACATGCCCTGACTTTAATTCTTTGAAATTTGTTTAGACTTACTTTACTTCCCATGATAGGTAATTTTATTTTTATGAATATTTAAATACATTGGAAAATGTGTTTTATTGCTTGGTGAACAGAATTCTATTTATATAGAGTTTGTTTATTATTGTTTAGATCATCTGTATTCTTAGAGCATTTTTGTCAGTTTTACCGGTTATTGAAAGAGGTCTTGATTTTTATTACTGAATTTTTAGGTTTTACAATCAGTCCTTCTTATAGATTTTTTCTGTTCTTTTTATTAAAAATTATTCACAATTATTTTAAAGTTTACTTTTGCTAATGCAATAATTGAGTCATATTTCTGTTTTACCTTTTGGTTGTGTTTCTCTTATATCAGGTATTTTAAAATTGAATGTCAGACAGTATAATGAAATGTTATAGAGGCTTTTATGTTTTCTTTCTTTAAAGAAGGTTTCACTGCACTTTGTTAGGCAGTAGAAACTGAATTTATTGGAGGCTAAATTGTAGTGTTGGTAAGGCCTTGTTTACTTCCGACTCATATCCATCACTAAATAGTATTTCTCTAGGGTCTCATCTGGGAGCCCTATTAGCCTATTTTGGCAGATTCTGAAATAATTTTATCTCAGCCTTATTTTGCTGACTGTTTGGAAATAGCTACTCTTTTCACTCTATTAACAGTAGCCTTCTGCTTAAACTACCACCAAGTTTTGAGATAGCTTCTCTGTTCCTTTTCCCCCTTGTTGGGCACTTGGCAAGGTTGCCTTGGTAGCTTGCTTATACTATTAAGCAGAATTTTTTTACATGATATTTCAGTTGGTAGGTGGATTATTGCTCGGCCATGAGTTGATCCCTTCACAGATGGAAATAAAAGTTTAAAAAAGGATATCTTTAGCTGGGCAATCAAGTCTCAAGGGAAACTTCTATGATAATAGGGAATTTTGAGAAATATACTTATGGCCAACTGGCACTTTTGGCCACATGCATTTTGATAAGTTGTTATTAGTGGAACTTTAATTGGCATTATTTTCACTTTCTATTAGAACAAACTTTCTTAATTCAGCATTCATCTATGAGGCTCCTGACTATTTATTTGCGAACTTTTTGAAAATTGTGTGTGTGTGTGTGTGTGTGTGTGTGTGTGTGTATAAAATGTGTGTGTGTGTTGTGTATAATAGGTCTTAGAGTAATGCTGTTCAGTTCAATTATTAACTAAATGTGTTTGTATGACACTGATGAGATGCCCTAGGAACTTAACTTCTTTGTATTGATTAGCCTTTGGTAAAATTGGTTTCACTGTATGTCATTTCACTTAAAGTTGCAGAACCCATCAAGGACACTAAGTAAGGACTTATTGTATATGTGTTTTTCTATGACAATTTATTTAATTTTTAAAGGATATGTGATCCCAGATTTTTTTTTTAATGTTAACATATGAGATAAGCTCATCTTTGCTGCCTCTAGAGTACAAATTTATCTGAGTTTATTTCACCCATTAGGGATTTATAATAAATTTTAAATAAATTTCTAAATTATAAAAAAAGCTAAATTATGATCCAGAGATTTAATTTATTTTGTGTTTATTATAAAGGCTTATCAGCTCTTTTCATGAATTTATTTTATTCTATAACTTTTCTAAGCTTGTGACTTGTACTATTTTATTAATGTTAGATTTTCTAAAAATTATCTGCAAAAGTCAAATTCTTTGTTTCTCCTTGACTATAAGGATTCATCACATTGCATTCCTATTGTTAAGTGAGGCAATATTACTATCATTTTAATATTTCTTATGAGTTTATATATAAAACCTTTAGTGTTTTGAGAAATCCTTTATATCTAATATAAAAGAATTTAATTATGAGTAAGTGTAGACTTTTACTGAGTGTTTACTGCCATCTTTTAAAAACACTATAATAGTTTTTACTGTGCTTATGATAAATTACTTCGATGCTTTTGCAGTGGCATACTGGCCTTACATTTATGGCTTAATCCTAAATTTGAGGGTATTTTGATTTGTTGTTGTATTCCATAGTAGCAGACTATAACTGTTCTGGAGGAGTGTAAGTAGTGAAGTCATCTCAGATGAAGTGACGTTTATGCTGAAGCTTGAAGGATGAGTAGGTATTAATCAACTGAGCTAAAAGAAGGGAATCATAGGAGTGTGTTTCAGGATGAAGGATTGGCATATGCAGAAAACCTGGGTTCCAAAGAACACAGATCCTTACCCCATATCTTCCCACCTACCAACATCTATACTCATATACTTCTCCTTTTTTCTTGTTATTCAGTGTTGCCTTTTTGCCCAGTATGGTCTCCTCCCATTAGATAGGACAAAGAAATGTAATTACGTTGCTAGCCAGTTAACTAAAGAGAGGTTCTAGGTGAGCCTAACCTAACTTTAAAACGCTGACCTTGAAGGAGCAAGCTGCCATGTTGTGGGGAAGGCTGCACGGTAAGAACCTATAAACGACTAACAGGAGTCAAAAATGGTCCCTGGCTGACAGCAGCAAGCAGATGGAGACAAGATCTCAGTTTTAGGGCCATAAATAAATGAATTTCCCCAACAGCTTGAATGAACATATACATAGACCTTTCCCTGGTCAAGCCTTCAGAAAAGGACACAGCTGGTACCTGATTTCAGCAAGATTCCTATCTCATAAAAATGAAGAAAAAAATAAATTTGTGTTGTTTTAAGCCACTAAGTTTATGGTACTTTGTTATGCAGTAATAGGAAACAAATACAGATTCTTATACCAGAAGTAAGATGCAGCAGTTATTTAAAATAGGGGGACAGCTTTGGAACTGGGCAGTATGCAGAGGTTTGGAGAAACTGGAGGGATTTTGAGATGAATGGTAGAGAAAGCCTAAATTGTGCTGAACAGACTCTTGGTAGAAATATGGTCTCTGAGAATGCTGCTAATGAATTATCTGAAATAAGGTATTGAATAACAGATATGTTTTTGGAAACTAGAGGCATGGCTTGATAATGTAGTCATAGAAAGCTTTGCAAAATTGTCTTGCAGTTTTATGTCAAGCAGAATGTGTAAGTGACCAACATAGATTTATAACTAAGATTTCCCAGCTGCCTGATTTGAAGGTGCTACCCAGTGTCCTACTTTTCATAGTAAAATGCCAAAGCAGAGAGATATTGTGAGAAAAACAATAAAAGAAAAAGCACTAGGACCTAATGATTTTGATAATTCTTAGCCTTCTAAATGACATAAGATGTTAAAAGTCAGAATTGGCTGCCAAAGTATAGCATAGAGAAAAGACTGTGCGAGAAAATCTTTTGCTAAACCTTAGATCAAAAATTCAGTTTTCTGTCATACCAAGAGCCCTTTCAAGAAGTTAATGTGTGTTTCTTTCACATAGCTTTTGAGTCAAACTAGAGGAACACTAGAAATCATAAGGGTATCAACCTCAGCTATTTCAGGAGGAGGCCATGAGTATTTTAAGAATACCTGTAGATGTGGTTTTTGCGTAATGGAGTAAAACCTTGTGAGAAAATTATTTTAGCAGAAACACTGCCAATATGGACTTAGGGTAATGGAGGGTACAAAATGAAGAGAAACTCTTGAACACCCAACAATCTATGGGCATTATGATAAAACTACTTAGCTGGGGCGGGGTGGCGGGGGAAGCTTGCTGCAAACTTGTGCTGCCTTTTTTATAAAGAAGGAAGGATGACTCAGGGTGGAGCTGAGAGCTGTAGAGAATTGTTATTAGGCTTTGAAACCAAATCAAGAAACTCATTTACCTGGCTGGATTTCAGAACCGCTTTGGACAAGAGGCTTCTCTTTACCTTCCATTTTCTCCACTTGAACAGGAATATCTGTAAGTGTCATCTGTGGTCTGTCCCACCATTCTACATTGAAAATGGTGGGAAAAGGTAACTCATTTTAGTTTCACAATTTTAAAAAGGGAAATAAATTGTGCCCTAGCAGCTTTACTTAATGGATTATACCCAGGAATTTCATCAGCACCTGGAGTTGATTTAGTTTTAGACTTTGAGCTGATAAGAGAGAGATGAGATTTTGGATTTTTGAATCAGTGAGAGAGAGAGACGAGATAGATGTAAGATGAGATACAGACTTAGATAATGTGAGTTTGGACTTCGGACTATGATGGCGTGAGACTGTTAAGAACTCTAGGAGGAAGTGAATATATTTTGTGTTTGGGAAGAATGAGTTACTGGGTGCTAGAGAGCAGAATTCTACTTACCACAGTCAGGGAAAACTCAGTTAATTTATAATTACATTAAGGATTACGTAGTAAGTCTAATGTATTTGTAATTTTTCCATCTCATCTTTTGTAGCTTTTTCTATACAGATTAATTTATTTCATTGTAATTTTATAATGGAAAAAATACGATAATAAAGTTTTTATTTTATTAAAATGCGTAATACAAATTTTATATATTTGTATGCTTATATATTTAAGGGTATTTAAGAAATACTACTTATTATTTTATTAATACTTCCTAATATAAATAATGATTATGTAAAGAGAATAATTAAGAAGTATATTATTGAGTCACTTTTTTTAACAATTTTGACTAACTTGTTTATTTAATACAGTTAACTATTACTAGAAAGGTCTTTAAATAAAAATATTTTAAGAAAATGGTAATTTAGTGCTATTGATGTTTTTCCTCATAGGTTTTGCAGCCCTGTGACTTATTCTATCAGGCTACTCAGACAGGTACAGATCCACAAGTGATTGATATATCAGTAAAATCACTAACACTAAAGGTAAGTTAAAATGAAGTCAGTCATTAAGATCTCTAGTGAACTTAAAAAAAGTAAACACTAGAAATAAGCGATTATTATAGCAAGTCTTGTTAAATAAAAAGCTGTATTTTAAAAATATTTTAATATCTATAAGATTCATGTAAATATCTTAATTGAAATTAGTTATGATAAAAAAGTAATGTAGGCAGTGAACTGTATTTGCTATTTCATGGTAGTAATAGAATTATTTCAACATTAATTACTCATGATCCTTCAGCAAATATATTCAATTTTTTTGAAGTACGTATTTTTAAAAGAGTATGAGTAGATGTTTTATTAGTTTAATTTTTTTCTCCTTAGGTTTCACCAGTTATCATAAATACTGTGATTACCATAACTTCAGCACTTTATACAACTAAGGAAACCATCCCACAAGAAACTGCTTCTACAGCACATTTATGGGAAAAGAAGGATGTAAAGAATTTAAAAATGTGGTTTCTTGAAGAACCAAAAGAAGTTCAAAACATAGCTCCCACAACTGAATTGGTACCCAAAGGAGAGAAAATAAAAATGAACATTGATTCTATTTTTATAGTTCTTGAGGCTGGAATTGGCCATAGAACAGTGCCTATGCTTTTGGCAAAATCATGTTTTTCGGGGGAAGGTAAAAACTGGAGTACCCTCATAAATCTCCACTGTCAGCTGGAGCTAGAAGTAAGCATATGTAGTATTTTTTCTAGGTTTTATAATAAATAATACTACGCATGGAATATTTTGAGACTCTACTTTATTCAAATTAAATATTATAAATATAATGTTGGCTTACAAAACTTTTGGAAGAAAGTTTTTATATATATATATATATATATGAGTTTGATATAGTTTTATGTGTACGGTGAGTCCTCACTAATGTCATTGATAGGTTCTTTGGCTTTAAGCAAAAGGACATATAACAAAACCAGTTTCACTGTAGCTAATTGATACGAACAAGAGTTAAATTCCTGCATCTCATTGGCGTTATAATAAAACAGAACAGCATTATTTGAGGACCTGTTGTACATTACTTTTAGACTACATATCCACATTAAGTATTAAGTCAGTATTTCAGTTGATTTTATCAACTTAAATGTAATATATTAATAGACTTGTTAGATTCAAAGTTCTTATTTTTATTAAATTGAATTTAAAAGAAACTTATGAATTAAGTTTTCTTTAAAAGAAAAGTAAACTATTTCTGAATCTCTTCTGAAAGAGTAATTTAAAGAATTAAGGATATATCTTATACTTTTATAAAATGCAGAATCTTTGTACTCTAATGAGAATACACTAAGATCTTTCAGATTTTGGGGAGAGTAGTTTACACAAAAAATATTTCTTTGAACCAATGTATTTTGCTTTGGAATTTATCTATATAAAATCATCTAGAAGTACTTTGGTTTAAATTATTAATCAAGTTTATATCTAGTAGAAATTAATATATGATAATCTACCTTTTACCAAAAAATGTATGTAGGTTTATAATCTATGTTATTTGTGTTGATACAATTATATATTAGTAGAGGTAGAATTGACTGACTAGATTACAGATGTTCAAATTCTGGCTAGAATTCTGTGTATTTTCCAGAGGATTTTTAATCTAAGATGTCCAGGAAGTTCAGAGAATTGAAATAAGTATACACTCATTGAATCCTGTGTTACTTGCCTTTGAAGGCTTTTGAAAAGTCAATAGAGGTAGACAGACATGTTAAAAATGTCAATAATATATGATAAACAAACACAGTTTTTTAGTTTAGCCTGGCCTTCCAGTCAAGGAAAGGTTGTTAAAAGAAAGTGTTGTCTGGATTAAATTATGAAGACTGAACTATGAAGTTAAGCAGGTGAAGAAAACACTGACAGAGTGAGTGTGTGTAGGAAACTAATGAATGGCAAATAGGATGGTTTGCACGTAGAAGAAATAGCACAGCCAAAAGGAATGTAGTGAGAAACATCATGGAAGATCATTTTAGCAAATACCAGAATTCCTAATTTTAAAAAACTTCTCTTTATAGGTGCATTATTACAATGAAATGTTTGGTGTATGGGAACCTTTGCTTGAACCCTTAGAAATTGACCAGACTGAGGAATTTAGACCATGGAATCTTGGAATCAAGGTATACTTGAATTCTAAAAATTTTTCAAAAATTGAGGATGTATACACTGCAGAAAACACATTAATTTTAATCACAACAAAGTTTCGGTTTTCTCACTGTGAACCTTGCTGTGTGCTTCCTCGTTTGACCTCTAAATATTAATTTTCAAACCTAAGATCAGTGTCCACCTACGCTTTTTCTAATACAAATAATTATATAACACTTATTATGTACTAAGCACTGTCTAAACAATGTACTTTTGCTTTCACCCTTATAACAACTATCTGAATATACAGTTTTTAATTTTATAGTAATGTGAGAAGACAGAAACTAGAGAGGGGCTTCTCTGACATACTAAAACACATACCTTCAAAGTGGAGGAAGTCGGGTGCAATTCTGGCTACAGAGCCCCCGCTTGTATTAAAACACCACTGCCCTCTTGTAGGTTATTGTGTATCCTGTTTCACTTGTCTTCTGAAGGATGTATATAGGGAAGAAAATTATATTATTTTGTTTAAAGTATGTCGTGCATTTATGTCATAAGAATCAGGACATTTAGATGGATGAAATTATGCTTCTGAGGTAAGTGACTACAGATTTACTAGCATGTTTCCTCCCTAATGAAGATTCAGTCAACCTGCAGACAGGTGTTCAGTGGCCTAAAGCTGTTTAAATTAACAACAGAGGTGACTAATTTGGCATGTTCACCTTTTTTTATATTAGATCACTACATTTGATTTAACACATTTTAGGTAAAGGATTTTGGTAAAGGAACTTATTTGGTGGTTTTTAGGTTGGAACATGGGCACTGGATCTGTGAATCCTAGAAAGAGGGAGATGGTATTGTTTCTTTCTTGGTTCTAGTGGCACTGTCCTGCAGCTGTTGTTGGACTTCGTAAGTCCCTGATTTTCTGTTCTTCCTTTATAACACAGACAATAGACTGGGTGACTCTTCTCACTCTTGAGTTTTCATGTGCTGTGAAGTATGTGCTTTTCGTTTTCATTCTGATGCCACATGCAGTTAGTAATTTTGATTTTTTTCTTCTAAAATGTGGCTGTCATTTTAGTATCACTGAAGATGAGAATTTTTCTTCTAATACTGCTCCTGTATTACGTGATTTTAGTTGGCTGATATCCAAGTAATTCCAATAAGGCAGTGGAACTGATAAAATGCTTTGCTCTCTTTAATATTATTGGAATTTATCTAAAGTTTGTCCTTTGCAAAATGAGTTATGTTGTGCTCATGGGAAGAAATTTTTCTTATATTTCTATAATTTATATGTCATTTTAGATGAAAAAGAAAGCAAAACAGTCCATCGTTGAATCAGATACTGAAGAAGAAAATTACAAAGTGCCAGAATATAAAACTGTCATCAGTTTCTATTCAAAAGACCAATTAAACATTACATTATCCAAATGTGGTATCGTAATGTTAAATAATTTAGTCAAGGTAAGAAAAGACATTTGAAACTTTAAATCTGTCTGACCTAGTCTGAGTTAACGCTTTTCTTTTTTTGAATAAAATTTTTTATTAACTTAGTTGTTTTTCGTATGTCCATTAAGGTTCTCCTTGTCATTTAGTTTTCCACATTTCATTTCATTTTACTTACAATAATTCTTCCTTATTAGGCATTTACAGAAGCTGCCACTGGGTCTTCCGCTGTCTTCGTAAGGGATCTAGCGCCTTTTATGATTGTAAACTCTCTTGGACTCACCATCTCTGTTTCACCAAGTGACTCTTTTAGTGTACTCAATGTTCCAATGGCAAAATCATATGTATTGAAAAATGAGGAGAGTTTAAGTATGGATTATGTCCGAACAAAAGACAGTGATCATTTCAATGCAATGACCAGCTTAAGCAGCAAACTTTTCTTCATCCTTCTTAGTAAGTGATAAATTATCTTCCTGGGGCTTTAATTTCTTTACAGTTTATTTTACATCCCATTGTACTCATGTATGATATCTTATAAATACAAGTTTTTTTTTTATCTCCTTCCTAATAGGTTGGGAATTTTGTTTCTTCCTTTGCAGGTCTTTGGTTGCTATTGTCACTGTATTGTCATATGCCAAATTCTAACTTTCTTTATTCACTGCTTTATTTATGCCATGGTAATTTACTACTGTTTAGTTTATGGAGGAGAAATAGTAGATCTCATTCTTACTCAGCTTTTACAGACTATAGCTATTGGTGGTGGTCGTTTTAACCACCTTTGGTATAACTCAGTAGTATTCCACCAGTGCAGCTGAATGAATTCAAAATAAGGTTTGAATTTATGGAAATGGCACATTGTAATAGTTTTAGGGTTTATAAATGGTATTGATATTATGCCTGCTGAGGTGAAAATTTCTTTTGACCTTTCTGCTTCCCAGAAGCTTTTTATTTTCATGAGAAGTGAAAGTAAATAAACTTTAAGTTATCATAACATATCTACTCATTATGAAGTGAAATAGTCCCCAAAGTCTTGCCTACACCACTTTCTGATACATTTGACATTGAAATAGTTAAGGTGGAGGGTATTTGAAAGGTTAATTAGACATTGGATTGGAGTTCCAAGACTGACAGCTAGTGTTTTCTCCTAATCAAGAAATGATGCACAACTGTGTCCAGGTTTCAGGTGTTGTCTGAACATTGCCAGTGAATTATCCTTGCCAGTTTTACCTCTGTTTGATTTTATCTTAAAATCAAACAGAGGTAACAGCTGCATGGTGTTCAATACAGTTGATTTTTATAGACTAGAGTGAGGGGATTAATGTAAATAATGCTTTATCCGCCAATACAGCATATGTATGTATATTAGATAAATGTATCTATAATTTTGTTTAATCAAATCCTAGATATCACAAAGTGTCACATGTTAAAAAATTAAAAACGGAAAAATTGCAGCTATCTTAATAATTTCCAATGATTGCCTGAAGGTATTAGGCTTTGGTTATTATAACAGCAAATCAGAGATCACTTTTCTTGTGTTTTATAATTCTTCTTCTCAGTAGTTATTTTGAAAAGGTTTATGAAACCTTTTTGTTCGTAAGTGTTGCCTTAGGTCCAAGTAGTGAATATCTTTTTTTTTTTTTTAATTAAAATTTATTTTGCTAAAAAGTTTTGAAACTTTTAGGTAAATGTGGTAAAAATGCATTGTGGTTTTAGAATATCCCTTGGTATATCTTATGTCTGTATAAAGAAATACCCTTTTGTATACTGATAAATCAATCCAAAGACTTGAGTAACTTTAAGAACCATCTCTTTTTTCTGACTCTTAACATCTATCTAAAATTAATATAATGATTTATAATAAAAATTTTCAAATATCTGTATTCAATTTAGCACCTGCTAATCACTCTACTGCTGATAAAATTCCTTTAACAAAAGTGGGACGCAGACTATACACCGTAAGACACAGAGAGTCTGGAGTAGAAAGATCTATTGTTTGTCAGATCGATACCGTGGAAGGAAGTAAGAAGGTAACAGTTCGCTCCCCGGTGCAGGTAGGAAATGATACAGTTTTCTGTGGGCACATATTAATATTTATGTGCTAATATTTCGTGAGCATATTATGTGCTAATAAAAAAGAACTAAAATTACTACCAAAAGAATACAAATTATAGTAGTAATATAGCCAGTATCAAAGAGTCATTACCAGTAATTGTACTACTCTAATATGAGCAATCATAGGATTTTGTTCAATGTACTTGTAATTTTTTAAAGGACTATTTTGTAAAATCTTTTTGACCATTTTGAAAAAAATCAACTAATTAATATTTTATTTGGGGTTTTATAGTATGTATATATTCTTTTGTTTTAATTAAACAATATGGTGAGAGAAAGTTTTTTAGCTTTAATGAGGTAAAATTGATGTACAGTAAGCTGCATACATTTCTACTTGTGGAGTTTGACACAAGAGTACACCTATGAAGTCTTTGTCACAGTCAAGGTAATGAATGTATTTATCTTCCCAAAATTTTTCCTCTCTCCTTGCCTTTCTGTTCTCAGGCATCCAATGACATGTTCTCATTATGCATTAGTTATACAATATAGAATTTTATGTAAATGAAATGCAGTACAAAATGGAGTCTTTGTTTTGTTAGGCATAATTTTGCAAACATCAACTTTTGTTATTAACAGTGTTACATGCAGTTGCATGTTGTTCAATAGTTATCTATAATATGTACATACATACTACACACCATTTTGTCTATGATATGAGGTAAGGGTTGAAGTTCATTTTTCTTCCATAAGTTGTTCTAAACAAGATTATCCTTATTCCATCAAATTGCCTTGATACTTTTATCAAACATAACTTGACTGTATCTGTGTGATTTACTGCTGAATTTTCTGTTCTGTTTTATTGTTGTTTATCTTCATGCTGATGCCACAGTCTCTTGATTATACTTGACCCTGAATTTTGCAAGTGGGCAGTACAAGTTGTCCCACTTTGTTTTTTAGGAGGTTGATTGGGCTGCTTTCAGTCATTTCCATTTAAATTTTAGACTCAGGTTTTAAATTTTTATTCAAAAATTTGAACAGAAACTGTATTTTTCCATACTAATTTCTGATTTTTATTATTAGGGGAAATGCAGTTAATTTTTATATTAACTTGTACAAACTTATTATTTGCACTGTTGAATTCTAGTGCTTTTTCTACATATAGTTACACTGTCTATAAAGGCATTTCTACATTTCTTTTCTAATCTGGATGTATATTATTTTATTCTGTTTTATTTTTTGCCTGTTGTGCTAGCTAGAACCTCCAGTACAATTTGAATAGGAATTGTAAAAGCAGATGTTTTTGCCTTGTTCTCAGTTTTAGTGTGAAAGTATTCGCTTTTTTAGCATTAAATATGTTTTGAGGGATTTTTTTTTTTAGATGCCCTTTCTTAGGTTGAAAATGCTCCCTTCTGTTCCTAGTTTGGTGATAGTTTTTATCAGGATTTGGTCAAATGATTCTGTGTTTATTGATAGGATCTTTTTTAAGAAATGTTAATACAGTTGATTTTTAATTGTTATATTAAATAAGATTTGATTGATTTTTAAATGTTAAGTCAGTCTTGCATTAATCTGTGAAATCCCAGTGAAATCTCAGTTAGTCATGAAGTACTATTAACCTTTTAATGCATTGGATTAATTTGCTAAAATTATGTTCAGAGTATTTGCATTTATGTCATTAGGGATATTGATCTAGGATTTTCTTATAATGTTTTCTTTTTGTGAAGGTTTTTAAATATAGTTTCACTTTATTTTATGTGTAAAGGCTACTCAGGTTAATCTGTTAGTTCTCAAGTGAGCTCTTCTAGAAATTTTGAGTCTTTCATGAAATTTGTCCATGAATTTTTATTTTTATTTCACTTTTATATTTTAAGTCATTTTCACTATAAGTCAATATAGATTGATTGCTTTGTGTTTTTTCATACTATTTTAAGAAATTGTTCCACTGTTGACTGGATTACATTGTTTCTGACCAGAATCTGCCTTTACTTTTACATTTGTTGTTTTATGAAAAGTGTTGATATTTATATGCATTTAAGAGGGTTTTTTTCCTTTATCATTGATGTTAAGTAATTTGGTTGTGATGAATCATGTTTCTTGTACTTGGGTTTATTAAGTTTCTTGAATCCGTGGATTTACAACTTTTATCAACTTTAGAAAGTTTTTGCCATTTTTTTTCAAAAAATTTTTATATTTTTTTCCCCTCTTCTTTCTTCTTTACTGACCACAGTTAGGTATGTGTTAGAGTTTTAGATCTGCCCCACAGCTCAGTAGTGCTCTGTTCATTTTTTCTGTCAGTTTTTTCCCTTTTGTGTTTCTGTTTTGTTTATATTGTTGTTTCTTTTCCCCAAAGTCCAGTCTTTCCTTATTTCCATCCAATATATTTTATCTCTAGAATTTCAGATTGCACTTTTATCTATATTTTCCATGTCATCTGTTAATACTTTATCTTTCCCCTAACTTTGAACATACTCCATATAGGTCCCTGGTAGAGGGCATACAAAAAGCAACTACATATTGATGTTTCTCTCCCTGTCTTTCTCCCTTCCCCTCTGTCTAAAAATAAATAAATAAAATCTTTAAAAAAAACCAAAATGTATTTGTATGGTTTTAAATAGGTGGGGCAAGCAGTATATCTAGAAATAAAATATAGGGAAGTTAAGACTATTGTCTTAATCTTATTTCCCACTGAGCGTGTTTTATGTTTTAGTTTGACTTTTTAAAATTAGTTTAAGATTTTAGTAAGATATAGGAAGATAGGAAAATGGTCTTCCTAACCAGTTTGTTTTTATCCTTCCAAAGGCAACTGTAACTGTTTATAGGTGTATCAGATAATATGTAATAATTAAAATTATGTTACCTTCATATCACTGTCATATGCTGTACTCACTGGGTGTGACACCCTCCCATATCCTGTGTCTCATGAACAGCAGTGTGAAAGGGGCATTTCCCAGCCTGAGGCTTGTTCTTTACTTTGTCATATAGACATTTAAAATTTTGATGTAATATTTTTTTCTTTGAACTTTTTCTGCTATTTTTGTTTAAAGAAGTTATTGCTTATCTCAAAGTCAAGAAGATACTACTTTTTTCTTTCTGGGATTTTTACAGTTTTATTTTTTGAGATTTTTTTTCTGTAAAACTCAAAATTTTTCTTGTATTTCTAGGAAAAACAATAGCATGTTTCTTTCTAACTTACATAAGCAAGATAAATATTACTGCATAGTTCTTTTGTTGGGGCATTTAGATGGGATATATTTTAAATGTCTTTAGTTTATTGGATTAATGGTACTAAATGTTATTTGTTTTTCTTTCCTAGATTAGAAATCATTTTTCAGTCCCACTTTCAGTTTATGAAGGGGATATTTTACTGGGAATAGCTACACCTGGAAATGAATTTAACATACCATTAGCATCTTACAGGTGATTCTTCTTTATCTTTCTTTTTGTTTGCTCTATGGTCTCATACAGAATTTTTAGTTTCTGATTTGTTAAGGATATCTACATATATTATAAACATACATTTAATAAAGATAGTAAATTTACAAGCAAAATGTTCTTAATGGCTAAATAACTTCATTAGTTTCCTGAAAGATAGAGATATCTGTCTATTGTCTATCTTACCTATCTCTAAGACTGTGAAATACAAAAATGTATTACAATAATACGAATATGAAGGGAGGTAATTTAATTTTTCTAAAGCTGTATTCATATAATTTAATATATTCCCTTTTAAAGCATTTCAACACATTCTTTAATCTTCTATGCAGATCACTTTTTTATCTGAAGCCAGAAGATGAGGACTATCAAATGTGTGAAGGAATTGACTTTGAAGAAATTATAAAAAATGAAGGCACTTTTCTAAAGAAGAACTGTAGATCTATAAACCCTTCTAAGAAACCATTTATCATTAATGTTGTCCCAGAAAGAGATAATCTGACATCTTTGTCAGTGTATTCAGAAGACGGTTGGGACTTACCATATATAATACATTTGTGGCCACCTGTCCTACTTCGAAATCTTCTTCCTTACAAAATTGCTTATTATATTGAGGTATTTTGGAATTTTTTAAATGCCTTTGTACCTTTGATTTTGTAGTTTCAGTAATTTGAAAATATGAACAATAAATTTTTTACAGTTTTGATGAAAATTTTAGTACTAGTCATGGGTAGTACTACAAATGGAAAGCAAATGTTTCAAATCATGTATAAAAAGAGGATTAAAAAATATTTTTCATTAATTTACCTTTGAAATTTGGCTACTAAGTTGAATATAAATAATATATGCAAATGTGATATGGCATTTTAAAAGTATTTATGAAAGTAATGTAAATTTCTGTTAGAAAATTTAGAAAATAGAGATAATAAAAAATGCCTATAATCAATCACATCATCTGAAGGTAGTACTTTAGGTGAAAATAATATTTTGGTTTTAGAATATGCATTTTTTAATCTTTTCTATACATGTACATTTCATATATCATCCACTAAAAGGATAGATTCTAATTTTTAAAACAATTATGAGAATTAGTATAATAAATTACATTTAAGTACTAGACTTAAGTGAAAAAAACCCTGCTACATTATATTATATTATCCTCATGTTCTCTAAAAGGATTTTGTGCCCTATAAAGATCCTTTTTCTTTTAAACAGTTTTAACAAATTATACCCAGTTTTAACAAATTATATCTTATTTGATCTTAGGATATTAATATTACATTTGCCATGCTTATAAGGAAGGTCTTCATTGTAATCTATTAATTATTTTTGTTGCAGTCTATTAATTATTAATCATTGGGGTTTACTATATGTATACACTTCTTATAAAATTTTTGGGAGGGTGAAGTTAACATATCTATGATTTAAGAATATCTGTTTTTCCTTATGCTTGGCAGATATCATAGTGGCTAAGAATTTGCACTTTGCTGTCAGGTAGCTTTGAGATTTAATCCTAGCTGTATTGCTTCCTAAGTATATGTCTTTAAGCAGGTTACATTATCTTTCTGAATTATTTATCCTAGTTTATAAAATGGGCATAGTAATAAAACTTCCATAATTGGGGTAGGGGGGAATCAAATGTAGCACTGTATGTAAAGGATTTAGTAGAGTGCCTAACAGGCACGTGGTTGCCATTTACATGCCTCTGACAACGCCACCACTGCCCTTCTCTTCTGTGGACATCAGCATGTCAGGCATCAGTCACTGAGATTGGTTTTTACTTTAAAACCTTAAGATGAAAAGATTCCTATTTATAACAGCAGTAAGGAACTAGGTTAGAGATGTTGGAAAAACTGGTAAATTATCCCGATGTACCATCTATGTTCAGTTCTCATAGAAGTTTTAATGTGATGCTTTTAGGGAATATGTTGTTTGCTAGCATCCAAAGCATATGATCAGCTTTTAAAAAGACAATTTAGCTGTGGTATGGAGAGGGATTAGAGGAGACAAGAGCAGTTAGGAGACTTAATGTGAGAGGCCACGGTGACCTGAATAGGACCGTAATAGGAGTGCACTGTAATAGGAGTGCGGGTGGAGAGAAATGAGCAGTTTTGAGACCTACGCAAAATGCAAAACAATAGTTGTAAATGTGTGGTGAGGGATTGTTAAAAATCAAGAATGGGAGTTAGTAAGGATTGCTTATTTTGGATTGCCATCAGTTTCCTCATGCATTTTTCATTATTTTTTAGATTTCCAAAGTAAAATCACTAATGGATAAGATTTTTAAATGTTTTACTAATTAATAGTGTTTTATGTTTATATAGTATTATTAGTTCCAGCAGAGTTTCACATTGTGTTGTTTAAATTTATCCTAACAATAGTCCATGTAGACCATTTTACAGATACAATAACTCAAATAATTTACACAATTCACATATCTGGCAGAGTTAGGATTTGAATATAACTCTTCTGTCTTGTTCTGACAGAAGTATATTTCAAAAGCATTTTGTATAGCATTTGGAATCAAATAGAATTTTTGACATATTATTCTGAAATGTTAAAAAAATTTACTATGTTTTTTTATTACAGGGGAATGAACAGAGAGTTTTTACTCTAAATGAAGGATGTTCTGCCCATATTTGTACTGTGCAATTGGATCAAGCCAAGATACATTTAAAACTACTTGACTATCTTAATCATGATTGGAAAAGTGAATATCATATAAAACCTAATCAACAGGATATTAGTTTCATCAATTTTACCTGTGTTACAGAAATAGAAAAGACCGATCTAGATATTGCTATCCATGTGACTTACAATCCTGGCCAGACAGTTGTGGCATTTCATAGCCCTTATTGGATGGTCAATAAAACCGGTCGAATGTTACAGTATAAAGCAGATGGAATTCATCGAAAGCATCCACCTAATTATAAAATGCCAGTTCTCTTTTCTTTTCAGCCCAAGCACTTTTTTAATAACAATAAGGTATGTAAAGTTTTCTTAACTTTCATTTTTCTTAGCTATTTATCACTCCTTTCTAGAGTTTAGAATTTTTAAGAATAAAATATTATGAAACAGGTAGAAATAACATTTGTTAACTATTTGAGGTTGTAAAGAGTAGAATTTCATATTGGGAAAGGCTTAGTGCATTAACTAAAAAGCAAAAAAATTATCAGTTTACTTTGAAATTTTTTAAGATATTAAATTGTAATATATTTGAAATATTTTTTCTAGGTTCAGCTTATGGTAACTGATAGTGAATTGTCAGATCAGTTTTCAATTGACACTGTTGGGAGTCATGGAGCAGTTAAATGTAAAGCCCTAAAAATGGAATATCAGGTGAGTTCATTCTGTGCTCATTACAAAACTTCTATCTAAACTGTGTCTGTTGACTCTATTGACTACTTAATTTTTAAGGATGTTATTTTAATGTAACAGCTTTTGAAATGTTTTTGAAAATATTTTTTCCTTAGGTTGGTGTCACTATTGGCCTCAGCAGTTTTAACATTACCAGAATTGTGACATTTACCCCTTTTTATATGATTGAAAACAAAAGCAAGTACCGTATATCAGTGGCTGAAGAAGGAAATGATAAATGGCTCTCTCTTGATTTGGAGCAGGTGGGTGGATGAATTTCGATAACATAAGTCTTTGGATTTTTATTTTTTCTTGAAGTTAGATAACTGAAATTACAATGTAATGTTTTAACTTTCTACTTGTACGCCCCCACAAGTTTATTTCAGTTCCATGAATGTTCATTGAATATTTAAACCAAGCCCTAGATATTTAATTATTAAAGTCCAAACGGTGCCATCTAGGAATACATTGCTTGATAAGGGAGGTGTAAACAGTTAACAGTTACTAACCAAATGGACTCAAATAAGATTAGATACGTTACACATGCAGGAAACAGAAGGAAATGATTTCTTTTCTTCAGGAAGCACTTTGGACTGCCTTTAAAGTGCATGGTAAACCAGTTCTTTTAGGAAGGAGAAAGTGACTTGGAAGAAAAATGCTTATTTTACTCCATCTTTAGCTATTAAACCTCTAGATAAGAGCTTTCTGAAGGACTGACTGACTCCCCAAGGTTGATAGAATATTTTACTTTTGAAGAAATTTTATTCTAGATATATTAGGATTATAAGAGGAATGTTTACTATTTTTATTCACTTTTCTTGCTTTTAAGCCATCCTTCTGGAATTCTTCTTCTTGATGTGCATCCTTTAGAATTTCCTTTGTGCTGTTGTTGGAGGAAAATGGAATATTTGTGTTTATCCATAAAAGTTTTTTTTAGAATAAATCCCCTGACAGCTATATTTAAACATAATACTTGCTTAAAAGAGGTAGTTTCAATCATTTATGCATTCCTCAGATTACTGAAAGGCAGTGTGGAATTTAAGTTAGAGGCACATTTTCTGGAATGCATTGTACATTTAATTCCCAGTTCAGTCCCTCTGGGCTATGTGATTTTTTTAATAATAATTTTTTAATTTTTTGTTCACATGTTATTATTGTTGTTAAAGTACAGTTGTCTCCATTTTCCCCCCACCCCAGCCATCCCCACTTCCCACCCTTGATCCTGCCCCCCTTTGGTTTTGTCCATGTGTTCTTTATAGTTGTTCCTGAAAACTCTTCCCCCTTTGCCCCCTATATCCCCTCCCACCTCCCCTCTGGTCACTGTCAGAGTGTTCTTTATTTCCATGTCTCTGGTTCTACTTTTCTTTCATGTTTGTTTTGTTGATTAGGTTCCACTTCTAGGTACCACTTCATGTGGTATTTGTCTTTTACCACCTGGCTTATTTCACTTAGCATAATGCTCTCCAGTTTTTATCATCATCTTCATGGTACTTTTTCTTGATAATGAATTCTCTTTTTTCTCAGCATGTATATTTTCCTCCACTGGTTTTTGGCATCTCTTTTTGTTGAGTGCTTCTGTCATTTCTTTGGAGGTTATCTTTTTTCTTTAGCTGCTTTCAGTCTCAGTGTTCAATGTTCTGCAGTCATACTACTGATTATCCACATGTGGGTTCCTTTTATGTATCCTGCTTGAGACGTCTTACTGCTAGGTCTGTGGATTAGTAATTTTTCATACCATTTGTAAAATTTGCAACTAGTGTTTCTTAAAATATTGTCTCTCCCCTTCCATTTCCTCTTCTGAGCTTTTAATCAAACATATTTGAGACTTTTACATTCTATCTTCCATGTTTTCTAACGTCTTTTTTATATTTTTCATCTGTATAACTCTCTGTGCTGTAATCTGGATAAATTCTATGTATATATCTTCCATAATTTTTTTTACTTTTACTGTGTCTAAACTGCTTTCTAAGCCTATGGTTGGGTTTTTTATTATATTTCTCATTTCTAGAAGCTCTACTTTTTTCAGCTTTGCCTGTTAATACATTCTTTCAGCAAATACTTACTGTGTACTCCTGTGCAGCTCATGATAAATACATCTGTTAATGAAACAACAAGTTACTGTCCTCATGGAGTTTATATTTCAGTGGAGGTATAGGAAAACAATAAATTAATAATGCCATGATCAATTAATAAAATATATAATATGTTTAAAGGTGACAAATGTAATGGAGGAAAAGAAAATAAGACAGATAAAGAAGTAGTAAGAGTTATCATGAGTAAGGGGTGAATTATAATTTTTTGTAAGGTGGTCAAGGATGGGACTCAGAGGTCGCATTTCAGTGGACATGGAGGAAATGTGACAGGTAGCAATTCAGGAGCTCAGCTGAGCTGCTAGGTGTTGGAGTAGCTGATTAATACAACAAACCTAAATGAATATAACAGTCAAGTTATTGCCTTTGATTGCCTACTGTGATAGTATAAACAAGAAGCTAAACTGGACAAAGCACTGACTCCCCCCAGGAGCAGCATTGGTGAGTGCATCAGCACAGATAAGGGGGTTTTGTCACAGTCAGGGGAGCCCTGAACAAAAGGCTTTTTTATGGACCTGGGGGAAGGAAGAGAACAAGGGGGAGAAGCTATGAGCGGAAAAGTCCTGAGCACTGAGTCAGAGTAGAGAATAAGCGTCTTCAAGGTTTCTCCTCTCGTCTTGATAAACTTTTGCAGAGGTTTCTGAGGAAGGCTTCTGCCGAGGGCCCTAATAAAGAGGCCTCTGGATGAAGTTGCCTGAGGTAGGAATCAGATAGTATTTGAGCTTGGCTGGAGGTAGGGCTGAGTCCTTGACAATGCGGTGCTGTGGCTGCATACGTCGTCTGGTATCAGGAGGTTGTCTGTTCTCTGTGAGGCCTGCCAGATAAAATCCCTTTTGTAATTGACTATGTTCTGACCTGAAAAATTACACATATCGGGGAGCTGGACTCCTTAGCAATGGAGATATCAGAGAAGAGCATTAGAGACAGAAGAATCAGCTGGGGCTGGTGCCCTAAGGTGGGAGAACACTTGGTATGTTTGAGGGATAGCAAAAGTGGCCAGTGTTTACTGAAAGAAGCAAAAGTAGCAGAGAACAAGGTATAACGGTGATGAGGAATAATCATGTAGAACTTTTTGAGCCATTGCAAGGATTTTAGCTTTTGCGCTCAGTGAAATGGAGAGCTGTTGGAGGGTTCTGAATAGTGATTAAACACAGTATACTCTCAGTACATATTTGCTGAATAAATATATGATTTATTTTTGCAAATGTTCCATGTGTGCTTAGTAAGTCTATGGGTTCTTGGTCTGTTGGATGTAGAGCTCTATTCTAGTTACTAACATTACAACTCCAGCCTTGCTTTGCTGTACAGATTTTTCTAAATGTATCCTTTTCTAATAACATTATTGGGTCTTTTTATTTTTTAATTATTTATTTATCTATCTTTAGAGGGCAAGGAGAGAAGGAGAGAAACATCAGTGTATGGTTGCCTTTCATGCATCCCCTACTGGGAACTGGCCTGCAGGGAACTGGCCTGCAACCCAGACATGTGCCCTGACTGGGAATCGAACCGTGTCCTCTGGTTCACAGGCCTGTGCTCAATCCATTGAGCTACACCAGGACCTAACATTATTGGGTCTTTTTAAATACCTAATCTATAGCCTGTCTTTCAACAGTTAATTATATTTACATTAATTGCAGTTAAAACTGCGTAACAACTTATTTTTTATTTTATTTTTAGTCTTTTTTAAGATAGGTTTCTTTGCTAGTTTAAAAGTTTTGCATTTTAATTTTAGCTTATCATAGCCAACCTTACCTTAAGATTTATACTCATGATTATTACCTATGTAGATTTGTTAAACTTACCTATTATTTCTATTTTTCAACTACAAAAGACAAAGTATTTTCCTACTTTTTCTAGTCTCAAGAGGTAGAGCACATAACATTTTTAAACGATACACAGCATACCTTACTAAACATAAAAACATATTTTTAAGGCAAATGCTATCAGAAAATAGCAGTTTAGGGGATTTTCAAAGAGCACATCTGTTGCTTATGGAAAGTATACTTGGGTTAGTATTCCAGGTAAGTTTCTGCTAGGTTGCAAGAAATCCTGAGAGGAACCTTCTCAGCCTCTTGTGCGTTCACCATGTTCCATGTCTAGTTCTGTTAATTACCTTTTATGGTTGAGTAGAACTGATTCGACAACTCAGTTCTGCTACATTGTTCCCTGGTCATATGGTGATAATCAGATTCACACATGAACAATCTCATTGAAATATGTGAAGTCCCCAGTCTGGTCAGGGCCTATCACACTAAGACAGAGTTTACAGTAGCTTTCACACAAGTTTGCTTCTCCTTTCCTGTTCTGTCAGCTCTTTTCTTTGTTTCCAGCTCCTATTGTCTAGTTTTTTTCTGGGTACACTGACTACCTCCTATTCTTTTAGTTTGGTTCCCAGATCACTGATATCCAAATTGTCGTTAAGATTTTGAACCTATTTCCTACTTTGAACTTTGAATATTTCTTTTACTTTTACCCTTGTTTGACTTCCCTGACTCTGGATTTAACATGTACCCTCAGTCAATATTTGTGTGTACTTTGACTACTGCTTAATTACCAAATGATGCCTACAATCTGATTATGATTTTTCATAACTGTGAGTATATCCTTGTTTTTAGCATGTATTGTCATTTCCCTTGCTTCCCAGCTCTCTCCTCAGGTGACTTCCTGGATTTTCAACCCTTCTCTAGATCTGTACCACATTAAAATTTCTGCTTATCATAGTTTTCCAACTTACTGCCAATTACTGCTTTCCTGTACCCAGCCCATGAGTGCCAGCCCATCTCTCAGCAGACAGTTTATAGCTGTTTAGGTAAACAACCAAATAACTAGAACAGCATTGAAAGAGATTTACTTTAATTTTATCCTAAGTCTACTCTGATGGATTTATTAAAATGATAAAGGTCTTTATGATGCAATCTGTTGGTTTTTAAGAATAAATATATGTGGTATGTATGTTTTAGTGTATCCCCTTTTGGCCTGAGGATGCTTCAAATACACTTCTTATTCAAGTTGAAAGAAGTAAAGGCCCTCCTAAAAAGATACATTTTAACAAGCAAGAAAATTGTATTTTATTGCGTCTGGATAATGAGGTAATTTGGGGAGAGGAGGGATTAAAGAAGCTAATGTTACTAATATTTAATTTTTTGTATCAAATAATTTTCTTATTATTTTTTCCTTTCACCAAAAATGCACAAAGATTTTTTGTGTGTTTGTGAAGGGAAAGAATACTAAAAGGAGACAGACATAAAATAATTTGTTTTACAGAAAGTTAGTTGAAGTGCCTAAAATATACATCTGGAATTTGACACATCTGTATATATATAACACATCTATATAATTAAGAGCATGGTTTCCCAAACCTACAATATAAAATAAAAACTTTATGAATAGCTTTATTATTGTTAGTTAATATTCTTTGCAAAATGATTGTATTAGAGAATATTTTTCCCTGTTTTTCTAGCTTGGAGGTATTATAGCAGAAGTTAACTTGGCTGAGCATTCTACAGTTATTACATTTTCAGATTATCATGATGGAGCAGCTACATTCCTGTTAATAAATCACACTAAGGATGACATTATTGAATATAGGCAAAGGTAAGATTATCACAAATACAGTATCTCTGGTTTGAGCAAAGTCTGAGTGGTAAGACACTACTTTATAATGATTTCTTAAAAATATAAACACTGATAATGGCATTTTGGCTACATTAAACTGTGTTCTCATTTTTTTTAATGTGTACTGAGATATGTAGGGGTAAAACTGACTTCATATATTTGTACTCTTGTTAAACTGTGGTATAATTGATGTATAACATTGGATCAGTTTCAGATCTGCAACATAATGATTTGATACTTGTGCATATGGCAAAATGATCGCCACCAAGCTAGTTAACATCCATCACCATACATAGTTATAATTTTTTTCTCATGATGAGAACTTTTAAGATTTACTCTCTTAGCAATTAAAAAAATACAGTATTATTACTATGGTAAGTCACAATGCTGTACATTATATGCTGTACGTTATATGATAATCATTTTATAACTGGAAGTTTGTGCCTTTTGACTACCTTCACCCGTTCTGTCTGTTCCCCAACTCTGCCCCTGGCAGCTGGCCACCCATCTGTTTCCTGTATTTATGTGTTTGGGTTTTTTTTAATTGTTTTCTTTTTTCTATTTTTAAGATTTCACATGTAAGTGAGATCATGTAGTATTTCTCTCTGACTTATTTCACTTAGCATAATGCCCTTAAGGTCCATCCATGGTGTCATAAATAGCAAGTTTCCTTTTATATGGCTGAATAATATTTCATTGTATACATATACCACATTTTGTTTATCTGTTCTTCTGTCATTGGACACTTAGACTCTTTCCATGTCTTGGCAATTGTAGATAAAGCAGTGATGAACATGGGTGTCACTCTTTTTCAGTCAGTGTTTTCTTGAGGCTTTTTGGGGAGGGGGCTATATGTGCAGAAGTAGAATTGCTAGATCATGTGCTAGTTTTATTTTTAAGTTTTTGATGAAATCCCATACTGGTTTTTTACAGTAGCTATATACCAAGTTACAGTCTCACCAGCAGTTCCCAGGGCCCCCTATTCTCCACATTCTTGCCAGTGCTTGTTATATCTTTTCTGTTTCTTTTTAAAAAATAATAGCCATTCTAATAGGTGTGAGGTGATATCTCATTGTGATTTTTATTTGCATTTCCATGATTAGTGATAATGAGCATCTTTTTATATGTTTATTGGTCATCCATGTGTTCTCTTTAAATTTACTTTCAAATACCTCAGTAAAAAAAAAAAGGAAAACTGAAGCAACTATGGCAGAAGCTTGATCATTGTGGAATTTTGTGAGGAAAATGTCAGGGTTAATCTTTATTTTGTCTATTTTTCATTTTTTTGTATTTTTAATGAACACAATATAAATATTCAAACTTCAGGGTTTTTTTTCAAACAGTACGTATCTTCTTGCTGAGGTATATTATAAAGGATTGCTATATTTTAAAACTTCACTAAAGACTATTTATTTATCGATATTTCAGGGCTCCTAACATCATTGTTTCAATTTGTTGTGTTATTATATCCTTGTAGTAGTGCTATAGTTTATGAAACTTTTTGTTCCTGTACTTACTGGTCCTAGACTGTCTTAAAATCATTTTGTCTGCTCTTTTTAGTTTGTTTTCATCCATCAGTTATAAGTGGGCCCATATTTATCAGTGTACCACTTTCCCTCCACTGCTAAATGTACAATTCCAATCACTGACTCAAACAAACACTGAGTGAGGACCCCAAGGCTGGGCTGGCACATAACCTAGAATGCCTCTTTGCCCATCAGTTCTCTCGTCTGTGGAAGATGTTGAGAGACAGGAAAGTTTATTTTTTATGATTACTTATAAAAATAATAAATTTGTTGATTAAAAATGGCAAAAACAGCCTTGGCCTGGTGCCTCAGTTGGTTGAAATGTACACACACACACACACACACACACACCACTACCACCACCACCACCACCACCACCACCACCACCACCCCCGTTGCAGGTTCATTTACTGGTCAGAGAACATACCTGGGTTGCAGGTTCCATCCTCAGGGCATGTATGGGAGCCAACCACTCGATGTTTGTTTGTGTGTGTCTCTCTCTTATTGACAAAAACCTTTGTCATAAGATTTTCTCTTAAAATTGTATAGTCATGGCTCTACTGTTTTTTGTCATTCAGTATTTTAGAAAAATGTAAGACCAGTCTTATTTTTATTACTTTGTTTGTAACTTCAATTTTCCTAGATGTTTGTAGACTGTTTTCTCTTTATTTTATTAAAATTTAAATATCTTACAAAGATATCTCTAGGATAATATTCTATTATTATCCTGTTCTATGCTAGTGTTATTCTGTCGGTATCTATTCCAATTGTGTCTCATAATCAATGAAGTCCTTTAATCTGGAGAATCAATTTACACAGCTCACAAAAGTTATATTTTAATAGTCCTTTGGATTGTAACTTCTCTAGTTTTTTTATTCTGGTAATCAATTTGTGAGTCGATTGAATTTCTTAGATTTATATTCTGTGTCTTAGGTCTTTAGAAATAATTGAGCTGTATTGTTTTTTGCCAGACCAAAACCAATACTTAGGGAAGAATTACCAACCCAGTTAAATTCTCTCATATTTAGTATAAATAAGATAAAGTAATTGGAGTATTTTTCTTTCATAATTAATTTTTATTAACACAAAAGTTGAAAAAGTAATTTGAAAGACCTGAAAAACCTTTATTTCCTATGTAGGACAAATATTTCTCCTAGAGTATTCTCATTATTTTCTTAGAAAACTTCTTTTTCATTGAATAAGGAAAAATTTATAATCTACTCTTAATCAGAGCTATTATAAATCTCAGTTATTGCACTCAGAATTAATGAAGTGTTGTTTTGGGGTTTTTTTATATATTCCTATACTTACACCTAATTTAATGCATATATTTACTACTTATGTCAGTTCTCTCAGTGAAATAGAAGATTCTCTCCCTCCCGGAAAAGCAGTGTTTTATACATGGGCTGATCCAGTGGGCTCTAGAAACCTGAAGTGGAGTTGTGGGAAATGCTACGGGGAAGTGACACAAAAGGACGTATGTATTGGGCTGATTATCATGCTGGTCTCAGCAGCTATTTTTTAATGGTATTCTCTTTTAGCCTTGCTAGTTTAACATTTGTTTTATGTTTATACTTGTAAAAGAAACTGCCAAAGCTTTTAAACTTAGTATTCAAACTTTAACTTAACCAAGAATATTTAACACTGGAACTAGTCTTACTTTGTCTGCGTCATTATTTGTTTCCATTATGTTACAGAGGTAAATCGTGCTGAGAGGGGTACCTTCAGCATTCACATCATAAACACAGAAGTTCCTCACTCACAGTCATCTTAGGTTATTTTCACTTGTGTGAGGAACACCTATGGCTCTACTAACTAAAGAATTTGTTTCTGGTAGCAAGCAATTATAGATTATTTTTTCATAATGATAAAGTTATACGTAAACATTTTCTAGTAACATTTTCAATGGCTTTCAGAAACTTTTTTATTAAAATTTTATTAGTCTTTCAAAATGTCTTAATTTGACTGTTGATTAGTAATTTTGCATATTTATGTCATAATGATAGTTAATTTTGAAAAAGCTAAATCTGAAATCCACTACAAAATATTAGAAAGACTTCATTTTGTTTTTTATTGAATTTATTGGGACGACATTGGTTAATAAAATTATATAGGCTTCATGTGAAAAATATATCATCTGTATTTTGTGTTGTGTATTCACCACCCTAAGTCGAGTCTCCTTCCATTACTATTTATCCCCCTGTCCCCTCTTCCACCTCTCCCTCACTCCCTTTACTCTGGCAATTCTCAGACTGTAGAAATATTTGAAAATAAGTTAGCTTTCTTATTTCTCAATGTAATTTTACTGCTATGTATTTTAGAAAGAATTATAAGTAATATAACTCTTCCTACATAATGATTTTATGGTAGCAACTCCAGTTTTAATTTCAATGGATTATAACATGACACATATATTTTTTCTTAATCAGAGTGTTACTTAACTAGAAATTTATGGATAACTGTGTTAATTTTTGCAATTTGCTGTATTTATCTTGTCATTGAACCTCAAGACACTGATATCAGCACAACGCTTATATATAAGGACTTCCTGCAGAATTACTCACCGGCGGTGAACATCCATGCTTTGTAGGGTGTGCAGTCGGATGTCAGACATGTTTTATTCCCCTCAGTTCAGCTCTGTGAGAAAACATGAATTTCTGACTGAAAACATGTAACATATTGGTTAGTCTTAGAGTAAAGGAGAGAAAATAATACTTTGTGTTATTGATAAATCTACACAGGAAGATTGTTTAATTAGATTTTATCAAAATGTTAAATAAAAGAACAATTGATGTATCTTCCTAATAACTTTATTGTAATAATTGCAGAAGCTAATAATGGTAGAAGCTAATGATTCTAATTATGTACATTTCCAGTATTATACAAATATTAATTAATTTAGTTTGTTTGACTCTATGAAGGAGATCCCATAACTATGCTCATTTTTAAAAATGTGAATTCTAGATATCATGTTGGTTGGGACAAAATTCTTAATTTTTTTTTTTGGTGCTTTTATTTTAGGATATGATGACAGCTATAAATTCGGGGAAAAAGACTATTTATTTAGTTTCATTCTTTGAAGGCTTACAGCGCATTATTTTATTCACTGAAGATCCAAAGGTATTTAAAGTGACATATGAAAATGAGAAAGCGGAATTAGCGGAGCAAGAAATTGTTTTGGCATTACAAGATGTTGGAATTTCTCTCGTCAATAATTACACAAAGCAAGAAGTAGCCTATGTTGGCATTACAAGGTTAGGTGCATTAACATTTGTATAAATTTAAATGATTAGTTGTTAATTATCAGGAGTGGTGATTGTAAAATATGAAATAATTTAGTTTAACTTTTTTGTTTTGGTTAGCTATTGATACAAAGGTAATTTGAAAATACTTGAGATTTCTTTTTTTGCCCTTTGAGATAAAGATATAACAAAAATCGAATTGATAAACCCTTGTTTATGTTGTTCATTCTCTCAGCTCTCTGAAAAGTTAAATTTATTCAGCTTATTTATTTAACATGTCATTAGGTTATCCTACTAAATGCAGGGTACATTGTAGACGTTCCTTAAATAGTTGTTCAAAGAGTAAAGACAATTATGTTCTATTTTGACCTTGTACGTTAAGATATTATAAACTAATACTATATTTATCATTCTCCATATAAGTCATCACCAGTGAAACTCTTTTCTTCCCCTGTACCTTTACTATTCCTAGTCATAAAAACTCAAAATAAAATTAGTAATTTATGTTTGTTCCTAATTTGAAAGCATTTCTGGATTCTAGGCTATATATCCCATGATAATATAGTTTCAGTACTTTGACTTAAACTATTAAATAAATATATATGTAACAGGCTGACAGTGACCAGAGGGAAGAGGGGAGGTAATTTCAGGGGAAAAGGGGAAGGGTTTACAGGAACTAGTATAAAGGACACATGGACAACAACTAAGGGGGGCGGGAATGGGAGGGAGGTGAGGAGCATGGGGGGTGGGCTGGGATGGGAGTAAAAGACAGAATACTGTACTTGAACAATAATTAAATAAATAAAATTTTTAAAAAGGCATATAACACAGATATAAATTTTTCTCTGTAACTGTATCTAGAAATGCTCCTGACTCCTCATTGAATGGAATCCATTTTAAACAGAATATTAAACACTATTTTGTTAAAAATATTTATTCTCAAAAATGTGTTTAGTATTTAAACAAAGATGTTAAGGAGGCAACAGATTTTAAGCCTGTTATGTCCTATGCTGTGGTGTGGATGCAAGTGGAAATAAATAATACATGTTTGCTACCTTTCTTTTGATTAAGTTAATATAAATTTTATTATTTTTTAAGAGAACCAGTGATTATTTATTTATTTTTTTATTTATTTAGAGAGGAAGGGAAGGGGAGAAGAAGAGAAATATCAGTGTATGATTGCCTCTCGTGAGTTCCCTGCTGGGAATTGGCCTGCAACCCAGGCATGTGCCCTGCCTGGGAATCGAATCACAATCTTGTGGTTTGCAGGCCCACGCTCAGTCCACTGAGCTATACCAGCCAGGGCCAGTTAATATAAATTTTAGAAGGAATAAACAAATAGAATACCTAAACAAAACTGTTTAACTCACAATAAGTTAATGAATAACTTACATTCTGAAACAGAAATAGTAAAGAAATTTCAGAATGTGGATAGTTTTTTTTAATTCTATTTTTTTCAGCAACTTTTCAGTGAATTAGATTTGTTCCTTTCACTCTCTGTCTCTCCCATGTTACTGTTTTATACTTTGTCTTTCTAAACCCCAATTCCCTGTCTTAGCTCACTGCCTTGCATTCACTTCACCAAGAAAATGGAAGCATTCAAAGAGGAACTTTTAGAGACCTACCCCTGGATATCAGCTTCCTACCCACCATCATTTATCACCTACCTACTACGCTGACATACTTCCCCACAGTTACCATAGATACATCATATGTGCTCCTATTTAAATAATTTTTTCTACGTTTGCACTGTATTCTATCCCCTCTTACCTCTTGAGACACTGATATAATTATTCTCTTCCTTCTTTCTCCTATATCAACAAAATTTTTGGCTCTCTTTTGGATTGTTCTTGTCAGTGTTATTTCTTTCAACTTAAAAAAATTCTCTTGAACCTAAAATCCCTGCTACCTACTACCTATTTACTTCTTCTTATAGCCAAACTGCCCAAAAGTGTTGTCCATTACAGAAAAGTTAAATATATTCACTATGTTCAATTCTTTTTTTAACCATTTTTTCTTTAATCATTCCAAATAGGCCTTTGCTCTCAATGTACCATGAAACTGGTGTTGTCAAAATCACCCTAGAGACCAGTGTATTGCCAGGTTCATTGCCCTATTACCAACCACTTCCCCTTCTGTTTAAAGTCATGACATTGAATACAAATCCCTTCTTTGACTTGACTTCAGGGTTCCTCACCATCTTGATTTTTCTTTCTGTCTCAACATTCTCAGTCTCATTGGTTGGTTCTGTGTCTTCTCCGCTGAGAAGACAATATTGGATGCCATGAGGTTCTCAGACCTTAGTCCTCTTCTGTGTATCAGTTTTGTGATTTCAAGTACTACCTGTATGCCAGAATTTTCTACAAATATGTCTTCAGCCAGATTTTTCCCCCTGAACCCCAGGCTTGTATATCCAACTGCCTCCACAAAATTTCTACTCAGATACCTAAGAGACTTCTTAAACCTTATGTTTTAAAACCCAGTTTCTGATCTACCAAAACCTGCTCTCCCATTGAAGTTAATGACTACGTATTTCTAGTTGCTTAGGGCAAAAACTTTGGAGTCATCTTGATTCATCTCTTTATCTCACACCCAACATCTAATCCATCTATCCACTTCTCAGCCTTTTGGCTAAGATCAAGTGTAGTATCTGTTCTTATCAGTTTAATCCATCTAGAAGTTCTGTGCTGACTCTACCTTCAAAACACACAGAAAATCTGACCACTTTTCACTAGCTCAATGTTGTCATCGTAGACAGAACCATCACCATTTCTCTCCCAGCTTACTATAATTAAACTCCTAACAAGTTTGTCTGCTTCTAGAAGTTATCCTCTATCTCTTCTCCCATCCCAGCAGTGTATTCCTAACGAAGGTTAAGTCAGATCATGTCATTGAACTTCTCATAATCAATCAGTGCTTCTTCACCATCGCAGAGTAAAACTCAAAGACTTTACAATATCCTACAATACAAGGCTTTCCTATTATTTGGCCTCTCACAATCTGTCTTACTTCATCATCTTCTTTTAATATGTTCCAGGTACGCCAGTCTCCTTCCTCCTCTTCATATGACTACACGTGTGCTTTGCTTTGGAGCCTTGGCTCTAGCTGGTTCTCTGCTTGAAATGCTCACTTGTCTTCTGGATGAATTTCCTTTAAGATTCTTGAAATCCTCTATGACAAAGCCCTGGGCTTCTTAAAGCCCTGTTGACCACTCTATTTTAATACTGAAACCCCACAAATTTACATATCTCAATATTCCATATCCACCTTACCCTACTTTTTTTTTCTTTTTTTTTTCTTTTTTATTTTTTTATTTTTTATTTTGTAGAATAAAATATGTATCTTTTTTTTTTATTTAGTTACTTTTCAAGTACATTTTTTTTTTTAATCTATTTCTCCCATCCCCCCCCCAATCCTCATCTCTGTGACTTTCATACTTGTTCCTCAAAATCCCTCCCCCTTTTTCCCCTTAAGTTCCCTTCCCTCTCCCCTCTGGTCGCTGCCCACTTGTTCTCTATTTCAGCGTCTTTGTTTTTCTTCTGTTTGCTTGTTTGTTTTATTCTTTAGCTTCCTGTCAAAGGTGAGATCATATGGTATTTGTCCTTCAATGCTTGGCCTATTTCACTCAGCATAATGCTTTCCAGTTCCATCCATGTTGTTGCAAAAGGTAGTAGCTCCTTCTTTCTCTCTGCTGCATAGAATTCCATGGTGTATATGTACCACAATTTTTTGATCCATTCATTTACTGATGGGCACCTAGGTTGTTTCCAACTCTTGGCTATTGTAAATTGTGCTGCTATGAACATTGTGGTGCATAGGTTCTTTGAAATTGATGTTTTAGGATTCTTGGGGTATAATCCCAGCAGTGGAATTGCTGGGTCAAAAGGCAGGTCGATTTTTATTTTTCTGAGAAAATTCCATACTGTTTTCCATAATGGTTGTACCAGTCTGCAATCCCACCAACAGTGAACTAAGGTCCCCTTTTCCCCACACCCTCTCCAACATTTGTTGTTTGTTGCTTTCTTTTTTTTTTCTTCTTTCAAAAGACCTTCACCTCCTACTATGTTAAATTATGCTAAATTACTATATTTATGTCCTCAGCTAAAATAAAGGTTCAGAATGGGAGAGATGTTTACTGATAGTATTTCTACCACCTAGAATGGTGTGCATAAGTAGGAATTTAATAAGATTGTTCAAATGGATTCATGTTTTTAAACTTGTAATATGCTTGCTTATTATTGAAGATATTGCAAAATTTTTACTCAAGGTTTTATAATTTATGTAATTAAACAGTTAAAATGTAAATGCATGTAAATTAGTACCATGAATTTTGCTTTCACATGTAGTTCTGATGTGGTTTGGGAGACAAAGCCGAAGAAGAAGGCAAGATGGAAGCCAATGAGTGTAAAGCACACTGAGAAGTTAGAGAAAGAATTTAAGGAATATATTGAATCTTCACCTTTAGAAGATAAGGTTACTGAGTTGGACACTAATATTCCGGTAATTTTTTTAAATACTGATAATGAAGCTTTAATTTTTATTTGTTGTAATTAGATTAATCACTAGTGAATTTTTAAGGGAAGTCTTATTTTGTTGTAAAACAATGAATGTTGTAACACATACTTCAAACAAAATATTTTAAATAGTTTATTAAAAATTCAGACTTTCTCTTGAGATGCAAATGATCTGGTCCTTGGTTAACACACCAATAGCCTTTTATTTTCTTATTGACTTTATTTCTAGGATTATTTTATCTTTTATCACTTGTTTGTGGTAAATGTTAGCAAATTACCTAAAAAATTATACAGCCACGCTGTAAGGAATATCTGAGTAGTTTTGTGAATTGTATAGATAATGGGCTGTAAGATCTCAGTCTGAACCTAACCAAATGTTTAGCCTGTTGTTTTAATTAATATTTAAAATATTTGGTACAGATTTCTAATTTTAATGAATTATGAGTAAAAAGAACTTCTGTGTTTTGGGGGATGGCATATTTTTCAGGTTGTCTTTACACCTAGTGGTAGTAACATGAAAATTCTGCAACCACATGAAATAGCTATACGAAGAAATTATCTGCCAGCATTAAAAGTGGAATATAACACATCTGCACATCAGTCATCATTTAGAATTCAAATTTATAGAATACAGGTGAGTTTGAAAAGATTGGCAGATTACATTCTAAAGGAATAAGCAATAATGTATTCCCATGGTCTGTTTTAGTTAGCACTTCCATTTCAATATGGTTCTAGACTCTTTGATTCCTTCTACTTCTTAAAACTTGCTATTCTAGTCAGGTTCTGTAATTAACATGTGCATATACTGACCTGTTTTTGTTTTTTTTAATTTCCTTAGATCCAAAATCAGATACATGGTGCTATATTTCCATTTGTATTTTATCCTATTAGACCTCCCAAGTCGGTCACCATGGATTCAGGTTTGTTATATTTCTAGAGTGCCATAAAAATGGTACTATTAGATATTTGGGTTTTTTACTATAAAAATATGAAACGAAACCATTTTACTCAGCTAACTTCAACAAAACTGAATAAATACTGAAGAAGAGACTAACTAGAAATATATGTTTTTAGAAATATTAATTTTTAAAAATTACAAAATTTAAATCTCTGATTTAAAAGCCACTGGGGCCTACAGATAAATTGTTAAGCTCAAATTCAGACTGATCATTTACCACAAAAAGTGTCCTATAATTTCCACATGACAATGACTGACAGGTCCTTTCTTCCATCCTCTTCTTCCCCTTCACTTTCTTTGTTGTCTCTATTCTCCTTACTTTCTTGTCTCTATTCTCCTTACTTTCTTCTCCCATCTCACTACCCTACTTCCCTCCCCTCTTTTTGCTTTCCACCCCCACCTCCAGACTCTAAACTATCTAAGGAATATTCATAATCTACTTGGAAACTCTTTGACCAGTATACATGCCCAAGCCCTTCTATCTAGAAGTCTGGGACAAGATCCTGAAGTCTCTGTTTTCATAAAGTTTCCCGAAATCTTCTTATGCTTGCTTCTAATTTAAAATTATGAATTTAAAGGATTGGTAATCCTTATAGTAAACGTAGATAATTTACAAAAACAGTCCTGGAGTCTGAAATTATGATTGTAATGGATCATGCAAATACTAGTAATTTTAATTGATACTCATAATTGAGTAAATAATTTAGTTGGTCATTGTGATATACATTACATTGCAAGAAAATGCTTATTATCTTTTGTTTAAAGCATTTTGGATTTCATCATATTATTAACCTTTACAGCACCAAAGCCTTTTACAGACGTCTGTATTGTCATGAGATCTGCAGGGCACTCCCAGATATCGCGCATTAAGTAAGTGTCTTAATCTATTTCTGGTGTGTGTATTTAATGTTTGGATTTAAGTATGTGAGTTAATTGTACTCTTTAAAAAATAAATTTTAGATGAGAAGATTTTAAGTATTAAATATTAAATTATAAATATCATAGAAAACGTCAGTTATTTTATAATTGTGGAGAATCAGAAGGCTCTGAATAAAATATGCCTAGACATTAAAAATAGACATTTTTAAATTATGGGCATTTTGCTGTAACCTGTGTGGCTCAGTTGGTTAGGCAAAGCAAAAGGTCACAGGTTTGATTCCTGGCCAGAGCGTGTGCCTAGGTTGCAGGTGCAATCTCTAGTCTGGGCACATGCATGCAGTAACTAATTGATCAATACCTCCGTCATCCATTGATGTTTCTCTCCCTCTCTTTCTCTCTCCCTTCCCCTTCTCAAATAAATAGATAAATAAAATCTTTTTTAAATGATGGGCATTTTATTATTTTTGTTTTTGTTTATTTTTTCTCATAAGCTCTCTGTAATTACTCATATTGTTTTAGAAACAAGAAAGAGTATTTTCAAATCCACTCACTACCCAGTCCACAAAATAAAACATTTACAGAAAGACCCATCTATTCGTTACTCCATTTTCTTGTTTTCCCTTCCTTATCACTAAGACAAACACTTTCATTCCCTTGCTTTTGAAATTATAGTTGTATTGTATATATGTACATAAACATTATCCTCTTTAATTTTCCCTTTATTAAAAAAATCAAACCATACATATACTGCTGGGACTTGCTTTTTTCATTAAACTTTTTACTAAAATTTATTTCTTTTGTTGTATGTAGCTAGAGTTGAGTCATAATCACTCAGTATTAAATGACTGCCTACCACAGTTACTGATAGATGGCCTCCTTGCGGTCATTTTCATGCTTCAGTTTGTTGCTATTATGAACAGTCTTGCTATGACAGTTATCTTTCTAGAAGAATTATTCCTACATTTTTCTCATCTAATTTTCTTAATAATGAATTAATTATCTTTAATGTTTTCTATTTTGTAATATAGATACTTCAAAGTGTTGATTCAGGAAATGGACCTCAGGTTAGATCTTGGGTTTGTCTATGCTTTAGCAGAACTTATGACAGAAGCTGAAGTAACCGAAAAAACGGAGGTAAGACTTACAATATTAACATTGATGGGAAGGACTAGGGAAAGAAGAATAAGAAAAATATCCTTATAAATTCTTAAAAGTGTTAAAATGGTTTTGTTTTATTTTAAAAATATAATTTTAATTATGCTGCTGTGGTAAGTACATTGGTAGAAATTACATTTTCTGATTCTAGAAGACAAGAATAGTTTTAAACAAATCTGTATTGATGCAAGACAAGCTGTCTTGCAAATAGAAGTTAGAGTTAGCAAATAGAAGGAAAGTTTTAAGCAAATAGTAGGAGGAAGAGGATCATTAGTCACGTTCACATTACTATTTTTTCCTATGTTGTGGTCTAGATTACTTTTGTTTAAATTAATAACTTAGACATTTGGAAATGACCAGGATATTTGATGGAAGAAGGGATAAGGCAAATTAAAGGTAGTATCTTATTTGTGACAGACAGTAAAGCTATAAAATCACAGTGATAGAGTGGGTCAGACATGTTGCCTTTTTTAGCTGCCCTTACAGAAACAGTTCTGAAGGTGGTATGACAAACTACATGGATAAAGAATAAGGGAAATAAACTTTTTTCTGTTAATAAGTTTATCGAGATATAGTTCATATGCCATACTTTATCCATTTAAAGTGTTTGATTCAGTGGTTTTTAGTATATTTACAGAGTTAAACAGCCATCCCCACTATCTGATTCTAGAACATTTTCATCACCCCCAGAAGAAACCATTCTAGCCCCATAGAACCACTACTATACTTTCTGTCCATAGGTTTTCTACTTTATAGTTCATATTAATGGAATCATACACTATATAGTCTCTTTTAATGGGATTATTTTACTTACCATGTTTTTAAGGTTCATCCATGTTGTAGCATGTATCTGTACTTAATTTTTTTATAACCAAATAATACTTTATTTTATGGATATGTGCCACATTTTGTTTTTCCATTCATCAGTTAATGGACATTTGAGGTGTTTTCACATTTGGGCTATTATAACTAATGCTGCTACGAATATTTATGTACAAGCTTTTATTTGGACATATGTTTTTATTTCTGTGGGATGTATACCTAGGAATGGAATTTCTAGGAACATGATAACTATGTTAAATCATATTAGGACTGCCAGGCAGTTTTCCATAGTGTCCATTTGATGTTTTCACCAGAATGTGTGAGGATTCTGATTTTAACAAATACATCCTTACCAACACTTGGTATTATCTGCCCTTTTGATTCTCGCCATCCTTGTGGGTGTGAAGCAGTATGTCGTTGTGGTTTTGATTTGCATTTACCTGATGAGTCATGACATTGAGCATCTTTTAATGTCTTATTTGACTATTTGCATATCTTTTGTGGAGAAATGTCTAGTCAGATACTTTATTACTTATTGTTTAATGGGTTGTCCTATTTTTATTGAATTGTAAAAGTTCTTTATATATTCTGAACACAAATCTTGAGTCAGATACATGATTTTTAATTATTTTTCTATCATTATTTGTATTTTGTTTTACTTTCTTGATGTCTTTCAAAGCACAAAAGTTTTTAATGTTAGTAAAGCCCAAACTTTTTTGTTGTTGATCATGTTTGGCTGCCATCTCTAAGAATCCTTTGTCAAATCCAACATTATGAAAATTTAGTTCTATATTCTAAGAGGTTCAAAGTTTTGGCTATTAGAATTAGTTCTTTCATTTTTGTATATGGTGTGAGGTAAGGGTATACATCAGTCTTTAGCATTGGGCTATCCAGTTGTCTCAGTACTATTTGTTAAAGAGACTATTCATTCTACATTAATGATCTTCATACCTTTATCAAAAAATCAGTTGATTATAGATATATGATTTTATTCCTGTGATCAGTCAGGATCCTTACTGGCATAAGCATTTCCATCCTTATGCCAATACCACCTTGTCTTTATTATTGTTGCTTTATAGTAAGTTTTAAAATTGAGAAGTGTGACAACTCCTACCTTGTTTTTTCAAGATGATTTGAGGCTATTATGGATCTGTTTGCAATCCCATGTGATTTTAAGAGTCAGCTTATTGACTTCTTTAGAAGTTGGGGGTAGCACCAGGGTGACATCGACTCTAGAGATCAATTTAAGGGGTGTTGCCATCTTAACAGTATCAAGCCTTTCAGTCCTTGAACATGGAATGTTTTCCATTTATGTAGATCTTCTTTATTTTCTTTTAATGGTATTTTATAGCTTTCAGAATGTAAGTTTTGTATTCCTTCTGTTAAATTTACTTCTGAGTATTTCATTTTTTTTAGGGTACTATGAATGAATTTGTTTTCTTACTCATTTTTGCTTTGTTCACTGAAGTATAAGGAAATACTTTTTTATATTGATCTTGTGTTCTTCAGCTTGACTGAACTTATTTATTAGCTTTAATTATTATTTTGTGGATCTTAAGGGTTTTCAATATATAAAATTGTATCTGAGAATAGAGGTAGTTTTACCTCTTCCTTTCTGATCTGGATACCTTTTGTTTTTTTTTCTTGCCTAAATTGTCCTGCTAGAACCTGTAGTACAACATTGACTAGAGGTGCCAAGAGCAGACATTTTCCCCCTGTGTCTGATTTTAGAGGGAAAACTTGGTCTTTCTTCATTAATTTTAATGTCATTGGAGGATTTTTTTTGTAGATGGCTGTGTTTCAGGTTGAGTTCTCTTCTATTTATAGTTTGTGTAGCAGTTTTACCAAGCATGATCAAACTTGTCACATGCTTTTTATGCATCTATTGGAATTATTACATGGTTTTTTGTTTTTGTTCTATTAATATATTTTATTTCATTGCACATTAAAACAATCTTGTATACATGGGATAAAATCCACTTGGTCATGTGTATAATTTTTTAAAAATATTTTGCTAGGTTTGGTTTGCTAGCATTTTATTGAGGATTTTACTCTTCATATTCATAAAAGCTTGGCCTAGCTGATACATTATTTAATCAATTGCTTTTTAAATTAGTTAAGAAAAGAAAGGGAAAAGATTATGTATTGATATTATCTTTTATAATTATATAGTTATCTTTACCACTGCTTTTTGTTTTTTAATTTGGATTCTGATTATCATTTGGAGTCACTTGCTTTCAGCCTAATGAACTTCTGTTAGTATTTCTTGTAAAGTAAACCTACTAGCAACAAATTATCTTAGTTTTTTTAAATTTTGAGAATGTCTTTATGTCCCTTCATTTTGAAAAGTAGCCACACTGGGTAAAGGATTCTTTGTTAACAGTATTTTTTTCCCTTTTGAGCACTTTGAATTCTGCTATTTTCTTGCCTCCTTTTTTTCCCAAGAAGCCAACTATTAATCTTATTGGGGTCCCCTTGTATATAATAAGTCGCTTTTCTTATTTGTAACATTTTTTTCTTGTCTTTGAGTTTCAACATTGTTTTGTAAATGTCCTTGTATTTATTGCACTTGGAGTTCATTGAGCTTCCTAGTTTCATGTTTGTTTCTAATTATGAATAATGTGGAACCTGGATATTATAGAGGAGTGTTTTGCAGTGTATGAGCTCTTGGCTTAAATACTTCATGAAGATAGGTCCCTTAACTTTATTTTTTTGTGTTCCTTTATAGATTGAACTTTTTCATAAAGATATAGAAGTTTTCCAAGAAGAATATAAAACAGCATCATTAGTAGACTCATCACAAGTCAGTCTCTATGAGTACTTTCATATATCTCCTATCAAGGTAGGGGAAATAAATCATTTTTGTTATCCACCATAGTCTAAGTAATAGCAAATTTACTGGATCTGTTGGGTGGACATAGTATTTAAATTATGTTCTTACATAGTTTATAATTTTTGTAACTTCACAATTACAAATATAAATAAATAACAAAGCATTAATCCTTTTAAATTTTTATTCTTACATTGTCATAATTTTCACCATACAGAAATAGTAGTGGAGCCTCCTGCAGTGTGGTTCATATGTTTATAGCTTGAATGATATCGTATCACTTTAGTGTTAAGGTATTTAATAACAATTTTCAAAATTTTGTGTATGACGTATGCGCAAGTTTGTGTTTCAGTAGAGTTGTAAGTGGCACATTATATTCATTTCAGGTGTGCAGTGTGAGGATTTGGTATTGTATACACTGTGAAATAGTCACCCCAATATGTTGCCATCTGTCACTATACATATTATAAAAACTGTTTTCTTGTGATGAGAACTTTTAAGATTTATGCTCTGAGCAGCTTTCAAATCTGCAATACATTATTATTAACTGTAGTGTATAAGTTTTAATTTATAAACTAGTCTTGATTTAAGATTTGACGATTGAATACAATTAAATGAAGTTCTTAACACAGAGTTTCTTTGAGTTACGGAATACTTGAAGAAAATTATTGTAATACAGTGTATGCAGTATGTATATGCATACAGTATAGGAATGCTTTTAACTGGCTTCATCCTGCTAACTTAGTTCTAATAGTTGACACATTCATTTAATGGAGATATTTGAATTATTTTCAACAGCTTTAACTCCTAGATTGTCATTAAAACATATAAAAATTAATATTTTCCTAGGTTTATCAAAAGAATTGCATTGAACTAAATATATCAATAAATTTAAAATTTAAAAAGAGCTATATTAGATTAAATTTTTTTAACTGTCCATTTATTAATTGTGACATAGTACTGATAACTTCGAAATTTTATTAATGGTGTAGTGACTTTTATTAAAAGTTAATATTGTCATTATGAAGTACTGATGTTTATTTCTTTATCTCATTAGTTGCATTTAAGTGTTTCACTGAGTTCGGGTAAAGAAGCAGCTGAAGAATCAGAAAAACGTGTAGGATTTATTGCAATTCGTTCTTTAAATCTTTTGCTGAAGAGTATTGGTGCCACTCTCACAGATGTGCAAGATGTAGTTTTTAAGTATGTTTAATATTCAAGTCTGTAAATTTAAGTCCTTTTTATATTTACCTTAAAATTGTAAGTTAAAGAGGTGTAAAGTACATTACAGATCTTAGGCACAATATGGTGTTTGCTTTTAAATGGAATATAATTTAGACAATGTATACCTGCTGTCCCTCAACTATTAAATAACAGATGAATTGTTAAATAATTTCTTTAAGAAATAACGATGGGGTCATGCATGTTTGTACATTATATAAGGCCTTTCTAGTCTAGGGAATGGCTAAGAAGCTGTGTGTGCCCAAGGGGGTGGTGCTTTTAAAGACACAGCGTCAAGGCCTATGGAATCAAGACTCTTGAAGCATATGTAATTAGGGAAAAAATGAATGTCATGATAGGAGAAATGAATGGATCAGTTTAAATGTTACTGTCAGGAATGGACATTTTAGTGTGAGTCATAGCGGGAGCTATTAGGATATCTGACCAAAGAGACTCAGCCGTAGCGGAGACTTTAGATGAGGATGCCCTTTCCAGGGAGCACCTAGAACTGTTGTTACTGAGCAGAGTGGTAAGAATCAATGAGTCTAATAAGGTGTAACTCTTAAGTCTGGATAAAGTTAGGTAACAGTCAAATTAAAGAACACAGGTTTGAAGATATCACATTGGGAATAAAGTGAGATTTCTTATCTTGCTGCTGTCTTATCTGCTATCCTAGAGCTTCCCAATTAGTGGATTGGGTATATGTGGGAATAGGTTATAAGTAAACTAATCTTGATTCCTCAGTTATTGGCTGAGCAGGCAGGCCCTACCCTGCAGCCACTGAACCCTGGCCATCTTGAGCAACCTCTTCCATTTATCTCAGGGTGTCAACCATTTTCAATGCAGGCCATGATAGGGCACAGTTGACAAATGTGAGTTCTGGTCCACAAATGGGACCCAAGGGGTCTCTGAATCCTCTCACTCACTTGGAAAATATGTTTATGTAGGTAGATTTTCTGAGGATAAGAGCCATGGCTTTTACCAGACTTTTAGAGCTTTCTTTGACCAGAATGTGCAGAGATATGGGCAAAGAGGTAGATTTTCTTACTGCCATGAGAAAATGTACTAAAAGGAAATATTTACAGAAAAGGTCTAATGAAAATAAAACCTTAATATTGAAAGCTCTCTCTTTCCCTCCCTCTCTTTACACACACACACATTTATACTGTTACATGTTTTTTTTTTCAGACTTGCATTTTTTGAACTCAACTATCGGTTTCATACAACATCTGAACTACAATCTGAAGTAGTAAGACACTATTCCAAACAGGTTTGTCTCAGATTATTTTACAAAGGGGCAGGGTGATATAAAATAGTGAAACTGAGTGTGTCTCTTCATAAAGAATGTAGATTTGGCAAGGGAGTTAATAGCCAGTTCAAAATTTTTAAAACATGTTTTTTATTTTCAAAACTGTAAAAAGAAATTGAGACTAATGACCATGGCAGTTTTCTGTCCTTCTAATTTTCAGCTACACACCAAAATCTTTTCTGGATCAGTATCAACTAGACATAAATCTTTAAATAAAATATTAAATAATTCATCACACTTACTTTAAAACATAGGGTCAAGGGAAACTATTAGTACCTACATGATGAACACAGGGTATTTTTAATAGACTTGTTGAGTCTGCTATATATTTTATTTTTGTAGATTTTTTTCACCTTTGGAAAGACTCTGGTATTTTGACATAACATAGAACATCTGAGACAACTGTTGTGTAGTGAACAGATCACTGAGCATGGCTCAGAAGGTGTGGGTTTGGATCCCAGTTTTGCCATTTAACCCCTGTGTGGCCCTTGGCATGATTTTGACCTCTGTGTTTCTCCATCTGTAAAATTATGGTAGTATTAAAAACTGTCACTTGTAGTGGTAAAAGTGAAAGCATTTTGAATATTCTAAATCACTATGTAAATATCTCATTATTTTTAATACTCTGGCACCAAATTTCTTTTTAAAAATGATGACTAGTGATAATAAGATAAGATACCTGGTTTAGGTGTTGAAATTGATGATGAAGGTTAGCCTAAAGAATTGGATGTATGTACTGACTATAAGAAAAGATATTAAATCTGGTTATCCAAGTTGATTAATATTCATACTTCATTTTTAGGCCATTAAGCAGATGTATGTACTCATTCTTGGACTTGAAGTTTTGGGAAATCCCTTTGGCTTAATTAGAGAATTTTCTGAAGGTGTAGAAGCATTTTTCTATGAACCTTACCAGGTAAAATAGTTATTCTTGCATTGTACACTATATCATACTGATACTTTTTAATAAATAGTGCATTTCAGTTGTTAAATGGTAGATGTAAATGGATTTGGGGAGATACTACACAGGGACATTATTCTGCAGCAAACAATAAGAGCTTTTAAGAAATTTGGGGAGAAATTTTCATCATTTCCCTTAATATTTAAACTTAAGACTTTATAAAAAATACACTGAATTTTAAGTGTCCTCTTGGAGTATTAAAGGGGGACAAAATTCATCCTGCAGTAGAAGAAGAGTATCACAGACAGGCAGTCTTGCTCGGCACAGTGGTGCAGGGCAGCAAACATAGCCCTGCAGGCTGGTGCTGTGCAAAGCAATCTGAATCAAAGGCAAAGGTTACGTTTTTCCATGTCCCTTAAAATTTTCTGTCACAACATTCAAAACTCTCCTACTTTTACTTACAAGAGTAAATGATAATGAAAAGTATGGTAAAACTAATATTTATTTTATATGCTTTAATTTAAAACATTAGATATATTAACAGTTAAACTGTTTTTACTTATTTTATAAAAAAATATCAAGAATATGCCCTAGCTGGTGTGGCTCAGTGGATTAAGCACCAGCCTGCAAACCAAAGAGTCACTGGTTTGATTCCCAGTCAGGGCACATGCCTGGGTTGCAGGCCAGTTCCCCAGTGGGGGCATGTGAGAAGCAACCACACATTGATGTTTCTCTCCCCTCTTTCTCCTTCCCTTTCCCTCTCTCTAAAAATAAATAAAATCTTAAAAAAATATATCAATAATAGTGTATGCCCACCTTCTTATTATATACCTTACAATACAGAACAAACATTTTTTGTGCACATTTGTGAATAGTCCTACTCCTGTCTGAGTCTGGGTTAGCTTTCAGCAGTTAATCATTTCTACTTATAATGTCATGAAATATCTGAGATTTCTGTTAATGTGAAATTTTCTGCTGCTCTCACTTTCTCGGGGATCTCTTTCTTTTTGTCACTACTATTTTCCTCATATCAATTAGTTTACCTTTAAAAGTAAATATAACCTCACTTGTTATTAATATTTGCCCCTTTAGGGAGCCATCCAGGGTCCTGAAGAGTTTGTGGAGGGAATGGCACTGGGACTGAAGGCATTAGTTGGTGGAGCTGTGGGTAAGAAACAGAATGCCTCCCGAGTACGGTTTGCCAGAAAGTAACGACATATTTGCTTTTACTAAAGATATGTATGATAATTTCTGCTAGGTGGGTTAGCCGGTGCTGCCTCCAGAATCACCAGTGCCATGGCGAAAGGGGTAGCAGCTATAACCATGGATGAAGACTACCAACAGAAGAGAAGAGAAGCCATGAATAAGCAACCAGCTGGTCTTAGAGAAGGCATCACTCGTGGAGGAAAAGGCTTAGTTTCTGTGAGACATGTCCTAGTGTGTGAACATTACAGGAAATGGCTTTTAAAGCCACATTCTGTGAATAAGGAGACAGACAAGTAACTTTCACTCATTCAAGTATTATGTGGATATTGGAGGAGCTGTGGGTTGTGGCCTATATAAAATATCTCAGCTTCTGAAAGCATCCTGTTTAAATAAAATGCTTAGGAAATATGTTAATTCTTATGGCATCTAGAGAGCACGTCAGACTTGGTTCTTCAAGGCGTCATGTAAATGTAATACAAATGTTCAATTGTACTTTTCTTCTAGGGTTTCGTAAGTGGCATAACAGGAATTGTTACAAAACCAATCAAAGGCAAGTATAGTAACTCCTTTGGGTGATATATATTACCAGGTCTTTCACAAGTTGATTCAGTTCTTATTCTTGATCTAATTGTCTAAAGCTTTGTCTTTTTTCTTCCTAGGAGCTCAAAAAGGAGGAGCAGCTGGTTTCCTTAAAGGCGTTGGGAAAGGATTAGTTGGCGCTGTGGCAAGGCCAACTGGAGGCATCATAGACATGGCTAGCAGTACATTTCAAGGGATAAAAAGGTAAATTTTCTTTGATGTAGAGTATGAGTAAAATGCTTAAGCCATGAGAAATGAAATAAACCTTCCATTTGGTTCAAGGCACCTAGTTGTGAAACCTATAATATGGCAAGTTGCATATGGTCTTGCTGATTCCTTTTGATATTTTAAGTTATTGCCATTGAATCATTTCACCCTGATAGAGTTTTCCTTTAGTCATCATTCATTCCCAACAGCCTGAAAGGTTTAGCAAGCAAGCTTTGTCATTTTCTTGATCAGAATACATTACAATAATGTAATGCTACATGTCAGTTATAAAATTAGCAAGTATAATATTGTTTCCTTTTGGAGAGAACAAAGAATGGCATTTTCTATTCTGAGCTCAGACCCATTTGTGTTCACTCTTTCTTTATAATATGTTGTTGAAGATTATTACATCCACTTCTTGTATTTCTGTTCCTTTGTGCAAATTTTAAAATATGTCCTCTCTTCCTCCAAATTAAATTTAGCTTAAGACTGAAAATAGTATTTGCATTGTTGTTACCTCTATTCTAGAAGTTTGTAGCATGGACTGCAGTTGATTCAGTTCATCCTAATGAGAACTAATTTAGAAAATTAGGTGGGTGGATATCTTCCTAATCTGTTCCTGTTTGTATTTTCTTTTGCTTCCTGCTTGAAAGAGATAAGTATTGTCATTGTATGAGTTACTCCTGTTAAGTCACTATTTCACCCTGCTTTACCATAGTTGTGGATGTTTCTAGTTTTCTAATTTAGAAGATTGGGAAAAAAGGGTTCATAGTTTATTCTACCTGTAATTTTAATTTCACAAATATAATATGTTGAGCCGTAGTCCTCGGAGAAGGTCAAAAGTCAGTGAAACGTGAGGATTCAAAATATGTAGAGATCTATGCAGATGTCTACCCAGACTGCTAGAATAACCTTACATTTATCAAAAACCATACAATCTATCCCCAGCTGCATTCCCTTTCAGCACAATAAAACATGTCCAGAAAAATAAGACTAAAAACTAACACAGAATGTACTTGTGAAGAAAGACCTTGAAAGAAGAAAGGAGAAGTGGGTTACAGGAATCAAATGTATGAATATATAGTAGTGGGTGAATCTAACTGAACTGGATAAAAACAACATTAGAACCAAAATGTTAAAAATAATAGGATACAATTTGAAAAGGGACTGATTGCCATTAAGCATTTTAATATTTCTAAAGATGGTTACTATATAATATTAGATGAAATAGACATTAAGACCAAAAAAAGCATTATTTTAGGTGTGTAAGATAATTGGCTAATGATAAAAAGAAGAGTTAACCAAGAAGATATTAACAGTTTTGAACTTTTACTCAACTCACAATGGACTCAATCTTTGTAAAGCAAAAACTGACTTTCCAAATCTTTTATAATGGTGGAAGAATTTGACGTTTTCCTCAATAATTGATAGGAAAACAAAATTAATGTAAAATTATTTGAATAGTTGACAAGCTTGATCTAAAGCATACATATAAATATTTATTGACTTAACACATTTTAGAGAGCAACTTGTATGTCTAGGTACTGTTTTAATCACCCAGTGAACCAGAATTGAATATAGTTGGCCAAGTCCCTGTCCTCATACAGCTTGTATTCTAGTGAGAAAGTATAGACAGAAATAAGTGAACTGATAAATATATGATATACCAAATGGTGAAAAATTCTGTTAAGAAAAATAAAGCAGAGTAAGAGACATAAAGAGATCCAAAGTGCTGGAGGGAAAAGGTGGGTATTTTATATATCAGGTATTCAGGGGAGTTTCACTGGTAAGATTAAATTTGAGGAGAAACATGGAGGAAGTCAGGTAGTAAACCATGTGGGAAGGACATTGAAGGCAGTAGGGACAGCAGCAGGTAAAGAATCCCGAGCATGCTTGGCCTGTTTAAGGAACAGCTAGACCAATACACCTGGAATAGAAAGCGCAAAGGAGAGGTTGGAAAGGTGCTACAGAAAATGAATGGTAACTAGATCATATAGGGCTTGATAAGCCACTGAAAGGACTTTGGCTTTTTTTTAAAGAGAAAAAACTTTGAAATATTTTGGACAACAGAAAAACTGTACCGGACAGAGACCAGCCCAGAGTGGGTCTGCCTCACACTAGCCTGTGGTGTATGGGTTCTTGACTTTATGTAGGAAAGATGTCACGAGTCTAGGTGATTTTGAGAATGTTTATTACATGTGGGGACAGTGAAACAAGGAAGGGCCAAGGGTAGAAGAAGCAACAGAAGAGAGCCTAGGTAGTGCTCTGCTTTGGCTCCCTAGAAATGTGGTAGGAAAGAAGTGACCCAAGGTGGGCCTGGTGTTAGTCCACTGGAAAGTCAAAAAAGGGGACTTCAGAGAGAGGATCAGTGGGTTAGCCTGGGATGAGCTACCGCTGCCCACTGCTCCCCAGGTTGCAAGTCTTACAGGGACCCTTAGCATTTAGGAGGAAGTAAAAAGTTCATGCCTGAGAAGGCGTGGGCATGCTCTAGAGCCAGTTGCTACACTGGGTCTTTGTCTTAAGGGTGTTAAATTTTCTTCTGTGGGTGAGAATCTTAGGGGAGGGTTTCAGTAGAATATTCATCAGCTTTCCAGGTGCATTTTTAATATGCCGATGCATTAAAATGAGTGAATAGGGAGTTTGGGATTATTCTTTGGTCTGCTTTACTGTTTCACTTTTATCTTAGGTCTCTGTGGCTCCAAGCAGGTTTTTGTTATTTGTTCCCTTGACTTCACCTGTTCTTGGTTTTAGCTGGCACAAATAGCATTAGTTGAGTCTCTGTTGTTTATTTTCTTGACCAGGGTGATTTAAGCTGTGTATTCTCTGGTTAGGAAGGAGAGGTATAAACCATTTGTTCTCATGTGTCCTTGGTTAGGAAGAATAGGTCTTGCAGTTCATTAGCTGGCTGTAAATTGTTCGCATGGTTGGCCTTGTTTAATTTTCTTGTCTTAGTTTCCCTATTCCACTAGCCCATGACTTTTCCTAGCTTCTTACTATCCTGTCACAGAAAGATGTGAACTGGCTGCTATATTAAAAATAAACCACAGGCAGACCTGGGTAGAAACAAGGGGAAAATAAAGATGAGAAATGATAATGATTGGACTATTACAAGGTAGAAATTGTAACAGGGAGTCATGTTCTGCATGTGTTTTGAAGGTAACAGGATTGATTTATAAATTGGATGTGGGATAGAAAGACAGTATCATCAGGGATAATTCTGAAGTTTTTATCTCAACCATTGGAAGGATGAGGCTGTTACTCTTTAGGGAATTGGAAATTTTGTTAAGGGTGTATTAAATTTAACACATCCAAATGGTGACATCAAATAGTTGAGACAGGAGTTTGAAGTTCAAGAGAATAGTCCTAGCTAGAATTAAAAATTTGACTTTCATGAGCCTATAATAAAGTGGTTAAAGCCATAAGATTGGACAAGGTTATCTAGAGAATGAATGGAAAAGAGACAAAACAAAATAAAGGTCCAAGGACTTGGTCCTGGGTCACATCAACACTTAGTAGTTGAGGAAATAGAGGGCCCAGCCAAGGAGTCTGAAAAGGAATGGCAGTTAAAATAAGGGGGATAATTGAGAAAGTGGTGTTCAAAAAGCCAACAGACCATCCCAGCTTATACTATTAAGAGAAAAGAGAAATCTCAGAATCTCAACACCCCCCTCCATATTATTCATCTTATGTGAGAATATTGATTTGCAAATCAGACGTGGAACTTAAAACAAGGATTACCCCCTCTCCTTAGAACACCGTTCACTCTGCCGTCAGCACGGTCACTTTCTACAGAAAGTCGTCTTCCCAGTGAGGCCTTCTGTGGCCACCCTAAAATTTCAGTGTATCCTCTACCCCCACCCCAGCTACTTCATATCTTTCTTCCCTCTTTTATTTTTTTATCTTTAGTTCTTATCACTGTTTAATACAGTATGTATTTTCCCTCGTTTACTTGTCCCTTTTGCTAGTGTGTAAATCCTGTGAATGCAGTGGCTCTTGTGTTTCCCTGGCACTTAGACTATTGCTTGCCATGTGGTAGTCTTTTTTAAAAATAAGATAATAAAGTCACATGCAGTTGTAGAAAATAATGCAGAGAGATTCTTCATACACTATATTTATGTTCCCAGTGGCTGCTGTAATGAGTTATTGTCAACTTGATGGCTTAAACATCAGAAATTTATTCTCTCACGGCTTTGGAGTCCAGACGTCAGAGGTCAGGGTGTCAGCAGGGCAGCCCTCCCTCTCGAGGGAAGAATTTGCACCTTGCCTCTTGCACCTTCTGCTGGTAGCCGCAGGCATTTTTTGGCTTGTGGTTGCATCACTTCAGTCTCTGACTCCAATCTTCATATCACCTTTTCCTCTGTGTGTCTTTTATATCCTTCTGCCTCTCTTATGAGGACACTTGTAGTGACATTCAGACCCCTCCTAGGTAGTCCAAGATTATCACTTCATCTCAAAATCCTTCAGTTAATCACATCTGCATGGACTTGACATTCGGAGATAATACCAAATAACATTCAGAGATCCCAGGGCTTCAAGCCTGTATCTTTGGGAACGACCATCAAACCACTGTACTTTGCCCAGTTTCCCCAGGGGTAACATTCTGTAAAACCATAATACAGTATCACAAGCAGGATATTGACATTGACATAACCCACTGATGTTATTCAGATCCCCCCATTTGACTTGTATATATTTGCTTGTATGTGCACTAATTCCATACAATTTTATCAGGTGTATTTTTGTGTACCCACCACCACACAAGATACTAAACAATTCCAGCACCACAAAAACCTTGTGTTGCCCTTTTATAATTTATAATCACATTTACCTCCCTCTCATATAATCCCATGCTGTATAATGTTGCTTTAAACACCTTCATATATAGTCTATCTAAAATCGAGATATAGTGTACATATTGTACAACACACCATATTAAGTGTACATTTCAGGTAGTTTCAGTATATATACAAGGTTGTGTGACCATCACCACTCTATAATTCCAGAACATTTTCATTCCCAGAGAAAGAAGCCTTGTGCTTGTCAGTAGTCACTCACCGTTTCCCTCCCCTGCTCAGCCAGTAACAACTACTATTCTTCCCATCTCTATGGATTTGCCTGTTCCAGACATTTCATGTAAAAGGAATCATACAATATGTGGCCTCTTGTGGCTGGATTCTTTCACCTAGCATTAGGATGTTTTCAACATCATCTATATTGTAGCATTATGAGAACATTTTCATGGCCAGATGATACTCCATTGCATGGATATACCACCTTTGGTCACCTATTCAGTGGCTGATGGGTATTTAGGTTATCTACAGTTTTTGATTTTTATGAATAGTGCTGTTAAGAACATTCATGTTTAAGTTTTGTGTGGACATGTTTTCAGTTCTCTTGGGTTTATAGTATTTAGTAGTGGAATTGCTAAGTTGATCTGATAACTCTTTACCTTTTTGAAGAACTGCCAAAGTGTTTTCCATGGCAGCTGCACTATTTTACACCCCCACCAGCAAGAAATGTTTTTGATTTCTTCACATTTTAACACTAGATAAAATTTTCCTTTTTTCTTTTTAAAATATAGGTAACCTATTGTGTGTGAAGTAATATCTCATTGTGGTTTGATTTGCATTTCCAAGTGACTAATGATGAGCATTTTTTTGTGTGCTTACTGACTATGTATATGTATATGTATATGTATATGTACATGTATATGTCTTCCCTGCAGAAATGCCTATTCAGATTCTTTTATATTTTACTTGAGTGGTTGTCTCTTTATTGTTGAATTGTAAGAGTTTTTTATATTCTGGAAACTAGATTGCATTTCCTCTAATTTGTGTTTTGTCTTAGCTTTCTTGATAGTGGTTTTTGATGAAGTCTAATTTATCCATATCTTTGATTGCTTCAGCTTTTGGTGTCACATATAAGAAAGCATTATCTGCTCCAAGGCCATGAAGATTTATACCTATATTTTTTTCTAGCTGAGTTATAGTTTTATCTTCTAAATTCAGGTCTTTGATCCATTTTGATTAATTTTTGTATACAAAGAGAGGTTGGGACCAAATTGATTCTTTTGCATGTTCATATCTAGTCTCAGCACCATTTGTGGAAAAGACTATTTTTCCCCATTGAAGGATCTCAGTACCACTTTCCCCATCAACTGACCATAAATTTGAGTTTATTTCTGGACTCTCAGTTCTATTCCATTGTTCTGTATGTCCATCCTTGTGCCAGTAACACAGTTTTGATTACTGTAGCTTTGCAGTAAGTTTTGAAATCAGAAATTGTGAGTCCTCTTTGTTCTTTTTCAAAATTGTTTAGGTATTCTCCGAGACACTTGAATTTCCATATGAATTATTTAGGATCAGTTTGTCAATTTCTACAAAAAAGACAGCAAGGACTTTGATAGGGATTGTATTGAATCTGTGGATCAACTTGGAGATTATTGCCATGTTAACAATATTAAATCTCTCAGTCTATGAAAATAGATGTCTTTCCATTTATTTAGGTCTTTTATTTAAATGATGTTTTGTAGTTTTCAGTATATGTATTCTTTTCTTAATTTTATTCCAAGTGTTTTGTTATTTTTGGTGCTGTTATAAATGTTTCAATTTCAATTTTGGATTGTGTATTGCTAATATATAAGAATACAACTAGTTTTTGTTTATTGACCTTGTATTATGCAACCTGACCAAATTTGTATATTATCTAGTAGTTGTTTTGTGGATTCATTAAGGTTTATACAGGTAGTTTTACTTCTCTCTTTCTGATCTGCATGCCTTTTGTTTCTTTTTGTTGCCTAATTACCTTTGCTAAAACCTCAAATGCATTGTTGAATAGAAGTGCAAGTGTTGGGTGGAGGTGGACAAAGTGGGGGAAGTGGAGGACAGCTCTAACAGTGTCAGTGATAGCAAAAAAGAGAAGAATATATTGTTTGCTGTTATTGGATTGAGTGTTCTAGAGATGTCTTTTAGGGTCAGTAAGCTATAATATTCAGGTCTTCTTCCTTGCTGATCCTCTGTTTGGTATCCATTACTAAAATAAGTATTAATTATCTTTTTCTTTTGTAGAGACTTTTACTGGTCTGTTTGTGGTTGTTGTTATAAGTTAATATGATACCATTTATTTTTTTATTTTTTTTATAGTTGTTCAAGTACAGTTGTCGCCATTTTCCCTGCCCCGCTCCCTCCCACCCCAGCCATCCCCACCTCCTACCTTCAATCCTAGCCCTTTTTCTCTTTCCCATTCTGTAAGTTTTTGCTTTGTGTATTTACTGGCTGTACTGTTACATACTTGCATGTTTACACTTTTTCTATCTTTGTGATGTATTAAATAACCCTTTTCTCGTGATAAATTGTCTTTGTGTTTAATAAGAATTTTTTAAAATTTTTTGTCTTACTATAACTATTCCAGCTCTTCATTAGCTATTGTTTACATGACTCTTAAAAAAAATCTTTTTTCTATTGTTTTACATTCAACTTAATTGTGTCTCTGACTTCAAAGTGAACCACTTACAAACAGCATATACAGAGTCCAGCACAAATAATGCCCCTTTTTTATTACAGACTCTTCTATTACAAAATCATAAGCATGTAAATCATAACTATGTTATTCATAACATAACAATTTCACACTCAAGCATACCATATGACATTTTAGGTGAAATGTTCAAATTAAAACTATAAGTTATTACAGCCATATTATTACCCTACCAACCGTACTCAGGCAGGCATTACTTTTGCCAGACCCCGTATATGATTGGATTCTATTTTTTATCAATTTTGCCAATCTCCACTTTTAATTAGAAATATTAATACTATCCATGTATATATGTCTATATGTGTGGATATATTATGTGGTAAGGTATATTTATGTCATAAATTAATATTGAATGCAGGAATATTTGTTGAATTAAAGAACAAATGTACCATTCTCATGTAGGTTCATAAATTTAAAATGTTAAATAAAATATTAAAGTACCAAGTTCAGTGATGCATATATGTGTTTCAAACAATATATATTAAGGCCAAGTAGAACTGTGAGGGATCTGAGGATATTTGAACATTAGAAAACCATATAATGAGATTTATAGCATTTAGACTGAAGAAAATAAGCCATGTGGTCACAGCAATGATCAGGAAAAAAATCTTATTTAAATCTGTTGCCCATTCAAGATTTTCAGAAACAGTAACAATGACCAAGAAATGACTATAAGCAAACTTAAAAGTAGAAATGAACTCCCTTGGCTTGACAAAAGGTGTGTTTAAAAAACAAAACAGCCCTGACTAGTGTAGCTCAATGGATTGAGCGCCAGCCTGCAAACCAAAAGGTCACCAGTTTGATACCCAGTCAGGACACATGCCTGGGTTGCAGGCCAGGCCTCCTATAGAGGGTGTATAAGAGGCAACTGCATATTGGTCTTTTTCTCTTTTTCCTTCTCCCCATCCCCTTCTTTAAAAATAAATAAATAAATAAATAAAATCTTTAAGAAAATGTTTCTAATGTCTGTACTTTTTGGAGAACTCTTAGAGGCTTTCTCTTTTATATCAGGAATGAGAAGGGATGCCTGGGAACCTCTCCTACATTTAGCATCGTACTGGAAGAACTACATAGCATCAGAGGCAAGGAAAAAGAATTTAAAGTTTTTAAATCAGAAAAGAAAAAGCAGTAGTCGTCATTTCCTGATTTTCTGATCTACAAAGTCCAAGAGTTGCTATAAACAAACTTCTTTACAGTTCTACATTTTTCTAAAGAATTTACATTATTTGTGGCATAAAGACAAGTTTTGAAAGAGAAGTTGTATAATAGTCTTATTTTATGCAAAAGAATTTTTTTTCAGTAACTGCATTTTAAAGACTACTTACCAACTTTTGAATATTTTTAAAAATCAAGTTATGTTTTTTTCCCTCTAGGGCTACAGAGACTTCAGATGAAGTGCAGAGTCTGCGACCCCCTAGGTTCTTTAATGAAGATGGAGTTATTCGACCTTACAGGTTGAGGGATGGAACTGGAAATCAAATGTTACAGGTGGGTAAATTAAGTTGAAATTAATTTAGTCAAGTTAGCTTTATTAAGTCACTGTGTAATGCTTTAATATATATTAGGTTTTTTAAACTTCTTTATGATTTGCTTAATTCCATTTTTAAGTTGCTTATATTTAGGTTTTAATGTACATTTATTTACTATAAGATTTTTTTTTCTTTTTTACAGGCATCAAAAAGTTTGATATGAAAAGAGTTAATGCATGACTTTGCAAGTGAAAGCCAACAGTAGATTTTAGTCTTAAAATTTACAAACTACCTACAGTCGTTTCACTGTTTTAAATACAAAGAAAAACTTTTGTTTTGGTAACTTTTGTATAGGATTTTTAGTGAATCTGATCTTTTCATAGGTTATTCTTAGTTCTGTCCTGGATTTGGTAGATTTGTTGAAAGTCATTGTGCCTATATTCCCTCATAGTTGGTGGTACTTTGTAGCCAATTAGACCATTGTGTTTTAGGGCACCTCATTCTCTTTATCAAGCCAGTAGGAGCTTTTATGCCTAATATAATTCTCATGTCCAATTAGACATGGATAAGGAGAAAAATCAGGACCATTACGATTTGAATTCTTAGGTTCGTGTGTTTTTCTTTTGAAGATGCTCAAGTAGCCAAAACCTTCTTTCTGCTTTATGCTTCTATAGTCTGTTTTAAAACCTTGTGGAATTTGTAAGTAGCTCACAAGAAAGCCAGCATGTTTTAGTGAGGAAAATTAGCTTTTGGAATAATAGACAGTTTGGTGGTAGAATATTGTATCTGTTCAGATTACTTTCTTACTAGTAAATTGGACTTTTTAAAAATCTGGATTATGGCATAGGTAATATGCATCATAATAGGTTATACCATTTTAAAGTGGTTTGTGTGGTTTAGATGTAGAATACTAAATTAAATTATTTTTGGAAACAAGGAATTATTATGCCGTACAGACTTGAAAATATTCAGGGTAATAATATACTGTGGGAATATAACCCTTTATAGCCTTGAAATTTTAAATATTGTCATATTTGAAGTGATAAAGATCAATAAAACTCTATTATTTTGCTCACTGCATGCAGAGTGTATGATTTTGCATTAAATGTGTACTTTCATCTAATGTAGTAAAACATAACCATTGAATTAATGTGCGATATTTAGTAAAGTGATTTGACATTGTGTTTAAAATATTGTTTAAGTCGTTAACATGATGCCATGTTGAGATGGAACTGGCAGTCGAGTGGGAGGCCCTGCTGTCTCGGGCATTTTGTGCAGTCCTTGCAGTGGCAGTGTGTCATTCTGTGGGGGAGGGGAATGTGCAGAACTCACCTGTGCTTCACACACTTGAAACATACCTTTCTACTGGGTACTTGCCTTCCCTTTTCAGAACACATACATTTTATTAGACTGAATAGTTATCACATCTTTTAAACAGCTAAAAATATTTAAGAAACTGTTTTAATAACTTTAGGAAGTAAGAATGAATAAATAAGAATTTAAAAATATATCATCATTATTAGAAAACAGATTATGTATTAGAATACATAAAAAAGCCGTGAGATAATAGATGTTTCTCGTAGTTGATAACTTGATTTCACTGACGAGTAACTTTATTCTACATCTTCATTAATTGGTTTTTGAAGCTTTAAACTTCAGGATTTAAAGGTCAGAACGTTTGATTATATTTTTAAAAATATGTATATTATTTTTAGTAGGCCAGTCTCTGCATTTATTAGTAAAAGAGCTATTTAAGTGACTGAAAACTCATAATTCTTCTCGGCTATTATTTGTTTTTAACAATAAAATGAAACACAGTGTTATCTGGAATACCTAGAGGAATTTACCAGATACCTTAGGATGTTCGTGGTTAACATTATTCTCTTATGGGTATCAGAACTGGGTTGTTGCTTTGGTGGTAATAGTGCTTCTTTGAATCAAAACTCTATTGTACTGTTAACAAAAACTTTAAAATATATGAATACTATGGTAAAGAAATGACATAGAAACAGGGTTTAAAATCTCATCAGTATAGATTTAACGTGATACCCTTAGAAAGTGTTTAATACTTAAAAATGTTTCTCCTTTTATTTTTTAATTTTCTAAAAATAGTGCTCTGTGTTTACTAAATTATATATGCCCTGATATAATAATTAAATGTAAAATATACTTTCATTTTGTAGCTTTCTATCTAGGAAGTAGCACATTATTGTAGTGCTTCCTAGTGGTAAATCAAAGTTTCCTACTAGAGAAATAGGATAATTCTAATATGTCTCTGGAATACTTTATTGGTGTTACCAGACTATTTTATACATTAAATGTAGCAGCCAGTAGAGTTTAATCTTAGTCTATTAAGTTATGGAATATTATATCCATAACTACTGTCCTACTCAGAGCTGAAATGTCTGATTCAAAATTTGATTCCTTGAACATTTTATAAGTTTACATGTTTTCCAAGGAATTTGTCATTCTTAACTAACATTGTGCTTCTTTTTCCCTTTGACATGCTTACAGAAAATTCAGGTCTACAGGGAATGGATTATGACTCACAGTAGCAGTAGAGATGATGATGATGATGATGATGATTAGTCAGAACTCAGATGTCAAAATTCATATGTTTGTCATTTTATTTAAAATATTTCATTAATATGTTTTGTATGACTGCTACCATAACACTCATATGCCCATTTTTAGTGAATCAAAATACTTTTCCTTTTCAAAATGTTTTTCTACACTATTTCAAAAAGCAAAATAAGTGCATTATTTAAGCACAGAAAAATGTATTTTATATCCAAAGTATGGCATACTATATATTATAGAATTTGTTTGTGTATATTTTGTAGTTTTGTAATACAGTTTATCTTTAAGGTTTAAAGTTAAACTTAAGTTTTTTGTTGATGTTAACTGGCTTCACCTTATCTTAAATTATCTGTTTATTTATTAGCAAAACTTCATTTTTAATGTTCCTTGTACATGTTTTTGGCTGTCACATAATGCCATTGTGTAAAAACATAATAATAGCTAGCCAGTATTTTATCCTTCTTCAGCATGTTAGAAGTATTTTTGTCAAATTTCTTTTAATAATAATAAACATGTAATTTGAAGCAATACAAATTTGTTGTTCTATTCCAGAGTCATATAGTTTGGACTGTTATAAGGAACATTTATGATTTGTCATGGAAGTGATAATTTATAGTCTGTGAATGAAGAAAAGTGTTCTTTCATTTACTTTTTATTTTATTTTTTGTACATAACATATATCATACGTATAGTAAAACAGTGAACAAAGTTGGTTTTACAGTCATTATATTTACTTACTAACTTACATATCCATATGCTATATCTCTATTATAAAATGATACAAATTAATTCAGGACAGAGAATTTTTATAGTAAGTATAGTTTTTCTTGGTAATATTAGAAAAATGTTACCTGTGCCTCTGTGAGCAAATTTTCATATTTTATGTACTGAAGGGTTTTATTTCTTGTAATTTCTACTTACTGAACCTGTCAAGTCCTGTCCCCTTAGTATTATCAGAGTGCTATTTTAAAAAACCCTCCAGAAAGTGAGTGACTGTTACTACTATGTTATTTAATCCCTTTAGACTGCAGTGCTTTTGAATCAGCAAAGGAACATTTGACCTGCCTTATGTTAAGCACTCTGTTCATAATGGAGTCATGTTACATTGCAATAAATAATTCCCTTAATTTTCAATTTTTGACTTAATTGATGCATTCCATGATTTCTGAATTTCTTCTAATTTTTTTAAAACTATATTATACTGACCATGCTATTGCAATTGTCCTGATTTTTCTTCCTTTGCCCCCACCTACCCAGCACCCTCCACTCAAGCAATTCCCCCTACCATTGTTCATGTCCATGGGTCATGCAGATAAGTTCTTAAGTTTATCAAGATTTTATTTCTGTGAATCACTGTTTTCTCTTTCTTAGAAAATGATTGTTTAAAATTGAACTTACAGAAAGGGAAGCTAAAAAATTAGCAGCTCTTGAAATTACTACCTGCCTAGCTTTCATTCAAATTAAAAAGAAACCAAGGTTGTGTGTACTAAGACTAAGAAATATGTGAATGACAAAATACTTTAATTATTGTTTTCATCAAAGTAATTTTCTTACCTATTTGGAATAAGTGAAAAAATGAAAACAGTGTACATTGAAATAGTCACTGCTTGTATCAGAGACAATTTGTCATGCATCCACTGCTTTGTCACCCTCTGCCAAAATCAAAGCCTGCTGGTTCTGTTAGAAGCTGTAAAGAATACAGCCTAGTGTTATGTATTGTGTATGCTGGAGGAATGTGTTCCTTGGCTTCTATTCCCACTTTGCTAGGTACAACACCTTTCTAAAAGAAAATATGCTAAACTACTTGTTATATGAGTTTCCTATGGTTGGTCTGTGACACTTAACTCTATAGTGTAGTTTCCATAAAGATCCTTAAGAATTTATCTGGAAAAAGTCCTGGATATTTCATCAGTGACACCATTTTAATGAAGAGAAAATTAGAAGTAGGATTACATTTATTTAAAATGCCTTGAACAATAAAAAGATTTAAAACAACATTCTAGTAACTAGCAAACTTTGTTCTTGAGGTCTTAAGGATTCACCACTCTTGTTTTTAGCCCTCAGAAATGAAATAAGTTCTTTGATAGTTTAATTGCCCTTTTTCTTTCTGTTCTCTGCCACTGAGAAGTATTCTTTTTAGCTTCTTTGACCACAGGTATTACTTTCTTCATTTTAAAAAATATTTTGTTCCTTTTTTTAGAGAAATGTTTGAGACTAAGGATAACATTATCATTTTACATCATTGTGTTTTTGATGGAGATTTAGGACCTGGACCAAATACCCTTCTTACTCCTCATCAAATATATAGAAAATGAGGTTTTTTTATTTTACACTGCAGTTTTCTTGATGGAGAAATAGGGCCTGTACAAAAATACAGTCAAACCTCAGTTCCCAAAGATCCTGGTTCTCAAACAGTTCAGTTCTTGACCACGTTGTTCACAGAAAAACATCTCAGTTGTCTAACAGCATTTCAGGTCTTGATTCTCTCTCACCAGCAGCCCTTTCACTCTGATACCTGCACGTGCAGTCACATGCCTCTCAGGCAACTCAGTTCTCAAACAAATCACTTCTCGAAAAGTGTTCCAGAATGAATTAAGTTCGACAACCCAGGTTCCACTGTATCTTCTTATTCCTCAGCAAATGTACAAAAAAGGAGTTCAACTTTGAGACTTTAATGAGATGAACAGATCTTTTATTTATTAGTGGCTCTGTAAATAATTAAAACTTTAAAATGGAAGTATCCATTTAATAAGAAAGTTGAGTGAGAAAGCTGTGTTTGAACGAGTATGTAATACCATTCCTTTCCATGTCCTTTAACTTTATTTATATTCCAAATTTCTACGTGATCTGTGTCTTAATATACAAAAAAGAGTTTTCCCTAAGGAAAACTAATCACTCATTTTCTGTTTTGCTTGTGTCTACTCGACACTTGAGTAACATACTGAAAGCTGGCAGGAAGAAAATCTTACCTGAAATTGTGGATACCCATCACCATAAGTTTGTAAGAGCCTGTAAGTAAAATTTATTAGTGCTCACATCACAAATAGATAACAAACATAAATCCAGAACAATAGTGCCAGGTTCAATATTTCTTACAGAAAAGGAAGTCAGAATAAATTTCTATTTGTTTATATTTAAAATAATCAGGATTTTATAATTTTCACTTTTTGAAATAGTTCAAAACACCTATCATTGATGCAGTGTTGAGTGTTGATTTTATGACATGTCAGTAAAATTCGCAGATGGAGCCTCATTGATTTGTGGCTGGGACATCAGTGGTCAGCACGGCACACATGCTGCTGTATTCACACCCGAAGGCCCCACACACTGCAGAATGGAGACTGCTGTAGTAGCAGCTGCTGTCCTCTGTCTGCTTTAAGCCCTGTGGTGACACGGTGCATCACACTTTTCTGTATCAGTGAGAGGACTAGAGACCACCATTCCAAATTTTATTTGAGTACGTTTTCTCTACTGTCCCTCCAATCCTCTGTTTTTTGTTTTATATATTTAATTGCAAACTTATCATAGTCCAAAAATATTGAAGGTCCTGTGGAGTCTAAATAAGATACACAGATTATTCATTGAGATCAAGTAATACTTATGATGGATGTATAAAAAGAATGTCTATTTTATTTCATTTTCAGTTACAGTTTACATTCAGTATTCATTTCTGTTGGTTTTAGGTGTGCGGTATAGTGGTTGGACAATCATGTACTTCACAAAGTGTTCCCCTCAATATTTCCAGGGCTCACCTGGTACCACACATAGTTATTATAATGTTAATGAGTATATTCCCTGTGCTGTACTTTATTACATCCCTGTGACTGTTTCATAACTTCCAGTGTGTACTTCTTAATCCCTTCACCTTTTTTCCCAGTTTCCCAACCTCCCTCCCCTCTGGCCATCATTCTGTTCTCTTTATGAGTCTGTTTCTATTTTTTTGGTTCATTTATTTTGTTCCATAGATTCCACATATAAGTGAAATAATATGGTATGTGTCTTTCTCTGACTGACTTACTTCACTTAGCATAACACCCTATAGGTTCATCCATACTGTCACAAATGGTAAGATTTCATTCTTATTTTTTATATAGCCAAGTAATATTTCATTGTATATTTACACCAAAACTTTTTTGATCCATTCATCTATTGATGGACACTTGGGTTGCTTCCATTTCTTGGCTATTGTAAATAATTCTGCAGTAAACATAGGGGTACATATATAAGAGAATGTCAGTATTATTTGTTATTCTATTCCTGCACCTTTGAGATACATGGAGACCAATTAAAATATTTAGATAATTTTTTATCTCAGTGAATGAATGAGTTCATAAAGTACAGTGAGTACAAAGTAGTACTATGCAAAACATAGAAGGTATGAAATCAAAGACAAATAAAATACATGATTTTAAATAGCTCTGTGTTAGGGAGGAAATTAGAATAATTTATGATTATCATATATAGGGGTTCATAGGTTTTTTTGTTTTAATGTGGTAGACCATTTTCACATCCATAATTATTCTCAATCATTGTGATGAATTTATTTAGCAGTTATTTCATATTGACCCATATATATATAGGTGTGTGTGTGTGCATGTGTGTGTGTGTATATATATATACACATATGTACATATATATATATGTAGCAACAGTGTACCTCCAATATCATTTTAAATAAATGTTTAATTTTATAAAATTTGTTTTTAATGTAACCTTTGTTGCATATGTATACTCTAAGCAGTGAAATGGTAACAGAGACATCTACTAAATTTTATTATGCTATTCCTCTGTATCTTAGATATGGCTACATATTTGAACATTCAAAATACTATAATCAGTATTTGTGTTTAAAATCAGTCAGTCAGAGATTAAGCTAAGTATATTCTTCTTAATTAGATGTGCTTGTTTTTGTACCATAGTAACTT